TTGGAATATAACTAGCATGCTATCAGTATCACGCGATCTGTTGTACATTTCATATCCTCACGGTTCTTGTATCTTGCGAAAGAACATCGTCCCTTTCGCATCGACCTCTATCTGAATGTGGGCAGTTTACGTTTTAAATTTACATTAAAAATAAAATTTAATTTAAAAATTAGTGATTAAGACAGGACAGAACAACATTTGATTTCTCTCTGACCTGGACATCGGCATTTTGTGTACAAACAGATACATGCCGCTTTTAGCAATATTCCAGCAATATCACGGCCGGAAACACCAGAAATGGGTTTCACACATTTTACCCACGTTGGGAATCGAACCCAGGTCTTCGGCGTGACGACGAACGCTTTAACCACAAGGCTACCCCAGCGCCCCATTGATGAATGACGTGTGTAATGTCGTGTCAACACGTTGCCAGAGTTCATGGGTAACTTAAAAGACAGAGAGACTCACAATAACACCATGTTTGATTCTGGGCGGCACTCGAAGATGTATAGCAACCTCACAGTTAATGACTACCCCAACTCCACCGAGGGCGATAACTCAAACACGACACATTCACGTCCAGGCCTAGACCGACAATGAACAACAGGACCGTTGAGCATGAGCCTTTGTAATGTGAGTCGAGGTCGTATCCAGTGCAGCGCAACAGGGTGATTAGCTCCAGTGACTGATCACACTGTGGCTATAGTCCGTTTGGCTCAAAAGCGGACCGATGAATTGCAATCTAACTCGAAAACTGATAAACATATAATACTCAATGAAACGCTGATCATAATCAAAACATCACACCAACTCTGTGATTTATTTGCAGAATATATGTAATAAAATTTAAAAAGTTGTTTAACAAACTATCATTAAAATGTTGACACAGTTCACTATTTGTTATGAGGGAGGAGTGCAGAGAAAGGGACAGCCAGGTGTTAGAGAAGCACATGCACAAGTGCCGACAAAGCTATTGATCTGAATCTGTGCTGTGCCGTGTACAACCCAAATATGTAAAATCATGGCTGTCCCTTTCTCTGCACTCCTCCCTCGTAACAAATAGTGAACTGTGTCAATATTTTAATGACAGTTTGTTAAACAACTTTTTTATTTTTAGGACATAAATTCTGCCAAAGCTTCACAGAGTTGGTCTGACGTTTTGATTATGATCAGTTTTTCATTGAGTATTTTATGTTTATTAGTTTTCGAGTTAGATTGTAATTCATCGGTCCGCTTTTGAGCCAAACGGACTATACCTAGGGCATCATTCTTTTTCATGTGTTTCACGTAGCCACCAAATTCTGAATATGGGTCGGTCGGTCGGGGAAAACAAAGAAAAAAAACTTAATAAAGACAAAATTATCTGAATAATGTTCTTGATTCTCATTTATTGTAATTCTTATTACAATTTATCGTGGTTTGTTTTTACTTGTGGCAGCGACTGATTTAAAGATAAACATTTTCTATGACGAGGCGGTACGTTTTAGGTTCGCGTCGGTGGTGTTGGAATGGAAAAAAAAGTTGTTTTTGGGTGGTTCGGCAATACAATTAGAAGGGTCGGTCGGGAGATGAGAAACACAGAAAATAAAAATGCTGCCTCTAGTATAAATGTACAACTCTTCACCTGGAAGGTATGTTGCCGGGTAAAGCACACTTGACAATGTCGGGGACAAGGTTACTCTATTTATATATTTTCTCAGGATTAAAAAGAGATTTGACATGAGTGCACAAAGCGGCTCTCTCAGGGTCAGACTCGATTACTTACAGACCGCCGTCAAATAGCTAGCTGGACGATTGCTGAGAGCGGCGTTCAAAAACAAACGGGTTTCCTACGTGGGGTCGACCATAACAACCTTGGCTTGGAGTGGACAGTGTGACCCGCGACAGATATAAGAACCACCCAATCCACATTTGTAGTCTCCTGCGTTGTCCAGTCTGGAAGGTTTTGGACACTCCTACCCCGAAATCCACACAAATCATTTAATCGGGGATGTCGATCGGTGTCCCATGTTTGTTTGTTTGTTTGTTTGTTTGTTGTTCAAGGCCGCACTCAGCAATATTCCAACTATATGGCGGCGGTCTGTAAATACTCGAGTCTAGACAGACAGGCCAGTGATCAACAGCATGAGCATCGATCTACGCAATTGGGATACGATGACACGTGTCAACCAAATCAGCGATCCTGACCACCCGATCCCGTCAGTCGCCTCTAGCATGGGTTGCTAATGACCAATTCTATCCCGGATCTTCGCGGGTCGGAGTTCAGTAATGAAGACAATTATAACCCGATTATAGATACGTGTTTACAATACATCCAAGAATCACAGTTCAAACGCAATCGCCTGCCTGTCAGGAGACACACCTCCGGATAAAACAAGGCGGTGACATCATCTGGTGAAAGTCACGGGATAGGCTAAATGTGTATAGATACAGAACCTGGCTCTTCTTATCGAACGCCGCAAGCTGTTCACATGAGATCAATGTATCTTCAACTTAATTTATATGAACACCTGTTGCTCGAACTGACTTATACCGTCCATACAATACAATAACTACATCTGCTCGCAAAACAGATACATTTTTTATGAACTTCTGTTGAAGGAGACAAACCAATTAATTGAACTACTCGATATCTCATTCCCGCATATTTGCAATAAACACATGTTTTGTCTGGTCAGTATAAACTAATATATCGACTTACTAGCAACAGATGAGTCACCGAACAGTCAGAGCAGTTAAACAAGTATAGTATTAAAGTTGTTTCGGCAAATATCTGATACATGTATATAAGCTATAGAAGTTATACTTAACTAAACATGTTGATATATGATTCTCTTACAGTCTAAGTGTCTTTTCAGTACTTAATGAGACCTCCATACCCTGCAATACACGAATGAGAGTGCCTTGGTACACTACCCTTTAAAGTGTGTAGGAAATCGTGTGACAGCGTATCCCAATACTCGACTACGTCTTTCTTCATTTCCTCAATATCAATTAGTCCTTATAGCTTGTGAGAAACTGCCTCTGTTCACCCAGCAGAAAATGGGTACCCGGTGGGACAAGCCAGGTAACTATTAAACTTCTAGCGCTTCACAGGCAGCTTAGGTTATCCGGGGTAATAATAATCATATTGTTCGCTTTGAATCCGGGAAAGGCGCGTTATTAATATTCTTATTATTATTATGAACACCTAAGTTGCCTGTGCGTGTGTTTGCAACAGGTATTATCGATGGGCAAAAGTACACCAATCCTGGAAGTCATATCTGTGATATAGTCGGAATCGTACAACTGAATTCTTTTGATCAGGGAAAGGGTTTTGTCAGTTCGTGCTTTTGTATTGAACCATTGAAGTAAAGTTTTCCATTACTCTGTGAGGGGCGGTGGGGTAGCCTAGTGGTTAAAGCGTTGGCTCGTCACGCCGTAGACCCGGGTTCGAATCCCCACAAGGGTACAATGTGTGAAGCCCATTTCTGGTGTTCCCCGCCGTGATGTTGCTTGAATATTGCTAAAAGCGGCGTAAAACCAAACTCAGTCAATCGGCCATGTATAACCGTGGTTGATAGAGGAGCAATTCATGTCGTTGGTATACGATATCACATTGGACACTCTGGAACCAGCTTGGTTTGAGGGGCGGTGGGGTAGCCTAGTCACGCCGAAGACCCGGGTTCGAATCTCCACATGGATACAATGTGTGAAGCCCATGATGTTGGGCTGGAATAGTGCTAAAAGCGGCGTTAAACTAAATTCACTCAGTCTTGGTTTGCAGAATCGGCAAGATCACAACAGAGACTCGGTCACCCATCCGCTCGTCCATCCTCGCGTATCCAGGTCATCATATTTCCTTTTGTCATAATATCCTGGACATGTGTCACCGTAGTATTCCTTCTATGTCATCACCACCACTGCCATCACCACCACTATGTCACAACCACCACCATGTCACAACCACCACCATGTCAACACCACCACTATGTCATCACCACCACTATGTCATAAACCACCATGTCATATGTCATAACCACCACTATGTCATAACCACCTCATATGTCATAACCACCATGTCACCACCATGTCATAACCACCACTATGTCATCACCACCACCACTATGTCATAACCACCACTATGTCATCACCACCACTATGTCATAACCACCACTATGTCATAACCACCACTATGTCATAACCACCACTATGTCATAACCACCACTATGTCACAACCACCACTATGTCATAACCACCACTATGTCATCACCACCACTATGTCACAACCACCACTATGTCAGTATCACCACCCATATGTCAACCACCACTATGTCATCACCATTATTATCGCACTTACCGGTAACTTAGATTAAGCCATCGAGTGATACCCAAAGACAGACACACGTGACCTAAAACTATCGTAATTGGATCTCTTTCTGTTCACGACATGAGTGTTTAAAGTACCAGTTGAACTATTGCGTATAAAACTCGTGGGTACTGAAAATAGCATGAAAATGCAAGCCTCGTGTAGGGTAAGCAGCGCATGGAATCTGCACTCGATAGTCACCTTCAAGACATTCACCCACAACTGGATAAACCATCCCATCCACAACAGGGGCGGTGGGAGTAGCCAAGTGGTTAAAGCGTTCGCTCGTCACGCCGAAGACAGGGGTTCGATTCCCCACATGGGTAAAATGTGTGAAGCCAATTTCTGGTGTCCCCCACCGTGATATTGCTGGACTATAGCTAAAAACAGCTCACTCACTCACCATCCAAGACAAGTCTACCACATCGTCGTCACTTAGACTGGCAAATTTTTACCAGAATTAGTAAACAATTCTGATTTTCACTAGATCTGATCTACACTTGCCCTTTATTGTCAAATTGACTTTCTGGCATTTCTGAGACAGACCATCAATCACTATGAAGAGAGTTTTATGGTGCTGTTACCAAGTAATAAAACCTCCATATATGAAACATTCACAATGTTCTGTAATACAAATGTGCAAAGCAACATGACGCTTTCGTTATGTTTTTAATCCTTTTACTATGTAACGGCACATACTAATCACACGCTCCCGATATCAAACACTCATTCTCTATGTACAATAACAAGCCAAACATGAGGCGTTCATCACTCGGATTTCCCCTGCAGTTTGTCCACGAAGTCGTTGTGGCTGAGCAGTAACGTGTAGTCCCTCCAGTCCAGTGAAACGGTGCCGTGAAACGCTATGTTGGATATCACAGTGAGGTACTCACACAACGCAAATCCAGTGTATACTGAAAAAAAAGAAACGCAACAATCACACAATATGGATATGTAATAGACATCTTTATGCTGGTTGGTTGGGTTGTTGTTTAACGCCGTATTCAGCAATATTACAGCAATATGGCGGCGGTCTGTAAATAGTCGAGTCTGGATCAGACAATCCGGTGATCAACAGCATGAGCATCGATCTACGCGATTGGGATACGATGGCGTGCGTCAACCAAGTCAGCGAGCCTGACCACCAGATCCCGTTAGTCGCTTCTTACGACAAGCATGGGTTGCTGAAGACCAATTCTACCCTGGATCATCGTCGTATCTTTATGTAATGCAACAGCAAGGCAAGTGGGATTTCGTTACAAAGTCTCCATGACAATGATTTGTTGACATGTAATTGTACAAATCCACCCTAGTCTATTAGGAACTGGGAAACTGGGATAGCCTAGTGGTTAAAGCGTTCGCTCGTTACGCAGAAGTCACGGGTTCGATTCCCAACGTGTGTACGTGGGAACCTCAGTTCTGGGACCCCCCGCAGTGATATTGATGGACTATTGCTAAAAGCGGTGTAAAACTAAACCCACTCACTCACTCACTCACCCATTGGGAACTGCATCATAATAATAATGAAGAAAGGATTAAAGTTCATAAGCTTGTTTAAAAAGGAAAGTTTTCAGTTGGGACTGGAAAGATTCCACGGACGCGGCTTGTCGGATGTGAAGAGGCAATGAGTTCCAGAAAAGGGGAGCTGTGTAAGAGAACTGACTATGTCCATATGACTTTAATCTGACCTTGGGGACATTCAACTGACAATTAGAACTTGATCTTAAAAGCCGTGGTGGGACATATTCATTGAGGAGATCTTTCAGGTAGATTGGAGCTTTGTCATGGAGGCACTTGAAAGCGAGAGTGAGGATTTTATATTCTATTCTATGTTTTGTGGGCAGCCAGTGTAAGCGTATCAGCAATGGTGTAATGTGACTGCGCTTGTTGACTCGGCAAATCAGTCGCGCCGCAGAGTTCTGAATCCTCTGGAGCTTGGACAATAGATCTTGGCGGATATTTACAAGAAGACTGCAGCAATAATCCAAACGTGAGAGAACAAGTGACCGAACTAGGTGGTGAGCTGCATCAAATGTCAGAATATCACGAATGGAAGCAATATTTCTGAGATGAAAATAGCATGACTTACAATCAGAGTTTACGTGTGTTTCCATGGATAAATTTGAGTCTAGAAAAACACCAAGGTCTTTCACGGAATCACTGAAAGGAACTTTCTCATTACCCACTACCAACGAAGACACATCCACCTTAGCAGTGCTACTGCGAGGTGATCCACAGCAAAACCTCGGTCTTACTGTCATTTAATCTCAGCTTCCTTTGTCATCATCCATGCTTTGGAGTCAAGGATACAGTCTTCGATTATAGACATATCGGCTGGAAGTGAGTCCGGTTTAGTGGAACGCAACAGCTGGGTGTCATCAGCATATGACTCGTACATCACAACATGATGCCGAATGATATTGCCGAGATTCTTCATATAGAGTGAAAAGAGAATGGGCTCAAGAACGGAACCTTGTGGCACTCCGTATGTAAGCTGATGCGTACACGATTTCATGTCTTGAATGACCACAGATTGTGTCCTATTATTGAGGTATGAGACAAACCATCCAAGAGCTGTGCCATGAATACCAAATTCTGTTTTCAGACACTCAGTTAGTTGAACATGGTCAATGGTATCAAAAGCCGCTGATAAATCAAGCAGCGTTAGAACTATAACATAGCCCGCATCAGCTGCAGCAAGAAGTCTCTCCATCACATGCAGAAGTACGGTCTCTGTGGAATGATCGGAGCGATATGCAGACTGATGCACGTCATAGAGATCATTCAAGGTCAAGTGATCAACAAGGCGTACCTTGATTGCCTTCTCAAGCAATTTTGATATGAAGGATAAATTAGAGACAGGCCTATAGTTCGATAGTGTGTCAGCGTCTAAGCCAGGCTTTTTTCAGGAGTGGCTTAACAACAGCGACCTTCAGACACTTAGGGACACATCCGGAAGATAAACTGCTGTTTATTATCCAGTGTGATCACTGGAAGCAAAACATCAATGAACTCAAGAACAAATCGTGTTGGTGCTGGATCCAACATACAAAATGTTGGTCTTGCTGATGTTAAAAGCTTTAGGACCTCTGCTTCTGAAAATGGTGCAAAGCACTGATGAAGTGTACTTGACCCAATGGCGTTGGTTCATGATGCGTTACAGGTATATCCAATGAATCAAGTTCATTTCTGAATCTTGCAGATTTTGTCAACAAAAAGCTATTGAAATTATCCACAAGTTCCCCCAGATCAGACGTCTGTGGGAGAGCAGAATCCTTAGCCTTGCCAACTAAGCGGTTTAGGAGCTGATACATCTCTCTGCTGGATCTTACTGACTGTAGAGCTGATAGAATGTATGCAGACTTTGCCCTCCGTACTGCCCTAGTTACAGTTTCTAGCGGCAGTGAACATTTGACGATCCACTTCTAAACCCGACTGTCTCCATCTCCGTTCTATGACACGACGCTCTCTTTTTAAAGAAGCGATCTCTTCATTAAACCATGGTAACGACGAACGGTCGGGAATATTCTTCCTTTAAAGGGTGCATGCCTATCAAGGAGATGGGATAGGGTGTCATTATACAATTCACATAAAGTTTCCGGATCATCAGTTTGGCTCGTGAAAAGTAGTGAGTTTAGTAAATCTGATCTAAAGTCCTCCTATCAATTTTTCTTAATATTGCGAGATTTGACAGTTTTAACAGACTTTGGCGGTTTCACTAAAGATAGGATACAGGTGATAACGTGGTGATCAGACATCTGGGAGTCCAACACAGATACATCATCCAAGATATCCCGGTCCTGTTGAGTAACAACCCAGTCAAGGGTATGTCCTGATCTATGGGTAGAAGAAGCCACATTCTGCACAAGCTCATGAGATTCCAGGAGCTTAATCCACTTTTTCGTGACGGCATCCTGTGGATTATCCCAATGAATGTTGAAATCTCCCAGAACTAATATGTTTTTCTGTGTGAGATTTGACAGAAGCAATGAGAAATCGTCAATGAAATCCTGTTGAGTAGAACCATTGGTTGGGTTGGGTTGGGCTTCGGCATTATTCCAGCCATATAGTGACGAGAACAAGTCTGCATTAATAAACATTGTAAGTTCAAAGTCAACATGAGTTATATTTCATTGTCATTTAAAACAGAAAATGTCATAGCACTAAATTTAAAAGCAGGCAATTTGTTAGTGACATTACACAGTTACAATTTATGATACAGATCAACTTCCCTCAGGTAGTTCACTATCAGATGAGCGCTCACGCGGGAGAACAGATCTTTCAGATTTGTTGCATCACAGTGTGAGTCCCTTACGATAAGTCCACACAGTCAAGCAGAATATGCTTGATGGTGATAACTTCATCGCAAGAGACACACATGGGGGGTCCATCCCCATCCGTTTTCAGCAGATAGTCATGTGTAAACCGATTGTGGCCAATACGACATCGTCGTAAAATTACCTCATCACGTCTTGACTGACAACCCAAGTAGGTATAACCAATTGTCATACAAGTGAGTGCAGTCGAGGAATTAAACACACTCGTCCATTGGTTTTTAAAGGTTGCAACGCTTGTCATACTGGTGAGGTGAAATTGGGTTTTACGTCCTACTTGAGAATATTTCGCATGCATGTGTATGTGTATGTGCGGCTGCTTCTACTAGCCCAGACTTAAGCTGGTTTTATAGTGCTAGCCCACTGTGATACCATGCCGCAGTGAAGCATGAATACCCCACTCAGACACATTATACTGACTCCGAGCCGACCAGTCCTTGCTGTACCCATTAATGCCGAGCGCCAGGCAGGGACCAACAAATACCATATTTTAACGTCTTTTGGTATGACAAATATTTGTTAAATAATGAAAACAATACTAATATGTTATAATTTAATAATGACGTCATAATAAGATAAAGATAAAGGATCCGGAGAGATACAGGAAATGAAAAAAGTTACCCTATAATATATTCCCCAAAAATACGTATTTAGATTACAATATTAAATTAAAAAGTTCGTGTGAATTAATTCAATGTTGCATTAAATCGACTCTCGCGCCCTTAACCGGCCGAACATTATTTCCCTTGGAGCGCGCTTTACGAATATCCTATAACTCCTTCGGGAGACAGAACTCAGTCCTAGAGAAAAACATACGCGCAACTTTTGATTGAAACCAGTTCCACAAACACCGACAAAACCGCGTGCAACAGTGTTCGATGTACGGAGCAATTGCTTACATTCCATATATGACAAGTGTTCTCTTTTTGGAAGCTGTTCGCCTCGAAGCTTCAATTATCGATATCGGACAAGTCGTAAGGAATAATAAGTCTTTTATTGCATAGATAGGAAACTAAAGTGAGTGCATATGCCTCCATATATATAATATAGACCAAAATATTGGACTGCCACCGTGGTGTAGTGGTTAGAGCGTCCGCCGGGAGAGCGGAAGGTCGCGGGTTCGATCCCCGACCGCGTCATATCAAAAGACGTTAAAATATGGTACTTGTTGGTCCCTGCCTGGCGCTCGGCATTAATGGGTACAACAAGAACTGGTCGGCTCGGAGTCAGTATAATGTGTCTGAGTGGGGTAGTCATGCTTCACTGCGGCATGGTATCTCAATGGGCTAGCACTATAAAACCAGCTTAAGTCTGGGCTAGTACAAGCAGCCACACATTCACATACACACGCATGCACGTCGTCATATGAGCGAAATATTCTCAAGCACGACGTAAAACCCAATTTCACCTCACCTCACCTCACCTCACCTCACCAAAATATTGTCGAAAATGTGTGACATTGTGCCTTTAAGAAAACGTACCTCCTGGCTCACAATACTCGTGATGGCGGAAGTACAGGTAAACGGCCAACAGGAAGATTGACAAGTTGAAGATGAACAACATGACCTTCAAGTTAAGAGATTTCCTCTCCTGCAATGAAGATTCATAGTGATAATTGTAACATCAAAATTGGTGACTAGCAACCATGGGGTGTGGAAGTGAGTGAGTGAGTATTGTTTTACGCCGCTTGTTTCAGCAATATTCCAGCAATATCATGGCGGGAACACCAGAAATGGGGCTTGATATATTGTACCCATGTGGGAATCGAACCCGGGTCTTCGGCGTGACGGGCGAACGCTTTAACCACTAGGCTATCCTGGTGTGTGGTAGGCGGATTCTACCCTTCTTCGTGGATTTAGATGCCATGACGTGACATTGAAGGAACATTCCCGAAAGCGGCGTTAAACTATATTCACCGCACCAGGATGCAAATACACACCACATTACTCGTCCTCAGTCTACTCTACGTGAATGGCTATCAAGACTGCATAACGTCAAAAGGGGCAGTGGAGTAGCCAAGTGGTTATTGTGTCTTTTATGTAATGAGTGTAGCGGTAGAATATTTATTTCTTCACCGATTTCGTTCAAATTTGAAATATATAGTTATTCATAACATATAAAAACAATATACGATTGCAAAAATCAAGATTTATATTTTTTTTAATTATTGTCCAAACAGTGATTGGAACCCCTGTGTGTTCGATGTATCAGAAATAGGTGCGGGAAACCATGTGGTGTGTGTGTGAGATCCTGTGCATAGAGCCAGGTCACAAATCAGTGGAAGTTAAACAACGTTGGGCGCGGACAGTGTTAGATGGGTGATCGTGTTTGGCAGCTTTAGTCATAAGACTGACTGACTGAGTTTAGTTTTACGCCGCTTTTAGCAATATTCCAGCAATATCACGGCGGGGGACAGACATTTGCCTTTTCCTTGACATCAGAAATGGTTGTGTAACAGAAGTTGAATCTGTTTTCCCATGTGGGGAATCGAACCCGGGTCTTCATGACATGAACCAGACATGATGCACACCATAAAATATTCACACAGCGTTGCTCTACTATGCGTCCTAATTTCACATACCACAGGGGTGCGTCCAGCTTTTCACAAAGCTGGACCTCTTGGGCCCCAGTAAATTCCTGACAGGGTTGACTGCGTCATTTCGACAACTCAGGAATCCATCACTAACAAAAGAGTTCTTTCACCTGGGGCTCGACAAAAAAAACCTTCAACAACAAGCCACTTCTTTGCCCAAAAAATAATCACTGACACTTGGAAGTCAAAAGGGGAAAAGGGAGACATCATGTTTGTATTTGGTACCTCAAATCTGGAAATGCTGTCATCACATCCAAAAACAAAACCTTTTGAAAACCCTACCCAGACCCCGAATGCTCACAACCCGACCAAACAACTGAACTTTCTGGAAGTGATGGGCGATGAGAGACGGATCAAACCAATAAAGTTTGTGTACGTGTTACTCGTATATAGAAACTGAAAAACTGAGGGGTTACCAAGATCCATACAGATGTTAAGCTTTCCTGCTGTGCTAGTAGGCTGGCGACTAGGTGTCTGACTCAGAGGTTGTGGGTTCGAATCCCGGATGGGTCTCAACCCAACAAAAGTACTAGAATCGGTACTTTCCTGAGAAAGTGTAGCCCCAAATATAACATATGTTACATTTGACCACTTTCTAAATGGCATTGTGTAATCATAAATGGTCATTAAACTTGTGTCGTCTATGAACAACATTTACAATTATTTCACGTCATTAAAATGTATACGATAGTCATATATACAGACCTCTGCCATATCTATTCATAGTCTCTCAAATGCTCTTATTTTTTCATGAGACGCGTAACAAATGCAAATTTGACGACCAAATGATACGTACATCTCAAACGTTGGTCATTCGTATATTTCCAAGCATGGTCAAATTTGGAAAATACTGTTTCTTGGTGATGAGATGTAAGGCGAGCTTATCAAAAAGCATGTATATATTTGCTGACACCCAAAACTATCGGAATCAAAACGGATCTGAACCTAGTCAATGGATCCAAGCACTAGGGGACACGACTGGAGTATTTTTCCAACAGAAATTAACAATACTAAAGCCTTACAGCTTAAGTTACCTCTATTCAACGGGACAAATACGCTTATTTATGGCATAGTACTTACCAGCGGAGTAATTTTTCTTCCATTACCAGTGCGTCCCCAGGAGAACAGAATGCACAACAAGAGCATGTACGTGAGCGAACACACCATGAAGGCGATAAATGCATTTTCGTGGAATTCTGAAAAATAATTTTTGATTAACCATTCAATCATATACTTGTATTCAGATTTCAGGTGTGCGAGCATGTAAAATTAAATGAAAGTTAGCAATATTTATAGAAACAATCACGAGTACAGAGACAGTCTGGCGTTTATCCTGAATATAGATATAAAAGAGCATATCCTCCACTTCATGCATCTGATACAATGAAACCAGATCGACCGGGTTTCTGTATAGTCGTGGATGGTTTTGATAAGAATTAAGGATTCGTTTAATGCATTAATTTGCTTAATTATGGTGTGTAATATTGTTACTACACTAGTTCACAATATACAGTACGTCCCGTTCTGTTGCAATTTTGTAGTATATTCATATTGCACTTCACTGGCAATACTGTTTCAGATCCAGTCCAGTTTCCATTCAATTCGTGTAGCACATCGCGCAAACGGAGCCGTTCACTGGCTCCGCGCTGAACAAGCACATGTACCGACTGGTACAAGTATATGATGCGAGGAAATATATAATCCCAAAATCGATGTTACTCATGATTAATGACCGATCAATAAATACATTCAATAAAACCGATATTTAATCAATGTCTCGGTAGTAGCGTTATTATCCTAACTATAAAGGGAACATATCACAATAGCTTTAGATTCCTCGGCCCCTTATTCGGCAGTGGTCTCAGGAAGGTGAGGTGGGGTGAGGTGAGGTGAGGTGAGGTGAGGTGGGGTGTAACGGGATTGAACGTCGTACTTGGGAATATTTCGCTCATATGACGACGTGTATGAGTGTGTATGTGTAGCTGCTTGTACTATCCCAGACTGAAGCTGGTTATATAGTGCTAGCTCACTGAGATCCATGCCGCAGTGAAACATGAATACCCCACTCAGACACATTATTCTGACTCCGAGCCGACCAGTCCTTGTTGTACCCATTAATGCCGCGCGTCATGCAGGGAACAGCAAGTACCATATTTTGACGTCTTTTTGTGTGACGCGGCCGGGGATCGAACCCGCAACCTTCCACTCTCCGGGCGGACGCTCTAACCACTACACCACGGAGGCGGTTTTCAAAATGTTATATACCATTGGTATTCACAGCTAAACAAAAACACCAGTGGAGACAAAAAGTTTTCCGTTATCGACAGTGGTAGGCTGGTAGTCCATATATAGTTCTCTTTTAGGAATAGGGCCCTCTACAATATTTTAACCCCTATGCAAGACTGGTGTCGTGCAAGGGGACGCCGCTCCAGAAAGCGTTACACGAAGGTCGTAACACAAGTTCTGCAACAGTGAGTGAGTGAGTTTAGGTTTACGCCGCACTCAGCAATGTTCCAGAAATATGGTGACGGTCTGTAAATAATCGAGTCTGGACCAGACAATCCAGTGATCAACAGCATGAGCATCGATCTACGCATCGGGATACGATGACATGTGTCAACCAAGTCAGCGAGCCTGACCAACCGATCCCGTTAGTCGCCTCTTACAAGCATGGGTTACTGAAGATTCATTCTAACCCGAACCTTCACGGGTTCAGCAACAGTGAGCTACGTTAGATTTAGCGCTAAAATCGCCTTGTAGAACGAGTGAGTCAGTGAGTGTCATTTTACGTCGCTTTTAGCATAATAATTGCCACATCACTGCGCGGGACACATAAATGTGCTTCACACATTGTATAGAATTTGAACCCTGGTGGTTGGCGTTACGAAAGGACACTTTTATCTCTAAACTAACCCACCTTCGTCTCGGTGGAACAAAAACTGATGTTTGTGAGGAATACAATGAGTAATTTTATATATTCATTTCATCCGTATAGATCATTGGATAGGACACCTTGAACAAACGTAGCAGAAAAGTACTCCAAAACGCACCCATGCACATTAAAATATTGAATTTCACATGCACCATGAATAATACATGTGATTCAGCTATTGTTTTGAGTTAGCTGCGTGCTGTCGATGTCAGATGGCAACACGTGCTCATGTTTCGACCCAGTGCGGAACTATGGAAAAGAACCTTTGTTATAAAACAACCCAATTGATTAGCGATAATAGTTCGCGTGTAAGAGTGGATTTATTTTCCTTATGGCAGGTAAAATTGCTAAGATAGTGACTGGTGTAGTTTCAGGAGCTACATTAAAGGTTTGAAATTGTTTCACGAGTGGGGCAGTGGGGTAGCCTAGTGGTTAAAGCGTTCGCACGCCATGCCGAAGACCCATGTTCGATTCCCCACATGGGTACAATGCGCGAAGCCCATTTCCAATTGGTGTCCCCCGCCGTGATATTGTGGTATATGGTTAAAAGCAGCATAAAACCCAACTGACTTACTCACTGTTTCAAGAGTTATGTCTTTATTTATGGGGTTATCTTCACTGCTACCATTAATGACGTACCGATATTTTCTGATGACGAGACATACGTCAATGCCACAAGCGCCATATTTTCACAGATGTGTAACGTCGTGGCCAAGGCTGCCAGCCCCGTGTAGACGCTGTTGTACTGTCGCATGTGGACGGAGGTGTGGTAGTTGAAGTAGCCGAGGGCGAGGAGAAATCTTGGGGCACAATGAAGGGCTATACAGATCCTCCATATATAACGCTGTGGTGTGTAACCGCCGATCGCCGAACTGATAGAAGGCAAATAGTTGGGGACCTACAACAGAAAGTGCCAAATTAGAAGACGTTATATATACTCTTAAAATATAGGGGAACCTGAACTTTCAGTTTGGATAGGTGTGAGTGAGTGAGTATGGTTTTACGTTAACAAACCTTTCAATATTCCAGATATCACTCAGGGGAACAGAACCGCCATTTGCCCTTGGGGAATCGAACCACCCCTTCGGCGTGACAACGCATGTAATGCGCGTGCATAACCCAGTAGCACCATGCTTGTGCACTGGGTGTCATTCTTGATTTTGACGGTTTTCAAGAAGGTAGATAAATCACTGAAGACAATTAATATTGACCACCATCGCCTTGCATGACACAGATGTTAGTGTTTTTTCTAGCCGTACACGTGCAAATTTCACGTCATACACCAATCGCCGCCATATAGCTGGAATATTGCTGAGTGCGGCGTAAAACTAAACTCACTCACTCACTCATACACCAATCACTTTTCAAGAGCGATTACAGTACAAACAACTATTGTCATAAGGACGTGCAAGTGGCACCATTCAGTATTATCATATCAACATTGATTGACTTCGATATATCTCCCATTTTTTTCAATCGTAAATTAAAAATGAAGTTCCCCTACTTTTTTAGAGTGCATTTCATCTAAAAATGACTGAAAAAGAAGCCAGTAGGTATCTATGCTTGTCTGAAGAGGTGGCTGACGTGATCGGATGGATTAGGCTTGCTGCCTCGGTCAAGTCGTGTCATCGTAACTCAGGCGAGGTAGGGTAGCCTAATGGATAAAGCGGCCGCTCGTCACGCTGAAGATCCGGGTTCGATTCCCCACGTGGGTACAATGTGTGAAGCCCATTTCTGGTATCCCCCGCCTCGATGTTGCTGGAATATTGCTAAAAGCGACGTAAAACCATACTCACTAATCGTATCTCAGTAAGACGAGTCACGGTATTGTCTGGTCTTGCATCCCCATTACATACTGGCCGCTGGCATATGGATGAGCCCGTTGTTGACAAACGAGTGAGTGACTGAGTTTAGTTTTACGGCGCTTTTAGCAATATTGCAATATCACGGCGGGGACACCAGAAATGGGCTTAACGTTGTTGACAAACGAGTGAGTGAGCGAGTGTAGTTTTACGCCGCTTTTAGCAACATCACGGCAGGGGAACAACAGAAATGGGTTTCACACATTGTGCCCATGTGAGGAATCGATCCAGGATCTTCGGCGTGACGAGCGGACACTTTAACCATTAGGCTACCCCCACCGCCCCCTGAAAAACGAAATTCACTCAAGTTAAAACAATTAATATATACTGACGCGCAAAACAAACTACACAACTACGGTTTATGGATTTTATCCAAAAGAATATCCAAGAAAATATTTTGAAGAGTGTTTTGATTATAAGTCACGTACACTGTGTGCATGTTGCAAGAGCACCACAGATATCCTCTACGGTGCCGTGAGTGGATTATCATGAATATCATGATTTTGATGAATCGCACGTGCATGCTATGTGCCAACAATATAAATCAGCCGATTGGGATCGTTCGTGGTATACCTGTAAAAGGCACATATCGCCATGCCAAAATTATCAGCAACGGAGCGCGAACTGGCCACTGGAATGCCGCAGATGGGTCCTTTGAACAACCATATTGCCTAAGTGAGTGAGTGAGTTTGGTTTTACGCCGCTTTTAGCAATATTCAAACAACATCACGGCGGGTGACACCAAAAAAGCTTCACACATTGTACCCATGTGGGTAATCGAACCTGGGTCTTCAGCGTGACGGGTGAACGCTTAGACCACTAGGCTACCCCACCGACCCTCTATATTGTCTAAACAGTAAACTTCGGCTGTACAAGGTAAACCAACCGTCAGACGTATTTGACGCGGCAAACACACTGATCAGCAAGATGATCACCACCTTCGCAAACGGATGCTCAGAGTGATGTCATCACCATCAACAGCGTTGGCTCAGCAGGAACGGTGATGATACGTTTGCGTCTTGTAGGCGTCCGGGCCTATCGACCATTTCGGGACATATCATTAACCTAACAACATATCCGTTGGTATGAAGACAACGTGCTGGCTATGTTACATCTTGGGTGGTGTTTTGGTGACATGCACAATATATGTGTTATTTGTTATTCAGAAGTCAAAACATTGATTACACAACAGTCTCGTTTCCTAGTGACTTAGTACAATAACCAGTCCAGAATTTCGAGACCAACTGCTTCAACTGGCTATATAAATATTGATTTGATACATCTAATCATTTGTATATTGCAGCACTACGCTCCATCTTTTCCTGCAAACACGTCGTGCAGAAATCGTGGAAATCTCAAAACGAGACTCGGTTGCTTGAAAGGTTTGGCGGTCTCGTACGGACTTTATATTATATCAATCACATTGTACGTTTCAAAGATACATTGAATAAGCACACAAAAAATTATAACAGGTGTAACCATTGGTCCAGATGAATTGTGAACCATTTTAAGACCTCATCAAACAGGGGCAGTCGGTGACGCCTTAGTTAAGGTCATGCTGCCTTAACCTCACCATAAAATATAGAAATACGATTTTATTAAATTTTAAAATTAAAATTCATGTGTATATACCATTTTCTTATGAAACAAGGATTTGGAATTTAGTGTAACCATAGTTGTTTGTAGTGTCTCCTTTCATAGTCACACGGATCGGCTGAACAGAAGGTCATTGTCTGAATTGGTTATGAGACTCGTGTTTCGGTTTGAAAACTTTTCAAAATATTTATGTTTTTTGCGTAAATGAGCCCAAAGCACCAACTGTGTACTTTGTTTTGTATATCAGTTTACGTTATTTGAGTCTCATCACTTATGATAAAATATCACACATTAGGAATTTAGATATTCATATATATTAACCTCGCATATACTCAACAGAGTTAGAAACTTGTCACCCACATAATTTGTAATAGTTGTAAGGGAGGTAATTCATTTAGTTTGTTGTGAGGTGAGGTGAACGTCGTGCTTGAGAATATTTCGCTCATATGACGACGTGCATGCGTGTGTATGTGTATGTGCGGCTGCTTGTACTAGCCCAAACTAAAGCTGGTTTTATAGTGCTAGCCCACTGAGATACCATGCCGCAGTGAAGCATGAATACCCCACTCAGACACATTATACTGACTCCGAGCCGACCAGTCCTTGTAGTACCAATTAATGCCGAGCGCCAGGCAGGGACCAACAAGTACCATATTTTAACGTCTTTTTGGTATGACGCGGTCGGGGATCGAACGTGAGACCTTCCGCTCTCCGGGCGGACGCTCTAACCACTACACAACGGAGGCGGTCAGTTCGTTGTTGTGTCATGCACGACAATGACACGTAGGCTGTTTGGACATTGTCATAGCGACCGAAGTGAAAGATCTGGCCACAAAGATCTGAAACACAAAGACTCAGCTGTGGAGAGTTATGTAATCACTTAGTCATCGCAAGTGCGTTAGAATACAAGCATACAGACCTTGATAAACAGGAAAACGCATTAAACTTGCAAGTTAAAAAAAAAAGCAAGTATGCTACGACTCATTAATCAGCTACGTGAACGGTCAATCGGTACGTTTAATGCGGAACAACCCGTTGCAGTAGTTATAGCCTTTGGTTATAGTCGTCCGACGATACAGGGCCTGGGGACCTGCGTGCAAAAGACAGACTCTGTTACGGATCACCCGAGTTGCCGCGTGTCATGTCACACCAAGAAAAGGTACAAATCAGGTATGTCATCTCCGCAACTAATTTGTGACTACAGCCCCCACGAGACGAGAGTTGATCAGAGGTAGAGCGTCGGAACAGGCCATCAGAAATCGACTGCACACGGCAAGTGTCCTAGCCAGGCGACCATACACAGGACCTATCACAGTGGGTCTGCAGACATGCCAGATTCAACCTGATACATTAGAACCTGATTGTCTTCAGCGACGAGACGCGCTTCTCACTGCGGTTTACCGGATGTCGGGGTACAGGTGTGTCGTCCGGGGAAATCTTACTGCCATACAGTGTCGGGTCCAAGTTTCGACCCAAGTCAGTTTGCCATCCATGCACCTACATGGTCCTGGACTGGCATTTCAACAATACAACGCTACGCCCCATGGTACAGGTCTGACGCGCAGTTTCTTACGTAACGCTAGTGTTGATGTCTTGGTCTGGCTTCGTCGTCCCCCAGACCTGAAACCGATCGAACATATTAGGGATGAGCTGGGAAGAAGACGCGTGCAACAGCAGATGAATCATTCCCAGACCTTGGACAAGCACTCGTTGACCAATGGCGACTACTTCCGGTCTGAGTGTTCCGAGAGGTTTTCCTGTCCACGAAGAGAATGTTTCCTTCACGGCTGCCCTTGGAGATCACACTCGTTAATGACTTCTTCTGTTCCAACAGTTGTATCAGAGTGAAGGTATGAGGGGTCGTGGGACGTCGTGCATTACTTTTCCAATAAAAGACGTAAGCACCCAAACGAAATTAGACACGTATCGGACTTTTTAACTCTTGTACGATTTGGTAGGTTATGTAAACAGTACACGGATTTATATTTAAATACTCGACAGAATCGATAGCATTAAAACTATATCCTGCATCACAAATTGTTCTAAATCTCTAAGAGACACGTCAGTATTGTTAAGATACTACACCAAATAATGATAGTTGGGGTTTTTTCTGAAAGATTTCCAATGAGACAACCTATATTGGCAAAATATACTGGGTAGCGCTTAAGCTTTTATTCACAGAATATTTTTGATCGAAATAAATAATTCCTTTTAAACTGAAAAGGAGCCTAGAGAGAAGGAAGATTCAGATTGTGAACCTGACAAACTCTAGACTAGCTGTCGATATTAGTTCAGAGACAGACAAGCAATATCCGTCCACTACTTCGACTAAAACGTGTATTGTTCTTTCCTCATATCCGGTTACCTCCCCTGTTGAGCTACCTGACACATTTGGAATTAAGTGGATCAAGCGGGGTAGGCAATTCAGGGTTTCCCTTTCATTATTGTGGCATTTTTCCGAACACAATTTGTTAATTTTGCGTTTCGATAAAAGTAGAACTGAGTGAGTGAATGAGTATGGTTTTACGCCGCTTTTAGCAATATTCCAGCAATATCACGGCGGGGGACACCAGAAATGGGCTTCACACATTGTGCCCATGTGGGGATTCGAACCCGGGTCTTCGGCGTGACGAGCGGACGCTTTAACCACTAGACTACCCCACCGCCCCAAATAGAACTGAACAACTAACAACATAATGGAAATGTTTAAAAAACATATGTCAACTGTAATATAATAACTGTCGATAACAGTAATATTCTGTACATACAGCTGTATGCTAGTTTTCGAATTCTGTATATTTATACTGCATCTCTAAAAAACAGAGGTGAATGGGTTCTGAAGCTTGTTTGTGCAGTTGTGCCCCCAGGTAACGCATACTTTGTTTTTCCAAAGGTCATAAAAGATTTGCCGCTTCACTGCCACAAATATATATATTTGGCTATTATGTATATCTACGTCTATATGAAGTCGGTATGACCTGGGATGTCCTTTCTGCATTTGTGTTACCAATATGTTAACGAGGGCAAGTCCAATACTCATTTGGCGATCTGTTTCACGCTCACTGACTTTTACGTTTAAGCTAAGAAATGTTTCCTCAGTCTAAGCTAGTCACCACGGTTACCGGGCCCAGTAGAAACTTAACACAAAGACAGCGGTAGGGCTATTATTGATCAAACAAAGGATCGCAACCAAAGCCTTCATCCAAGACGCCTCGAAATGCACGAAGTGTTTCCACTACACTTTTGTACATGCACATTCTTTAGAAATGTGACTTAACATACACCATTCAAATAACCCACGTTTTCCGTTGTTATTAAAAGGTCTTCAAGAGCGTGTACTGTAAATCCTGTAATAAACGCCTTGCGTTTAATTATTTCGGCACGTCCAGGCGTATATTCAAGGCAGCCGTTCATAGTTTTAACTTGCGTTTCATCTCATAGGGTCTTATGATTATTAGTCTTAAATTCTGTTCCTCAAGCTGACAGTTATTTGTAGACATAATTGCAATGATCATTTTTACTTCACACCGGTCATACTGAGTCTCTTTTGTTTGTTTAAAAAGGAAATCATTAACCCTTGACCAGTACACATTAACCCTTGACCAGTACACATTACCCCTTGACCAGTACACATTAACCCTTGACCAGTACACATTAACCCTTGGCCAGTACACATTACCCCTTGACCAGTACACATTAACCCTTGACCAGTACACATTACCATATGAAAGTTTATAGATTCACAATGTTTGTTCTTCAAAACTGCGGGGCGGTGGGGTAGCCTGATGGTTAAAGCGTTCGCACGTCACGCCGAAGATCCGGGTTCGATTCCTCGTGTGGTTACAATGTGTGAAGCCCTTGATATTGCTAGAATATTGCTGCAAACGGTGTAAAACTAAACTCACTCACTCTTAAAAACTGCACATGGAATCAATCTTGCCGGATCTGTTCCGAGCCACCAGTCCATCCTTCAATCAAATGGTGTGAAACGCGCATGGCGACTTTTGTTGCAAATTTAGATCGTCCGCACAAAAGACACTAGTGAAGATTTATCGGAACGCATGGTTTTGGTATTTATCGAGACACTCAGCAGTATTCCAGCTATATGGCAGTGGTCTGAAAATAATGGAGTCTGGACCAGACAATCCAGTGATCTACATCATGAGCATGGATCGACGCAATTGGGATACGATGACATGTGTCAACCAAGTCAGTAAAGATAAGTTTATAAGTAAAGAAACACAACACGTTAGGGGGAAATGAGTTAGTGAGTTTAGTTGTACGCCGCTTTTAGCAATGTTCCAGGAATATCACCACGGGGGACACCAGAAATGGGCTTCACACATTGTACCCATGTGGGGAATCGAACCCCGGTCTTCAGCGTGACGAACGAACGCTTTAACCGCAGGCAACCCAATAGCCCCTTTGGGGGAAATGATTTGTTTCACAAGACAATGGTGGTCAGTTTTAACGTCTCTCACCAAACATTTCTTTCCTCGCCAGCATTCGTAAATATGCTACTGAGCTTGTGATGAATCTCGGAGACTTCAGTCCAACAGCAGAAACATCGACCCATTTCAATTAAATATAGAACGTCAATGCTAAAGAATACCCAGTTTTGACCTTCCTCAGAAACACATCTTATTTGGTGTAAAGGGAAAAGACATCTCACTTGTTGTTCTACTTGTGATTAAACACTGGATCTCCGTTAAAGGATAAACGCAGATATTATGTGAGGAATTCTCCCCATTGTTGTCTTTGAGATTAAACGTCAGGAATTCAGAGTGTCTGAAAGAAACACACACCCCTGCATATACACGTACACGAGGAAGTACGGTATTACACACTCTATCACAGGTTGTTTCCACTCGTGCCCTATCTTACTCGCTCATATGTAATGTGTAATATTTGAAAGTTAAATATATATTATATAAATAAGGAGTAGAGACTGCAGAAGCCCGTCTTGACCAAATCTGCGTGCGAACAAACGTTACGCTCGCTGGCTGATTCCCCAATCGATATCGCCAGCTAGCACTCAACCACTTGCCTATAGCTTGCCACTTGGCTTTCATACTGAATCATCTGAAGTGAGATCAGGTGTTTGTCAATAATAACAAGAAATCAGAAATAATATCGCTGGTCCCAAATCTCGCGCGATTCCACGCGATTATACTAAACATTGAGCAATTGAAGATATATCTTTGATGACATGAAGTGGACAATGAAAATACAATACCTTGCAGTGTGTGGCAGTGGAAGAGGCGAAATCAAAGAGTAGAGACAAAACAACACATATAGTAACTCCAATTAAAGGTAATCCTGTCAGAAATTTTAAAAGCGTCGGTATGGATATTCGGAAATAGTCCTTGCACGGAATGTTGTTGTTTTCAGTGACGAACGAGGCCATGGCTGAGAAATGATCGGGCCATTCAGTATTCGACAGCCTCCCTCATCTCAAAACTGAATACACTGAAGAACGATCCCGCCGTTGTTCGTGTGCAGTGAACGCTGTCAATATGAGACGTGATGTCTGGTGTGTTTGTGCGATTTGTTTCCTGTTTTAAGATCCATGAACGATCAGCGCTGTTTATGTTGATTAACGATCTCTGCCTTTGCGTGAACAGCACAGAGAATTCGTTTCAGTCAAGACTGGGTTCCTGTCTATGTTCAGCGGGCGGATTCGTATTGCAGTAGTGATTCTGGTTTAATGCTACGATGACTTTAAGCACCAAGGAGGAATATGTTTTTCAAAATTATCGGACCAATATTTATTTCAAAGACTGACATTAAAGCAATACTAGTATTCTGAATACCACTAAATAAATATATTGCAAGTGATTCCATGGCATTTGATTGGCCAACCAAATGAACGTTAATATAAACATGAAAAGAATTAATGTTGGGTCTCTCCACAAACGGACGACTGTACTGTTTTGAAAATGTGTGTGTGTGTGTGTGTGTGAGAGAGAGGGGCTGGTTGGTTTGGTGTTGGTTGGTTGGTTGGTATATTGAGGGTTATTTATTATTATGGGATATCTATATATAGCGCACATATCCACGCGACTAGCATGCTCAAGGCGCCGATATATTTTCCCTCGATCATTGGATGTCAACCTCAACGGCACATCGTATTGTCAATTTTAACTCCCTGGGGAGTATACAACTCTTGCAGCCACTAGACGCACCGAGTTATTGCGGCTTCACTAAGCAGTTGTATACCAACTCATTAGCAGGAAAGTGAAAGCACAACACACTATAGTGTATTCAGGTTGTATATTTGCCTTGATGCTGACATTGTCCCCAGTGATCGACCACACACCCATTTTGTCCGGACACATCGTCAGCCCTTTGTGTCAAGACCTTAGGCCCAGTCATCCATGATTATGTTTACATTAGGTTTTAATCGATTGCATGCGATGGTAGCGTAACGATCGGCAAAGCAGGCGGGTGGAGTACACCGAAGTGTCCGGCCTTGTGATAATGTATTGTACTGTGGAGCATTTCGAGTCGGGGGTCATCTCAAAAAAATATTTTTCTTAATCTTTAATCTTCGCAAAGACACGAGGGCCTGTGCTTCTGAGGGGAGTTGGCAAGCCAGTTGCAGAAAGCGGCCGTTACACCGTTACAACTCAAGTTTGCTTTCAAACAATGTGTCAGTGTATGTCAGAGGTCTCAGCTTCACTCCCTCGCTTCATGGTTGTCTTCACACAAACAGACCAACATGCTCACAGTCCCTGAACCATATTATTTATCCTTCCGCCCAGCCGTTAAACGATGGAAAAGCCTAAATGAAGCAAGTCTGGATACATTTCTTCACGTTCAATTTAAGTGAAGTTATTGGTGTCTATCAACATTATTTATTTTCTGAGACTCAGTGTTAGTCAACCACACGCTGTACAGCGTTGTCGGCCCAGGCGGAGTACTGAGGCAGACTGGGTGATCAGGCAGTAAACAAGGCTGAACACCATGTGTGTTATTCACGATCCTGTTAACTGTCCGCGTCACAGATGTTATTGGTTTAAGATCACAATGATTATTTGTTTTGCAGTCTCCCTATTCAACGGAAGAACCAACAAGAACAGGTCACCCAACAGGTCAAAGATGCAAGGATGACCAGGACCGCAACGATTTTACGACGTTTTACAGACCAACTACTTCGACAGTTGTTTTGTTTGTTTGTTGTGTAACTGGGCACTCAGCAATGTTCTACCTATATGGTGACGGCAGTGTATGAAATAAGCCAAAAACCCAGCCAGACATTGTGGCTGGTAACTTCAAAATGTTACCAGCCCAAAATGGATTCAACCAGACCAGACAATCCAAAGAAAGTTACTCAGATGCATGGAACATGTTATGTAAATTTTGTACCAGACCATCGGACTGGCTAGCTGTTAATTTAGACCGTCCGTCAGAGTGAGTGAGTTTAGTTTTACGCCGCACTCAGCAATATTCCAGCCCCCTGGCGGCGGTCTGTAAATAATCGAGTCTGGACCAGACAATCCAGTGATCAACAGCATGAGCATCGATCTGCGCAAATGGGAACCGATGACATGTGTCAACCAAGTCAGCGAGCCTGACCACCCGATCCCGTTAGTCGGCTCTTACGACAAGCATGGGTTACTGAAGATCAATATTATATCTAACCCGGAACTTCACGGGTTCCGTCCGTCAGAAATCGGACGGTCGGACGGGTCTTATTTCGGTTCATTCCCATTATGATTACTCCTAGTTTGACTAGCCGTCCAATACACAACCTGTTCCAGTCGAATAATTACTAGCTCTCTCCCCTCCATCAGGTAGACTGTTCCACAGGGGCTTGTAACACTAAAAACTGCCATCAAGGTATGTACTGTCACTAACGGGGTCTTAGCACTATATAAAAGGAAAGGGGTGTAACGAGGTCAACACACCTGACCAAGTTCGTTTCAGGGCGAATCAACAATGCTCACTGTATCTGTCCCATTTAAAACATGTACACATTTCAAGCCAATAGATTTACCTACAGATCTCCAGGACCAAACCAAAGGACCACATCACACCTGTCCTCAGTCAACTTCACTGGCTACCTGTCGAACAAAGGATAAAGTTGAAGACACTGGTTCTGACATATGGAGCAGTGAATGATCCAGATTCCCCCGTATATCTAAAAGACCAGATTAGTCCTTACACACCTGCACGGAGTCTACGGTCGGAGAACAAAGGCCAACTCATTGTCCAAAAAAACAGGACAAAACAAGCCAGCCTCGCCTTTTCGGTCTCTGCCCCAATGCTCTGGAACTCTATTCCACTGAAAATACGATGTGCAGAAACAATTGACTCTTTCCGCAGACAACTAAAAACCTATCTCTACTCTTGAGGCCTATTCTAGTTAGGCTTGTGATGCGCCATTGAACAGCTTTGAGTTGGATACCAGGCGCCATTGAAATCCATTATTATTATTATATTATTATTAAATAAGACACAGAGCAAACAAATCGAAGCAGTACTTTGGGAGCCAAAATCCCTGCTCAGAATTCGTAGCGGTGACTCACCCATTTTTTCTTGTTTATTTCACAGTATACACAAACGACATGCACCAAATCATGTTGAACTGATGGCAACCGTCAGCGCGCTAGTCGCCCTTTTTTCGGAGACACTTACACCTCACTGTCATAATGACTTTACGTACATTTATTCATCGCAAACAGAATTGTGTCGTGCCCGTTCGCCATTGACGACCTTGACCAAAACCTGCCCCGCACTGAAAAGAGTCAGCGATCTGATGGGACATATTTTATTTATAGCCAATGAGCTCCCTTGCTCTTTTCAGTGCGGGGCAGGTTAGGGTCAAGGTCAATGAATAAATGTGACAGTACATACCTTGATGGCAGTTTGTAGGGTTACAAGCCACTGTGTACTGTTGACGGTCTTTAAAATAATCGAGCCTGGACCAGACAATCTAGTGATCAACAGCATCAGCATTGACGCGCGCAATTGGGATACGATGACATTTGTCAACCAAGTCAGCAAACATGACCACCCGATCCCGTTAGTCGCCTTTTACCACAAGCATGAGTTGCGGAAGACCAACTCTAACCCGGACCTTCATGGGTTCTTGGATAATGAAGATATCCAACGGGATTCACCCACACTCGATACACACAAGATACAACTGGAATAAATAATTATGGATAAGTGGCGGACATATGCAAAAACATAAGTATACATGTATGTACATTTATTTTGCAACATGCGTATTGGCAATGATAACGTCCTGGGTAAACCAGCATGTAAGGATAAAAGTGTGGTAGACTGTGTGCTTACTCATGTTCACACACACCGACTTCACTCAGAATGGTATTTTGACGACGGTGTACACTCAAGTCGGACAATGGCTTCCCAGGCGTGTTCAGTGGGGGAAAGGTAAGGAGTGCCGGCCATGGATGTTTAGGTATGACTGGTTCACAATCCTGGCACGATGATCAGAGACGACACGTTGTAGTAATGGCACCAGGAGTGGTATAGTAATGTTGCCCGGCTGATACTGACCTGTTATGGAGCTCAGTTCGGCCAGTTATTGACGTACCACCCTTGTCATTCCACCCCATCATGCTATAAACGTTGACGTCAATAAACGTCCAAAAGGACGTCTCTGAACTTTATTCCTTCGGTTATGGAAACCATGGAACGAATGGTAAATAACAGATTTAAAAGCCAATTTCTCATTCAAAGTGACGAGGGGATGAAACTACCCTCCTATACCTACATAGATCGCTGATCCAGTCATAACTTGATTACGGCTCCATCTTATGTCCTAGAGCCTACAAAAGCTAGTTTAAACTACTTGATTCTGTCCACCACCAAGGTCTAAGACTTTGTCTTTGGTAATTTCGGCGTGACCAGCGGACGCTTTAACCACGAGGCTACCCCACCGCCCCGCCACAAAATATAGAAATACGATGCTATTAACGTTTAAAATTAAAATTCATTTGTAAATACCATTTTCTTATGAAACAAGGAATTGGAATTCAGTGTATCCATAGTTGTTTGTGATGTCTATTTTTACTTTCACACGAGAAAATTCGGATCGGCTGAAAAGCAGGTCATTGTCTGAATAGGCTGATGAGACTCATATTTCGGTTTGAATTCGAGTCTTCGGCGTGACGAGCGAACTCTTTAACCACTAGGCTCACCTACCGCACATCCATTCAGTGTGTATTTAGGGTTATTTATGACACAGCAAAAATACGTGACCTCGAGCCGTGGTGCCTTGAGCGCCTAAATCCGGTTCATTGATCAATGTGGAATGGCTTGAACACTCAGTGACCCCAAAGTGCTTTGGTTGTAGATCAAACAGACTTGTTTCATTGCCTAGGTTCATGGATATTAGCAGTATTATCTGGGCGTAAATAGCGTGAGCCCGTCACTGGGTTGATTTCGTGTGTATACTATTTGTATTGTACGCGTGGAGGTCAATACAACCGGCGACCTGATCTGACCCGAATATTTCCAAGGGGTGTTCGTCATGTGCTACAGTCAGTAATATTCTAGCTATATCATGAAATCCGGCCATGCAACCCTGGGCTTGACAGCATGGGCAACGATGCACGTCGTCAGGGCTTGTTGACACCAGCGGGAGAAACACTGTTGTTACGCAGTGTTCTATATAATATACTCTAGACACTGTGATTAGCTGATGCAAAAACCCTTGTTGAATCAACAGTACCAATCAGTATGCATCAGTGGTCAGAACACCCTCCCACACCATGCCAAATGTATCCATTTTTCCATTCACCCATGAACAGTCTACGCAGACTTCAGAATCATCTCTTAACATTCGGATACTATCTGATGGGCACGTAGGTTGTAGCCCTCCAAGAGAGTGAGGGGTAGGCCCAGTGTGCGAAATAACCACTGGCCCGCTAGCCCGTGGCTAGGAAAAATCCAGTCGGGCCAGTATATATCTACCGACTGGCTAGTGAAATTTCATGGGGTCATTTGTTTTTTATGGTATTTCACCTTTTTTGTAATCTTTTGCTTAGTTTCTACATTCAAATTTCGGGCTTGTGAATTATTTTGTGGACAAGTAACTTTCAGGCCTAGCTTGCCCGACTGGCTAGCAAAATTTGGAAACTATTTCGCATACTGGGTAGGCCACCTATCAATCCACCAAAAAGAATTTCAGTGAAGCACATCTATCCGTCCATGGTCTTACACCACCAGCATTCTGTCTGCATGAAACCTATCGTAGAGAGACAGATGGTTTTACCTTACATCAGTTTCAAGCCTATCAACATGTATCTTCTACGGATGATCGGCACATCTTCTATGATTGTGAGACAGGATTGTAAGCCACAACCCTGTTATACCTATGGCTGTGTGCACGTTGCGGAAGAAACATGAAAGAATGGTCAGTAACTGATTAATTTGGTACTTGGAACAAATATTCTTATTTCAAATAGCCAATGTGGTTTTAGAAAAAATAGAAATGTCATTGACAATCTGGTTACATTCGATACGTTTGTGAAAAATACTTTGATCAATAAACAGCATGCAGTATCTATATTTTTCGAGTTAGAAAAAGACTACGATGCAACTTAGAAATATTCAATTTTAATGGGTTTTAGAAGCCGAGTACAATTTTTTTTATTTTATAAAAGAAATTGTATATGGTTGGGATCCACCTTAATAAATTCTTACGATCAAGCTCAGGGTGTCCCACAAGGAAGCATATTGTCGGTAACGTTGTTTAGTATCAAAATATACAGTTTGTCTAGTGTTTTAAACGGCTCTGTTGATGGATCAGTTGTAGATGATTTTAATGTTTCACGTCGAGGTAAAGATATGCACATACGTGAGAGACAGGTGCAGCTTTGTTTGAATAAAGTACATAAAGTACAGGACGTAACGGCTATAAAAATGTCTAATCTGAAACAAAATCCATGTCAGTCAGATATATAACCACATCGTGACCCAGACGTGTAGCGGGCACTCCCATTAAAGTAGTAAAGAAAACCAAATGTTTGGGTATCATGTTTGATCATGTTACTTTTTTTGCCACATATTAAATATATATCGTTAAAAACTTGACTATTCAACCTTTCTGCTGCCAATATTGATCTCGATCATATATGTCCTTTCCGCCTGCACTGATTGCCATACAAAACCATGTCTGTACAAGTATGGCCCTGGAAAGTTTAATGTTGAATTTATTGTTGAATTTATTGGTGAACGTGAACATTCAAATGTCATTTTGCGTGTCTTACTCCTCATACCCCCTGTCTGCCTCTTGATCCTCTGAAGGGGCAGTCTACGCCATTCCTGGTGTAAAGCAGCTTCCAATTGGGCCAGGTTCTGTACAGGAGGATGCTTTTGTCCCACATATGCTCCAAAGTGTTAAGATCGGGGCTCATTCAATCAAATGTGTATATTTTACAGTTTCTTCGTTGTTTTAAATATCCCAACGAATACATATTTAAAAAATCATCATCTCTTAAGGATCTTTTTAGCAACACTAGTTCTCATTTAATTATTGGGGGGTTTTAAAAGGAAAGTGAACCCATTCATACGCTTTGATGATCGTAGATATTTCGAAAACATTGGTAGTATTTATAAATAACTTAGATTGTGAGTGGCTATACCCTCGACGGGGTTGAAGTAACGTAAAATAATGGTCATTCGACGTATTTTTATGCAAGCTATACTTTTAAATGTATATGGGGTATTCGTCATTTTACATTTTGGCTAAACTTGTCAATTATCTCCAGTGACTGAGGGGACGATGATGATGTAAATCCAGATAGGGCCATACAGGAACCATGTAGGTCCTCATGGTTTTTTCACTGTTTGTCTAGATTCAGTTGCTGGCGATCTGTAGCCCGTTTATATGTTTTAGTGTTGTTTAAAGTAATATTTTATGGTTACATACTAGTTGCAAGAATTAATCTGTGATACGCTAGTGATTCTGCTGTCCTTTGCTGACATGTATTTATTGCTTCTAAGTTAGTTTTTTGTATATAGCATTCATAGTCACGATGCTGCAGAAATACTGCCGAATGTGATTTTAAATTATAACTCACTCCCTGAGGTTGATATTGTGAGCAATGATGAACGCCATGGTGATACCATGTCACGCAATCAATCAGTGCCTGACCATCCGATCTATCTCTTACAGCACAGGGGGCGGTGGGATAGCCTAGTGGTTAACGCGTTCGCTCGTCACGCTGAAGACCGGGTTCGATTCCCCACATGGGTACAATGTGTGAAGCCCATTTCTGGTGTCTCCCGCCGTGATATTGCTGGACAATTGCTAAAAGCGGTGTGAAACTCAACTCACTCACTCACTCATTTACAGTATAGGTTCCTAGGGGTCTTTTCTAACACAGAATCTCCAAGGGCTTTATGGCACCCATGACATATCACCAAAGGCTTGTGGATTTCAACGTTTCATTATATATTTTTTTAATTCGTAAAGATAGACCCTGGTATATTTATAAACAATGTGATGAATGATTTGGCGGATATAACAACACATGTAAATTAAAGCGAAAGAAACTCTCCATAATCATAAGAAATATCTACTAAAAGTCATTTGTACGAACCCTACTGTATCATATGCATGTGTCCATGAATCACTTAGTGACGGGGGCGGTGGGGTAGCCTAATGGTTAAAGCGTTGGCTCGTCACGCCGAAGACCCGGGTTCGAATCCCCACATGGGCACAATGTGTGAAGCCCATTTCTGGTGTCCCCCGCCGTGATGTTGCTGGAATATTGCTAAAAGCGGCGTAAAACCAAACTCAGTCAGTCAGTCAGTCACTTAGTGACGGGTGATACAGGACGTTCTCAAACAGGGAGCATATTCTGCCCCACATTTAATTTGCCACACGCCACAAAGACATGCGCAGATGAGTGAGATCGGCATCTGTTAAAACACAGGAACAAACGTTCACAGTCAAAGTAAGGAATTTGCTCTTTTTATACTTTTTCTACGAGAACATTTTGAAATGTAATCCACAAGTCTACCAGAACATTTTGAAATGTAATCGACCTCTACGAGAACATTTTGAAATGCAATCCGCATGTCAATCAGAACATTTTGAAATGTAATCCACATATCTACCAGAACATTTTGAAATGTCATCCACATATCTACCAGAACATCTTGAAATGTCCTACACGTGTCTACCAGAACATCTTGAAATGTCTTCAACATTTCTACCAGAACATTTTGCTGCCCTACACGTGTCAACATGTTCTGGCAGCTTTGTTATAAAAATATGATGAGGATATTCCTCAAACTGCACTTGTTATTTCCTGAGTATCTTTCTCCAAGTTTGATTTTGCACCATTAGGACAAAGAACATTTCCCCATCAGAAGTCAGGATACATTTTCCCATCAGATGTCTGGATACATTTCCCCATCAGATGTCTGGATACATTTCCCCATCAGATGTCTGGATACATTTCCCCATCAGATGTCTGGATACATTTCCAATCAGATGTCTGGATACATTTCCCCATCAGATGTCTGGATACATTTCCCCATCAGATGTCTGGATACATTTCCCCATCAGATGTGTGGATACATTTCCCCATCAGATGTCTGGATACATTTTCCCATCAGATGTCTGGATACATTTTCCCATCAGATGTCTGGATACATTTACATTTCCCCATCAGATGTGTGGATACATTTCCCCATCAGATGTGTGGATACATTTCCCCATCAGATGTGTGGATACATTTCCCCATCAGATGTCTGGATACATTTTCCCCATCAGATGTTCCCATCAGATGTCTGGATACATTTCCCCATCAGATGTCTGGATACATTTCCCCATCAGATGTCTGGATACATTTCCCCATCAGATGTCTGGATACATTTCCCCATCAGATGTCTGGATACATTTCCCCATCAGATGTCTGGATACATTTCCCCATCAGATGTCTGGATACATTTTCCCATCAGACTGGATTCCCCATCAGATGTCTGGATACCATCAGATGTCTGGATACACTTTCCAATCAGATGTCTGGATACATTTCCCCATCAGATGTCTGGATACATTTTCCCATCAGATGTCTGGATACATTTTCCCATCAGATGTCTGGATACATTTCCCCATCAGATGTCTGGATACATTTTCCCATCAGATGTCAGGAAGCTATTAGCATCACATGTCTAGATACAGATACTTGACACACTGAGGAAACATAACAATCATATGTTGTAAGTTATTTATTAAAAATAAGTTACACTCACACTATTTCCAAAAGTCAATCTGGATTAGTCAGATTATCTTGATGAGAACTGGAACCTTACAGTGACACCCCAATTCAGAGAGTTTCCAGAATAACACAGAAACAACTTAATAAAATACATGGGAGTAAAAAACAAAACATTACACCCAACCCAGAAAAAGGTTTTCCATAATCTACAGGAAACATGAGAACCTAAGGCAACTTTTGTATTCCAAATGGAAAAAACAACAACCTAAAAACATTGAAAACCCTTAGACAGAAGCCCTTCACTGAATATATCACTCACATCACTGAAATAAATATGGCATCCCCAAATACAAAAATTGTAAAAATATATAAAAAGATATAGAAATGGAATCAAAATGTACACTCAGAAAGTTAAAAAGTCAGACTGACTAATAAAAACATTTGTAAAACCCTAGTTTTGATATTGACAGATTACCTGTTACCCAGCACCACTACTTGCTGTTAAAATATATAGAGAACAAGCAAGACAAAACTTGTAAACTGACTTTACAAAAAATGCCTTTTGAGTTCTTGTGCAAGGCTCTGGTTTGTACTCATGAGTTCAGAGGGACTCTTGAGCTTAGAAATGGACTCAAATAACCTTGTTTTCATAACTTACAGTGCTGATAACTGATTTGGTGAAAAGAATTATTGCAATCACACAAATATATGTTCAGTTGTTTGCCGACTTGTTTGACTTTATATCTACTTTACAGGAGCCAATGTAGTCCACTGAATGTCAAGACAAGCTTCTTGACACACCATAGATCTCATCAAGCTACAAAGGATCTAAATCACCTTGTAGGATATAGACCTTGACCTTTATTGCCAAGGGATCTTTGGATCTATATGACCTTGTAGGATACAGACCTTGACCTTTATTGCCAATAGATCTTTGGATCTATATGACCTTGTAGGATATAGACCTTGACCTTTATTGCCAAGGGATCTTTGGATCTATATGACCTTGTAGGATATAGACCTTGACCTTTATTGCCAAGGGATCTTTGGATCTATATGACCTTGTAGGATATAGACCTTGACCTATATTGCCAATAGATCTTTGGATCTATATGACCTTGTAGGATACAGACCTTGACCTTTATTGCCAAGGGATCTTTGGATCTATATCACCTTGTAGGATATAGACCTTGACCTATATTGCCAATGGATCTTTGGATCTATATCACCTTGTAGGGACCTATATCGCCAATGGATCTTTGGATCTATATCACCTTGTAGGATATATTGCCTATATCGCCAATGGATCTTTGGATCTTGTATATTCACCTATTTGCCAATAGATCTTTGGATCTATATCACCTTGTAGGATATAGACCTTGACCTATATCACCAATGGATCTTTGGATCTATATCACCTTGTAGGATATAGACCTTGATCTTTATTGACCATGGATGGTTGTTCTGTGGCTATCAGTTCATGAAAGATCTACTCAATCGGTGACCACTGAAGTAAAATACAATATATGTGTGTTCTTATGAATGAAAGAATGTATGATTGAGACTAATTCTGAAACATTTAGTTTGACTAACAAAATATGTTTGCGAAATTCTAAACTGCCACACAGTTACTAAGATTTACACTAGAATGTTGTATTTGTCTGACAGTAACGTTGCATACTGTTGATACAAGATTTCTTCATTCAAATACCAATCATCGCACACGTTACAGCACAGTAATGTGATGCAAAGAAACAAAAATGACTCGATGCAGTCCAAATAAATTACTGGAAATAAACAGTATCCTCATACATGAAGAGATGTTTTACCTGTGACAGAATCAGGTATAATAGCAATACTATCATTTTAAATACAGCTTTGATTTCATAGGTATCACAATTGATATTGAGTGTAGGGACAGTGGTAAGAAGAGACTTCACATCATACAATCATGTAAATGCCTGCTGTCATTCATTCATGTTACCCGTGAAGATTCGGGTTAGAACTATGTTCAGTAACCCATGCTTGTCGTAAGAGGCGATTAACAGGTTCCGGGTGGTCAGGCTCGCTGACTTGGTTGACACATATCATCGTATCCCAATTGTGTAGATCAATGCTCATGCTTTTGATCAGTGGATTGTCTGGTCCAGACTCAATTATTTACAGACCACCGCCGTATAGCTGGAATATTGCTGAGTGCGGCGTAAAACTAAACTCATTTATTACATGCATGTAATATGTTCATTTATTATATTCTTAAGGGTGAAATACTGTAAATATTGGTGAAAATAAAAATGGTATTTTCACTGTGTAGAAAAACATGTTATTTCACTTTTGCCTGGAACTACTTTCTGATTAAAGAGTTACTCGATGTCCCGCTCATTTATAAACAATGATCAAAATATAGTAAATAGAATATTTTGTTAATGTTGTCAAATAACATGTATATTTCATCTCGTGGTCTGGCAAAGTTGATATGTTCACGAGTGGCACAGTCAGATACATATTGAAGTTTGCAGTATAGGGATTGTCTTAAAATGAAAACTTGATACAATGAAAATGGTCAAAATAAAAAATCACAAAGCCTTAAGTATATAAAGGTCAGGTTTTGTGAAAAACTATTCATCTTTATCACATTCTGATAAAATTTGCTGCAAATGTATTTTAAAATTTTGTAAATCAAGCTAACACTGAAACATGCTGCTTAAAGAAAACATGAACACTGACATGTAACGTGAGACTCTTAGGGATGCGCAATATCACAGATGTGGACACACAGGCCAAAAACAGCTGCCCTTGTGTCGGCCTGAAACTTCTGTCAATCTGAAGCTTGTGTCAGCCAGAAACTTGTGTCAGACTGAAACTGGTGTCAGACTGAACCTTGCATGCAATGTAAAACTTTAAGAATGATTCCTTTCATACAAACAAATATCACACATGGAATATACATAGATCTGGAAGAAGAACCCGCATGATGAATCCTTATCCCAATAGTCTTGTGAGCATTCTCCAGGCCTAGCTAGTCTCACCATCTTTGTTCAGAACCCACCTAGTATTAACATCACTCAGCAGCTGCTAGGAGTTGCAACATCACTATTCAGATCTGACAAATCAGCAGATTCTGGCACTTCAAAGGAAATCCAACTCTTCAGAAAAGTAGCAGTAACTTGGTCACTTGGCCACCCATGAACCCATCCATCCCTCTTCCAACAGACAGACAGACAAACAGACACACACACACACAAAGTGTAGGGACCACCATAGTGAAGTCACACATCCAGATATGAGCTGCGAGCTGTCAGTGGTTCCAGGTTGACCACAGCCATGGAGTAGGTGTTGAAATCAAGGATCATGGTGCTGTGGAAGCACACATTGGAGATGACGATGAGGTATTCACACAGAGCAAACCAAGAGTAGGCTGCAACACAAGAGTGGATGTTAGTAATGTTCACAGGGAACTGCATGAAGATATTATGGCTGCAGCCAAATGCTTTATTTAAAACAACATCTGACAAATGGTAATAGATGAAAAATTTGGGTGGTAAATACTTCAATTTAATATTTTAATATATTGGGTGTTCTATAAACCAGTGATTGATATTATTTGGGTCTCATGTACCAGGATACAACTAGATTCAGACAAGTCACCCAATCTGACCACCAGGTGATGCAGAGATGCCAACCCCAATTTAGCCAGTTGGTATTTTGGCCAAAAATGAATGCAATAATCAGTATTTTGTTGGCCAAAATAAGTATTAACTTTTCCAAAGAATTTTCATAATTAATAAAGAAATATACAGGTATTCTTGTAAGTAACATTGTATGCACCTAAATCAGTAGTCAGTATCTACATATAGCTTGTTACTGAATATGTGGTCGAAATTTATTGTGTATGGTACGTATGCTATTTCCTAAGTTAATTTAATGTGTGTTTTCTTTTAAATTCGTATAGTTTAAGTGCTATCGTAGTCGCGTATTTTGTGTTGTTTTTTCGTAATGAATACGATAAAATCGTATGGGTTGGCAGCTCTGGGTTATGGCACCTCTCAAGTCAAGAGACAAGGTTCTGGGAAGCTCTTCTAACAAGGGCCCCACTGTAGACAAGCAACACAAAGCTGGGGCCCTGTTCTAAGATGGTTCCAAAACACCTTCAGTCATTTTTTTGGGTGTGACTGAGACGTCATTTCATTGCTGTGTAAACTGATCGATACTGTCTCTGTGATTATCGAAGTCATTTCTTCCCTCAACTGTGTCATTTCTTCCTCACACTGTGTCTGTAATGCAACACCTCTAACAGGAATATTATCCAATACAGTAATTAGACAAATATTTTGTATGTCTGAGTACATGATGAATGTATCTTTATCATGAGTTGCCCTTATGTACTGGATTATTAGTATTGTGTATGTGTTTATAAAGGTCCATAATGTGCAGGACATGATTCTTTACACAGAACTGGTGTCTGGGGCTGTAAAGAGTTGCCCTTAGGACATGTGTCACAGTGACAAGGTCCTATTAGTAGAGTTGCCCTTAGGACATGTGTCTGTAATTGGACAGGTCCTGTAAGTAGAGTTGCCCTTAGGACATGTGTCTGTAATTGGACAAAGTCCTGTAAGTAGAGTTGCCCAGTAATTGGACAAAGTCCTGTAAGTAGAGTTGCCCTTAGGACATGTGTCTGTAATTGGACAAGGTCCTGTAAGTAGAGTTGCCCTTAGGACATGTGTCTGTAATTGGACAAGGTCCTGTAAGTAGAGTTGCCCTTAGGACATGTGTCTGTAATTGGACAAGGTCCTGTAAGTAGAGTTGCCCTTAGGACATGTGTCTGTAATTGGACAAGGTCCTGTAAGTAGAGTTGCCCTTAGGACTTAGACAAGGTCCTGTAAGTAGAGTTGCCCATATGTGTCTGTGGACAATGTAAGTAGAGTTGCCCTTAGGATGTGTCTGTAATTGGACATGGTCCAAAGTCCTAGTAAGCCCTAGGACATGTCTGTAATTGGACAAAGTCCTATAAGCTGAGTTGCAGTTAGGACGAGTGTCAACACATGGACAAGCTCCTGTAAGTAGAGTTGCCCTTAGGACATGTGTCTGGTGTTCTGCTGGGATGTGTGGATAAATACAGTGAACACCAAGATCATTTCCAATATGTTTATTCCCATGTGAATAATAACAAAAATAATATTCATGCATTCTTATTGCAATAGTCTCTTACATGATCTGATCACATAACACTGACATAGAATACTTTAACCTACCTTTCACTGTTAACAGTGATTAAGGCAGTGACAGTGATTAAATATAGCTAAATATGTAATGTTTGAAAAATACAACAACTATAGCACTGGGTACACTTCATGATTGGACCTCGCACACAGATAATCAAGGCAACTTTTGAGTACTGTCAGCTCCACAAGGAAACTTCATACAAAAGGGTGGGACAGTTATACAGTTGGCAATATGGTTGCCTATCATGCTACATGCTAATCTACCAAATATAACTGACAAACCGGTTTTCCATTCATTAAGATTTGGTGTCTCCCGGGAGATAGACTGGTGTATTGGGTGTCCCTGGAGATAACCTGGTGTATTGGGTGTCCCTGGAGATAACCTGGTGTATTGGGTGTCCCTGGAGATAACCTGGTGTATTGGGTGTCCCTGGAGATAACCTGGTGTATCGGTGTCCCTGGAGATAACCTGGTGTATTGGGTGTCCCTGGAGATAACCTGGTGTCCCTGGAGATAACCTGGTGTGTCCCTGGAGATAACCTGTTGTATTGGGTGTCCCTGGAGATAACTGGATGTCAGGTGAGATAACCTGGTGGTGTCAGGGGACATAACCTGTGTATTGGTGTGAGATAACCTGGTGTATTGGGTGTCAGGGGAGATAACCTGGTGTATTGGGTGTCCCTGGAGATAACCTGTTGTATTGGGTGTCCCTGGAGATAACCTGGTGAATTGAATGTCAGGTGAGATAACTTTGTGTATTGGGTGTCAGGGGACATAACCTGGTGTATTGGTGTGTCAGGGGACATAACCTGGTGTATTGGTGTGTCAGGGGACATAACCTGGTGTATTGGGTGTCCCTGGAGATAACCTGGTGTATTGGTGTGTCCCTGGAGATAACCTGGTGTATTGGTGTCTCCCTGGAGATAACCTGGTGTATTGGTGTCTCCCTGGAGATAACTTGGTGTTTTCGGTGTCCGGGGAGATAACCTGGTGTTTGGGGTGTCAGGGGAGATAACCTGGTGTTTTGGGTGTCAGGGGAGATAACCTGGTGCTTTGGGTGTCAGGGGAGATAACCTGGTGTTTTGGGGTGTCAGGGGAGATAACCTGGTGTTTGGGGTGTCAGGGGAGATAACCTGGTGCTTTGGGTGTCAGGGGAGATAATCTGGTGTTGTGGGTGTCAGGGGAGATAACCTGGTGTTTGGGGTGTCTGAAGTAATCTGTTCCAGTGAGATACATAAAAGCAGGCTAAGTGACTAGTATGGTCAGGTGAACTACAACTGTAGAACTGAACTGGAAAAAATATGAACAGTTCAAATACAAAAAGTACGAAACAAGAATCAAACATACTGTCAAACTGATAACAAAAATTGTAAATATACGTCATGATTTCCTTTTTTTCATTTTCATCTCATGAAAGTAACAATAGAATCAACATTTGAAGACACGGAAGAGGCAACAATTAATGGCAACAACAAACAGTGATAATTACTGACAAAGAGATTATGTCCTAACAGCCTTCTTGAAAACCCATGTCTGTATTCAGTAGGGCTGCAACCATTCACCCAGACCTCAATTCGATTTTCGATATTGGACACTCGATTCGATCATTTTCAATTCAATTCTTCATACAAGTAAAAACATCAGATTTCATTAAACTCTCAGAGTCTGCTTTTTTAGAGTGAAATCCATCATCAAATTGGCAATGTCTTCTAACAAAAATTCTCATTGGATAATTAGCCCGGTGTCAACCAATCACATTTCGCCTTATTTCAGCGCTCGTTTCTGTTTGAGTTGGAATCAAAATTACGTTCTGGTTGTGTGGATATAATTTAAATAGGTATTCAAATATGGAATAGAAATAGTGATAATGGTTATTGAAAATCAAAACTAATGTGTCAGATTCGATTTTCGATGAATAGAACCAAATCGTTACAGCCGTTGTATACAGTAGAACCCAGCTTATGTGGATCCCAGGTATAAGGACATGACACCGATAGGATGATATTTAAGTGAAATGCAACATATTCTTCAAAAAATGCTTCATTTATCCAGAAATGTTATAATATATGGACACTGTATTTCAATTACCAACAGTACTAAATACATACAATTGTGTCCCTCTTACTGGCCAGCAACTACATTTGTTTAATAATTCATCACCTGACATCCAACATCTAAAGTACGGGTATTATGAGATCGCTGCGATCACTAAACCTGATATTACACATGCTGGTTATAAAAGTATTCATTTTATAACTGGACTGCCTTTTTTGATTTGTTTTGTTAATTTCATTTAAAATTTCATTCAATACTGTTCAACAAACTTGTGAGTGACCACACACACTAACAGAATATTTTAGTTCAACAACATTCACATTACTGATCTTAAGGCATGATATAATAGGTTTTAAGCTTCTGTAGAATTTGGGTAAGGGAGGTTACTGAAATACAGATATCCAGAAATTTGTTTGTCCTGACAAAATTTGAGAAAACACAAGCGTCCGGACAAAACAAGGTAATCTGCTGAGGATAGTTAAGTTTTGCCACAATACAACCATCATCAGTTCAGCTCAGAACTATGTCCATCAGAACTGCCTCACAAGGCAGACAAAATATCTGTCAGAACTAGTAATTTCTATTTTCAACAAAGGCAACCTCCCTTGCCCCTCATAGAGCCAGACAAATAAAAATAACATGAAACTATGTTTTTGTTATATTTTCGAGCATGATGTGGGCTTTGCTCACTTCAGTTTGTAAACAAAATAATCTAAAATGTTTCATCTTATCCAGTTTCATCCCTTGATGGTACAGGTGACCATATTTCCATTCTATCATGGTAAATGCCCTGAACTCTTGGTTACCTGGGTGGGAGAATCTCTGTGTTAAAGTTAGTGCAAAGGCAAATATTGATGATGGACTGTTTCTGCTAATTGCTTTGCACTGAAATATTTTTAGTGTAGTATAGCTTTTTTATAAAGAAAGATGATAAGCATTATCCATAGCACTTAAGACCAGAAATGGCTTGTGTAAAACACCATTCTGAAGTAAAAAATTTAGTCCTTATATTTACTATCTGACAAAATAACATCTACAGTCTGTTGTGGCTTTTCATCTATTTTGTTGATTTTATATCACTATCTGACATTCAGCGTGATGGCTCTGGGTCATGTAACCTTGTACAACAGTCTGAAAGCAGGGAGGTGGGCTATGAGCTGTTAAGGCTGGAAATATTTGCTCAACTCTTGATTTCAGAACCTAGTTAATACTTGTGGTCAGCTGGATGGCTTACACACAGTCCATACCATGTTATAACAGATGAATGTATTGGTAGGAATGCTTATCAGATTAAAGGGTTTCTAGGTTTGAGCTAAATTGGCAGACCCTGCCAATGAAACTGTTGGATAGGGCCCTTTATTGCTCAAAATGGAAATGCCCAATTTTAAGCATTTTTAGCATGTATTTAGCTTATGAAATATACTAAGGTTAAACAGATTACTCATGAGTGAATTAAAAATGCTAAATTCAGCTATTTGTTCCTGAGCAATATATTTAACTATAAAAAGCAATTGTTTCAATGTGCACCAAGTTCAGTTCTGACAAATGCAAACATTGAGAAGGCACAGAATTGAGGGAGTAGACCTAGATTGGCACAAGCACCCAGTTATGGAGCAGCGTCCATCTTTGATTAATATCTGATCCTGATACAGGATCAGACTCCACTAACAACAACATGTGGACTAATACTCTGCAGGGTAAAAAGCTAAAATAGCCAGGCTACTACAAAAATACATGGTCTTAACTAAACCACAGCTCACATACTAGGATGCATGTATAGATCATGTACATTTGACTTTACTGTAAAAATAACAACAACAAGACAAAGTCATCAATATCCCCCGCAATGGCAAAATACTCTTCATGATTATGTCTACGAGTTATGATTATGTCAAATATTTAGTGTGTATATAGAAAAGTGGAAGGAGAGTATTGAATGGTTTTTAAAGTTCTGCTCCAGGAAGGAGCACTATCACCAATTTCAGTGTAAGTCGAACTTGTTGCCATGGAAATGCCAAAAATATTTTATTCAGAAATCCCAAACTACCAAAGGCACAAGTACACTACCAGATCTATCTATGTGCCAAGTTTGGTGAAGAAATAGTAAACGGTTTTAGAGTTCTGATCCGGAAAAGAGCACTACCACTAATTTCAGTCTAAGTCGAACTTGTTGCCATGAAAAGGCCAAAAATATTTAATTCAGAATTCCCAAACTACCAAAAGGCACCAGTACACCACCAGACCAATCTATGTGCCAAGTTTGGTGAAGAAATAGTGAACGGTTTTAGAGTTCTGATCCGGAAAAGAGCACTACCACTAATTTCAGTCTAAGTCGAACTTGTTCCCATGGAAATGCCAAAAATATTTTATTCAGAATTCCAAAACTACCAAAAGGCACCAGTACACCACCAGATCCATGTATGTGCCAAGTTTGGTGAAGAAACATTGAACGGTTTTAGAGTTCTGTCTCGAAAAGACAAATGTGCTGACAGACACCCGCAGCAAAATGCCCCATAAAAAACGGGATAATGACATCGCAAGTTTCTTGGCCTTGAGATTTCATCTATTCTAGCGAAAAGCTTTAATTCCCTGAGCCATACAATATTAAGAGCAAAAGGGATTACAAATGGATTGATGCTTTTATCATAAGCAGCAGCTATCAGGTGTCTAAAGAGAAAGTACAAAATGCAGTAACTTCAACACCTCATATGCAACACTAAATTAATCATTAAATTTGTATCTAAATTGTTAAAAATATCGGGAGTATTTTAATAAGATAATGTTTGACAATTGTTTAAACGATTGCAGGAAAGAAGGAAGAAGGGCACAAACAGCATCAATGATCCTTGTCTGAAGAAATGAGGGACAATAAAATGGAGTTTGGATACATGGTATCAAATATTATTCATAATCAAGTTAATCATTCAAATACCGTAATCAAGTTAATTACACAAATACCCTTTTATTCATATTTCCAGCTATGTTTCATTACTCATTACTTGTGAGTAGCGGATAATCAATGAAAGACTGACTGACTGAGTTTGGCTTTACCCCGCTTTTGGCAATATTCCAGCAACATCACGGCAGGGGACACCAGAAATGGGCTTCACACATTGTACCCATGTAGGGATTCAAGCCCGGGTCTTTGGCGTGACGAGCCAACGCTTTAACCACTAGGCTACCCCACCGCCCCATCAATGGAAGACAATTTCATGATGAATTCTGTACTAAATGCATCCATCAAGTTATATCAGAAGCTCAAATAATCTGACAAGAAGGCATAGGTTTGTTAGCACTGAGGATTACAGCCAAGTGACCTTGACATTCAATTTAGTATTAACTGTTATTCAGTAGCAGAAGTGTGGGATTTTTTTAAACAATTCAATTTATGCAATGATGTAAAACTAAGAACTAAAGATCTTTCATGACATGTCATGTCTCTCAGAACCATGACATTAGTTGCATCTATACTGACACACATTGAAAACACAAACCAAATTCAAATGAGGAAAACTTAACAAACAACAATACTTGGATGGAAATTGTTCTACAAATATGTTGAAAATTTCATTGTGCTTGCTTTTCATAAAAAATGATTGCACGAGTTATGACTAACAAGTCCAGCGTCACACACAGACCCCCCTTACGTCCGTCAGTAGTGAGTGTGACCTCCCTGAGCCTGTACACATGCACGGAGTCGACGTGGCATGGATTCGCACAAACGTCGAACAGGTGCTTGGGGGAGGTTCTGCCACTACTGTTGTAAAGCCAGGGTCAACTCAGCGACGTTGTTTGGCTGACGTTGACGTTGCCATTGATGAATCCGGCGACCAAGCTCATGTTCATGTTGCTGCCTTTAAACGTTGTCTGCCATCTGCAAATGACACACAGAACCAGGACCCATTGAAAAACACCCACTGGTTGGAGATTCATGGTGGTTGGAGGCTATGTTGCTGTGCAAACAGGAGTCTGTTGACTCGACGTTGCATAATGACGTTTCCCGATATGGCCCCTTAGTGCCACAGCCTGCAGACGTCAAATGACTGTCATGGCGCTGATGAGGCGTCCTTTACGTCCTACGGTGTTTAGAGGTGAGTCTGCTGCTGTCTGAAAGCGGTTTCTTTGGTGAACTCGTCGGATGTGCCGGTCTGGATGTGCCATCGCGGACCCGAGTTTGTCCTAGTATATATAGTGAGTAAGTGAGTTTGGTCTTATGCTGCTTTTAGCAATATTCCTGCAATATCATGGTGGGGGACACCAGAAATGGTCTCCACACATTGTACCCATGTGGGAATCGAACCCGGTCTTTGGCGGGACGAGTGAATGCTTTTACTCCGAGGCTACCCCACCACCCCTTACATCTATATAAACATCGCCTGGGAATTTCTACTGACATATGCTGCATACAACACTGGCTTCTGTGCAGATTCAGTTAAATCCTTAGTGTCTGTGATATACCAAGAATCTAGACATAAAGTTTGTGAGGGGCATAACGGTGAGGCAAAAATTCCCCGAAATTGTTCTTTAAAGGGTTCGAAACATCCCTATATCTACCCAGTTTTATCTGGTTTTCTTTGACAGGTATTAAGTCACCATATCATACTTGGTATTCAGGATTTTTGAAAAAGCATTACATCATCATACCTCCCAAGGTATATTTTGAAGGGCAGATTACATCATAGACAATTTTTATTTCCATTATGATGTGTTTTCTGAGGTCTTGATAATCATATTTAGATTACTGTATATTATGACTAATAGGTGGAAGAATATGGCTGATTATGACTAATATTTGGAAGAATATGTATATATGACTATATATGACCATTTATTTACATTGTTAAAGTAATAAATATGATTAAAACAAAATCTCCGATTATAAAATAGAATATAATATGACTAAAATATGATAAAATATAAATAGACAACAAAAGGTTCTGTACATTCTTCAAATATGTTTTCTCTCTATTTTGTTGACCATATCCCTTTGTGCCAAGACAAGATTGAAGTCTTCAAAATCAAATATTGCCGTTGAATGGAAAGCTATGTTTGTTAAGACTGTGAGATATTCACACGCAGCAAAACCAGTGTACACTGAAAAACAGAAAGAAAAAACTACTGAACGAAATTCACCAACATAAAGGATTGATAATTATGACGAGGATATGTGCACTATCAGGGCTCCAGATAAGGGCCATATCGACGTATGTACGGATAAAAAATATGCACGATACGATAGGGAAATTTTGAAAACGTAGTAGATACGCACCACAGCAATGGTGTACGAATCATTTACAGACGTATTTATATGAAAAGTATTGTTTTATTGCTTATTGACCTGTTTACACAAGAGTTGCAATGTTGTGGTGCATATACCAAACGAAACACAAGAATACTGTTTACTAATTTCCATTCAGTACTCTAAATGTACTCTTAAGTTTTTCCAGTACTCCTATATTGAAAAAATAAGGAGTACATACTCCTGATGTTGAAAAATTATCTGGAGCCCTGCACTATATAAATATCCTATAATAATATTAATAAAATAAATACACACTGCATTTCATAACATTAACAGGTACAGAAAACTATGGTTTTAACGATGAAATCAGTTGCTTTTAGTTTGTAATGACCATTTTAGTTAATAATACCATATTCTGGGAAAGAATCCGTCCTCATCTAACGCATGCTTGTCATAAGAGGCAACTAATTGTTAGTGAGTGACTGGGGTACCTTGTTGCTTGGAGTAACTGAGTGAGTTTTGTTTTACACTGCACTCAGCAATATTCCAGCTATAAGGCGGCAGTCTGTACATATTCGGATCTGGACCAGATAATCCAGGGATCAACAGCATGAACATCAATCAAAAACTCTAGCCCGGGGATGGCAAGAAAAATCTATTTTAAGCTGAAAACCTAATATTGTGTCACCGAATTGATCAATTTGAAATAAAATCAGCGGAAATCCGCGGATCAGCGGAAAATTGCCATCCCTGCTAGCCTGAAAACCCATGATCAGCAGATCCTGTCACAACTAAGGGAAAGCAATTTATGGTACCATAATCATAGATCACAGGGCACTTGTCCTGTGGATGATTTCTTTTATTCAAGGTGCCAAATATTCTTAAGTTGAAAATTTGAGTCGAACCTACTGGGTGTTCTTAAACCAGTAAGAGAATGTTTTAAAAGATCTATCTGCTTATAACTGTTTCAGGTGCGTATACACTTCTGTCCATGCAATGCCTCCAGTGAGATCATACAGGTTGACAGCAGTGACGCATGTCTAATACGTCCCAGCAAACCAGTGGTTGACAGCACGAGCAACAGTCCAGGTCACCATATCTGTCAGATCACAACTGAGTCAGAGTTTTATGCGACAGATGTGTGCATACAGTATGCACAAATGTATAAGTGAGTGAGTTGGGTTTTACGCCACTTTTAGCAATATTCCAGCAACATCACGACGGGGACACCAGAAATAAGCTTCACAGATTGTACCCATGTGGGAAATCGAACCCAGGCCTTTGGCGAGACGAGCGAACGCTATAACCACTAGGCTACCCCATTGCCCCCACAAATGTATAAAATGAACTTGGAAAAACTAGGTATTGTATCCCTATGGATGCACGGTGACATTCACAGAAAAAGGTTTGTAGAGTAAGAGAGTTCCTGTAAGACGTAATCTTATATCTCACAGTACAGTATATTACACACCTTCATTTCGTATTCTTCATTTGTTCTGTCTGAACCATGGGTTTTATGAGTGATGAAATATAACAGAATTATACAAGTAAAGTTTGTACATATATAATCTTTTAAATGTTTTTGTGATCATTGTGTGTGCTAAAACATCAGCTGAAAATGGGACATGCATTCACAGGCACATTTTACGCAGGGGTGGAAATAACTTTAAACTTGCTAGTGTACTCCGGTACAGTGGCACATGTAAAATCACTTGCCCTGATAATTTTTCCACTATACCTGCTATTTTCTTGTTGATTTTATAAATAACCAACATAATTAACGTTGGAAAGTCAACTGGACACCGATACAGTTTGATATACAAATTTGTTTGCCTAACAGAAAAACACTTGACTGGACATGTATATATATATATATATAAATATATATATGGCTTAGCCGTGAACAGCCTCTGTGTTTTAACAGGATGTATAGGATGTTGGCGCTTGCCTAAAGTAGGGCATGGATCATCTTATCATATTCAAGTGAATTCTGAGAAGTCTGGTGATAAGTGTCTAATTGTCGTTCTAAGATCTATTTAGGCCAGCGAACATCACGATCTCGTCATGGATTCAACAAGAACCAATATAAATTTAGCGGAATAGTTGATGCTCGATGATCAACTTGTCTATAGGTTGATCTTATACGAAGTCGCCAGCGAAGGCTGGCCCATCAACCCGGCTGTACATCAGGTCCTTTCGCCAGCGAAGGCCTTATGCGAGAGCTGTACATCTAGGTCCTTCGTCAAGGTGGTCCATTGACTTCCTTGTGAAGGTGACATCATCCTGGCTGCTCGTTGGCGGGGGTGCCTCTGGGGTGCTGTATCGTTGGAGCCGGCGAAAACTTTCGGACCCTGCTACGCAGATATTGGTCCTCCATGATGTTCATAATTTGTCATCATGTATCTTCTGGGATGGTCTCGCGGCGAGATTAAAATTACGGTGCTTTATCCTGCGGTGTTAATGAAGGGGTCCACGGAGAAAATCGTCCGACATCAGTGTAGAGGCATCAGGCTGCATGGTGATCTCTGCTGATGTCGTTAGCCAATAATCACCGGTGGATTTCTTGTAGGCGTCGTCGAGGGATGATGATCAGCTGATCATCGTGAGGTCAAAATCGGCTGGAACAATCTGGTTAGAAAGTCCTAGTAGACCGTTGATTTTTCCCTCAGAATTTCGGCGCTGCCCTGGGTGTGCGGCGTCTCGTTAGTGTTAGTAATGATGGAATCCCTCAGGGCTGATCATGGCATATCGCGTTGGTACACATCAGGCTGCAATCTGTGCAGCAGCCGGTCAATCTTGATGTACATCGGTATGATGACCGGCTGATCACATACAGGCCCAAAACCGATGGGAGCGGTCACCGGTTATTTGAGATGTAGTAGAAAAACCCTCTAGTCTTCTGCTCGCGGCGATGGGATGTCTGGGAAGCAGGATGCTTCTTGGAGATGGCGGACTTCGATCCCACACCTCTCCACACTCTGTGGAACCACCACGGGGGAGAATTGACCAACAGCAGTAGACTGGCCGAGGTTCGGTGTATGCAGTCATACTAGACTCTGCATAACGACCTATCTGCTGTTGCCAAACGCTAGAATTGGATAAATTAGTACGCGCTGCAATGTGAATATAATAAACATGGCGCCGTACATCATATTAAAGTAGGATCAGCAGCAGCACAAATCACTTGCGTCCTGATAAACTGTAAACGACTAAATTCAATATATAATCACTATTGCAAAGGGATATGAGTGGTAATGGGAGACACAGGCGCTTTTCTTGTTGACCGTTCCCGCTGGCTTTATAAATAACTAATTGAAGTGATTTTAAATTGAAGGGAGCCAACATGTTAGCAAGAAGAGAAGACAAGCAAAAAAGCATGAGTTGTATAATCTTTTGAAAGTCAACTGAAAATGGACACACAGTTTGCGATACAGTTTGATATACAACCGTTTTCCACATCGACTCGACATCGGGCAGTGGGTTATTTCCACCCCTGTTTACGGTATCGCTTACTGAATTCTGTACATCAAACAAAGCATAACAGGGTTAAATTGAAGCATTCAGATCTTCCACTGGTGCAACCTGTAGCTGCAACATGCAACCAACCTGCACCCAGTGCATGTTACTGTTTTGCTGTTCAATGATTAAAGAACCTATTTTTTCACTTGTACTTGAAACAAACATACAAGGATAGATTCATATACATGTACTGGATATACTTGTCTTTTGAAATCTTGGTAGGCAGATTCATATACATGTACTGGATATACTTGTCTTTTGAAATCTTGGTAGGCAGATTCATATCATGCACTGGATATACTTGTCTTTTGAAATCTTGGTGGGCAGATTCATATACATGTACTGGATATACTTGTCTTTTGAAATCTTGGTGGGCAGATTCATATACATGTACTGGATATACTTGTCTTTTGAAATCTTGGTAGGCAGATTCATATATTTCACATTATTGGGAATTGTTTCTATTTGTAACCTACAACATCAGTTCATCAGTGAATAAACTACATCTACATACAATATACGTCACGCAAAACAAATACATGTAGTGTACAAAATACCCCATTTTCTGTGAACATGGTACATGCTTTTGTGCCAATTTCACAGTTTGACGAAAGGATATCTTAGTTTGGCCAGACAGCTCTATTTTGGGATGCCATTGTCACACCTTAATGATTCAGTATTAATATAGTGCACAAGTGATAATATTCTCTGGATCTTATCTATAGAAAATTTGCATTCTTGTTAATCTTCTATAATAACGTTACCATGACAACGGGAGGGAAAGTGGAAGAGGGGTACAAAAATGGTTGGTTGGTTGTTGTTTAACGCCGCACTCAGCAATATTCCAGCTATATGGCGGCGGTCTGTAAATAATCGATTCTGGACCAGACACTCCAGTGATCAACAGCATGAGCATCGATCTATGCAATTGGGATATGATGACATGTGTCAAACAAGTCAGTGAGCCTGACCACCTAATCCCGTTAGTCGCCTCTTACAAGCATGGGGTGCTGAAAACCAATTCTAACCTGGATCTTCATTGGTATGAGGGTATACAAACTGTTTTGCCTAGATACAAAATAAGGGAAAAGGATATTTCTTAAAACACAGCTGAATATTTAGAAATAACGAATACAAATTAAAACATAACTACAAGATGTACAAAAAAAGTCAACTAATAAATTACGCAAACTGTCAAAAGAAAACATAATCTATGTTTCTTCAACTTAAGAGTTAGTTTAGTTTAGTTTTACACCTCACTCAGCAATATTCCAGCTATATGGTGGCGGTCTGTAAATATTCGAGTCTGGACCAGACACTCCAGTGATCAACAGCATGAGCATCGATCTACGCAATTGGGATATGATGACATGTGTCAACCAAGTCAGTGAGCCTGACCACCCGATCCCGTTAGTCGCCTCTTACGACAAGCATAGTCACCTTTTGTGGCAAGCATGGGTTGCTGAAGACCTATTCCACCCCGGATCTTCACGTGTCCTTAAACTTCAGAAAAGAAATGAGCAATGAAATTATATTAGAAGGCAATACCCTGCTCAGTCCCACACATGTTAAAAAGACATCATGGTCAAACACACAAGCAGCTCACTACTTCAGCTTTGAAGTATCTGACCTAAACCTTCATGTACACCAACTGTTAAACCTCTATCTATAAATACATGGCAGAATGAATGTATGGACATTGCACAGTACTCCGGCAGCCATTCTCCATTCAGACATCAAGAAACTAAACAAACATGTCAGAGCCGGACACTAAAGATCCATGCTGAAGCATCGCGTACCTTGTATTTGCAATACGAATTTACCTCAGAAGAATGGTATGAGTTGACCTACCCCTGACATCAAATATCAATAACTAACAATGGATATTTCTAAGCCTTTTCTCATAAAGTAAACATACTTTATCTTGTTGATTGCACAAACCTATCGACACCATTATCACATGCTTGTCGGTTTACAGAATGATTCTCTGAACTGTTATTGACATTATTTTCTATATTCTTTCACCTGTTCTAATGGAGATTGATTCACACACAAGTGCTAGATGAATGCAAAGCAATTTGAGTTTGGTAGTTGTATGAAAGTAAAATGTTAGAAAGCTGAGGTAATGTCTACAATAAGCATTCCTGGTCACCTATCAAACTGCCAACTGTACTGACAGACTTTTAAAAGTCGGGATGCACAGTCTATCTCTATATAATTATATTTATTACACATGTGTTCTGAATATCTTTATGAGACGATTTTGGTTATTTGAAACAGGTGTTGTGTAACCAGTTTAAATTTATCCAACGAATGTTGTGTAACCAAACTAGGTTATTCAACGATAGTGACGCCATAATGCTGAACTTTCTGTTGCCACTTCGATGTTTTAAATTAACATTACAACTCCATTCAAGCAATTTTTACCAGAAATGTCAACCAAACAATCATTAGGTTTGTGGATAATTAAAATTCAATTTCGGTGTCCAATTGAATATTTTTAATTGTTTATTTTCATCTATAAAGTATCTCCCTTTCCTTTTGTTTACATCGTCTGCTTGATTTGTCATCATGTATCACACTGTTTTCCCGTCCTGTGTGTAATAAATAGATCACAAAACTCGTGGATGTTGAATAAGGAAAATATTCCATCCACTCGTTTTGTTTGATAATCTCTATATCATGCCCACTGGGTACTGATAGTTGTTTGGATATTCCATATATTTTAACTCTCATCACCATTTTATTGGTTATTGTTACATTTAAGTGTAGACATTGTTTTAATAGTTCTGGTAAAATGCTGAGTTTTCTGGTAAAATATAATTTGTATTTGTTTGTGTTCTGCCTCAAGTGAATAAGGCCTCACAAAAACTCACATCACTGACATACATGTTCAAGTACCTTTTTAAGCATTTATTACTATAGTCTGTTTGCAGTGAAAACGTACCGATGAATTTCACTTCAAACAAAAACGTAAATAAAAAAAAGTGAAATTAGAAGTACAAATGAGGATTCGCAATCTTAATTTCATCTTATTCGATTTACTTTTTTGTTTAAATTGACATTCATCAGTAGGTTTTCAATGCAAACAGACTATATAGGACATGTGACAATATAGAACAAACTTTATGGATAACAACTTCTTTTATTTAGCAAGTGTCAAGCAGGGATAACTGCTTGACAATGATACAAGAATCTGTATCAAAACGTGGCACTTGATAATAAAAGAAGTTGTTATCCATAAAGTTTGTTCTATATTGTACTTCCCAGCTTCTAAAAACATGTGATGTATGTAAATGTAAAATGCGTAAAATTGTTCAGTTTAAAATGATTAAACCTGTCATTACTCAGGATCCTGTTGTTGTTCTGTTGGAATCTTCATGTTTTTCATCATCAGTTTTTATGCAAACAACAGAGAGCTAACTGGGTAATGGGGATCACCATCTTCATCAGCACCATCACCAAGAATTGTCACTACTGTTATGAACTATGATACATTATCACTCTATTTGTATGAAAGAGAAAAAGAGACCTGGGACCTTTTATTAGGTAATATATCACTGAACCACACAACCTCTGCAGCCAACATCTCTGCAGCCAAGTGACTGACATCCAGGAAGGAAGAAGAAGGAAGGTGACTGTGAGCTTGTAGGACTGATGGCATTGGCTGGTGGGAAGGGAAGGAAGGAAGGAAGGTTGGCCTGTGTAGACCTGTAGGACTGATGACATTGTACCTTGGAGCTGATGAGCAGGGAAGGAAGGAGGGAGGGTTGGCCTGTGTAGACCTGTAGGACTGATGACATTGTACCCTTGAGCATGGTGGCTGGATTTCTGTCAGCTATTCATCAGAACCAGCCTTGTCATATATTTTACATCATACGTTACATACAGGCCGCTGTGATGTAGTTTACCACTGACAGTGGCATGGAACAACTAACAAAACTTCATAGCATCTCCCAGTTTTGAGCGTTGGCGCAGTCAGACACAAAAGGTTACATTTACACATGCATGTTGTAAGAGGAATATCACATGATGATCAGGTGGACAATATCAGCTTAGGTATTCCGTTCACTGCACTACTTTACATGTATGAATATACATGTCACAGGCCATATGATAAAGAACTCCAGCTCTGCCATGTATACAAATCTGATCAGCCTATCAAGCGTATGTAACATGGGTCAAGAAACTTATAAAACAGTAGTTATTGTATTGATACAAATTGTGATCCGCAGATGTCATCATGCATTGGTTTAGGGAACTGGCCACAGTTATACCGGACCCTGGTTCTATACAGATGGAATATACTGCTCATATTCACACTCTCACTCTGGCATCCATCAGAAGTGGTAGGAGTTTGTGTGGATGCTATGATCTTTGGATAATACCAAAGACCAACCTCTGAACCATAGTTTAAGTACAAGAGGTATTTAGTCATATAGTAACCATTATTAAAACATGTTGTTGCATCGACATTTCAAACAACTTTCTTTGCTACTGCTTGATTTCTGACAACAAATTTAACTTGTTGCTTAAGCTAAGTTTTCTTTTCAATTTTCTAAACTTGGCTTATAGTGACTACAGAACTAAGAGTAAACAATCTAACAACACTGATTAAATTTTTGTTTTGTCAAGTTTAGCAATTGCAAAATTTGAAAATTAGGAACATCATTGACAGACCATGTAACAATAACCCATTAATGCTAACAAGACTGACTGACTGACTAAGTTTGGTTTTACGCCGCTTTTAGCAATATTTCAGCAACATCACGGCAGGGGACACCAGAAATGGGCTTCACACATTGTACCCATGTGGGGATTCGAACCCGGGTCTTCGGCATGACGAGCCAATGCCTTAACCATTAGGCTACCCCACCGCCCCTAATGCTAACAAGAAACTCAGTCATCAGTCACCACACTAGATTGGGTGAGGACATTGTTGTGATATGTTAAATGGGGAGACAGGGTTAGAATAGTCTCCTGCAGCCTATGCTAGTCATAAGGGGGTCCGAAACAATCAGGTGGTCAGATGTGGTGACTTGGGGTGGATTGTTGCTCATAATATTAATCACTGGATTGTCTGGACCAGCTGTGATATTTTACAGCCATCATACAGCTGAACTCTCAATGTGGTGATGTACAACAAACACAGTATCCGTTATAGTAAAGAATCAGTTAGACTGACAGTTTGGTTTTACGCCGCTTTTAGCAATATTCCAGCAACATCACGGAGGGGAATCATTTACATCAAGAGTTGAAGATTTCATGAGGACTGAAATAGAATTTTTTCAGATTTGTATTTGCTATGTTGTTGTTCATATAGAGTTATCTGCCCTTACCTCCAGGTTCACAGTAAGCATTGTGACGGAAGAAGAGATACACAGCAAACATGAAGATGGAAATGTTGAAGAGGAACAACGAGCTCTTGTGCCGCAGAGATTTCATTTCCTGGAAAACAAACAAAGTAATGAGTTTTATGGTTTTACGTCCCTTTTAGCAATATTCCCGCAATATCACAGCAGGGGACACCAGATACGGGCTTCTCAAATCGTGCCCATGTGGGGAATCGAACCCAGGTCTTTGGCGTCACGAGCCAACACTTTAACCACTAGGCTACCTCACAGACCCAAAGTAATAAGAGGTGAGGTGAAAGTGGGTTTAACGTCATGCTTGAGAATATTTCGCACATATGACAACGTGCATGCATGTGTATGTGTATGTTTGGCTGCTTGTACTAGCCCAGACTTAAGCTGGTTTTATAGTGCTAGCCCACTGAGATACCACGCCGCAGTGAAGCATGAATACCCCACTCAGACACATTATACTGACTCAGAGCCAACCAGTCCTTGTTGTACCCATTAATGCTGAGCGCCAGGAAGGGACCAACAAGTACCATATTTTAACGTCTTTTGGTCTGTGTGCCTTTTGAAAACATGGTTTCATCAGTTATTTGTCTATTTAAACTTTTGGATCCTGCTCAGTGTTAAAAAGTCGAATTACAAGAGCAAGCTATTCAACTTCAAATAAGATAAAAACTGCTTGAACATGAGGACAATGTGAGGTATCAAACTGCCAGTCTTTTATATTACTAAACTACCTAGAGAGGCTAAACTCTAATTAGCTGACTGACACACCCCACTCTGTTGGGTGCTACATACCGTATGTAAGATGGACCTCCCATTGGCTGACTGTCCCCAGGTGCTACATACCGTATGTAAGATGGACCTCCCATTGGCTGACTGTCCCCAGGTGCTACATACCGTATGTAAGATGGACCTCCCATTGGCTGACTGTCCCCAGGTGCTACATACCGTATGTAAGATGGACCTCCCATTGGCTGACTGTCCCCAGGTGCTACATACCATATGTAAGATGGACCTCCCATTGGCTGACTGTCCCCAGGTGCTACATACCATATGTAAGATGGACCTCCCATTGGCTGACTGTCCCCAGGTGCTACATACCGTATGTAAGATGGACCTCCCATTGGCTGACTGTCCCCAGGTGCTACATACCGTATGTAAGATGGACCTCCCATTGGCTGACTGTCCCCAGGTGCTACATACCGTATGTAAGATGGACCTCCCATTGGCTGACTGTCCCCAGGTGCTACATACCGTATGTAAGATGGACCTCCCATTGGCTGACTGTCCCCAGGTGCTACATACCGTATGTAAGATGGACCTCCCATTGGCTGACTGTCCCCAGGTGCTACATACCGTATGTAAGATGGACCTCCCATTGGCTGACTGTCCCCAGGTGCTACATACCGTATGTAAGATGGACCTCCCATTGGCTGACTGTCCCCAGGTGCTACAGGTGCTACATACCGTATGTAAGATGGACCTCCCATTGGCTGACAGGTGCTACAATACCCATGTAAGATGCTATTGGCTGACTGTCCCCAGGTGCTACATATGTATGTAAGATGGACCTCCCATTGGCTGACTGTCCCCAGGTGCTACATACCGTATGTAAGATGGCTCCCATTGGCTGACTGTCCCCAGGTGCTACATACCGTATGTAAGATGGACCTCCCATTGGCTGACTGACCAGGTGCTACATACCCAGTAAGATGGCTACATCCCAGGTGCTACATACCGTATGTAAGATGGACCTCCCATTGGCTGACTGTCCCCAGGTGCTACATACCGTATGTAAGATGGACCTCCCATTGGCTGACTGTCCCCAGGTGCTACATACCGTATGTAAGATGGACCTCCCATTGGCTGACTGTCCCCAGGTGCTACATACCGTATGTAAGATGGACCTCCCATTGGCTGACTGTCCCCAGGTGCTACATACCGTATGTAAGATGGACCTCCCATTGGCTGACTGTCCCCAGGTGCTACATACCCGTATGTAAGATGGACCTCCCATTGGCTGACTGTCCCCAGGTGCTACATACCGTATGTAAGATGGACCTCCCATTGGCTGACTGTCCCCAGGTGCTACATACCGTATGTAAGATGGACCTCCCATTGGCTGACTGTCCCCAGGTGCTACATACCGTATGTAAGATGGACCTCCCATTGGCTGACTGTCCCCAGGTGCTACATACCGTATGTAAGATGGACCTCCCATTGGCTGACTGTCCCCAGGTGCTACATACCGTATGTAAGATGGACCTCCCATTGGCTGACTGTCCCCAGGTGCTACATACCGTATGTAAGATGGACCTCCCATTGGCTGCAGGTGAGATGGACCCCAGGTGCTGTCCCCAGGTGCTACATACCGTATGTAAGATGGACCTCCCATTGGCTGACTGTCCCCAGGTGCTACATACCGTATGTAAGATGGACCTCCCATTGGCTGACTGTCCCCAGGTGCTACATACCGTATGTAAGATGGACCTCCCATTGGCTGACTGTCCCCAGGTGCTACATACCGTATGTAAGATGGACCTCCCATTGGCTGACTGTCCCCAGGTGCTACATACCGTATGTAAGATGGACCTCCCATTGGCTGACTGTCCCCAGGTGCTACATACCATTATGTATAGAGATGGACCTCCCATTGGCTGACTGTCCCCAGGTGCTACATACCGTATGTAAGATGGACCTCCCATTGGCTGACTGTCCCCAGGTGCTACATACCGTATGTAAGATGGACCTCCCATTGGCTGACTGTCCCCAGGTGCTACATACCGTATGTAAGATGGACCTCCCATTGGCTGACTGTCCCCAGGTGCTACATACCATATGTAAGATGGACCTCCCATTGGCTGACTGACCCCAGGTGCTACATACCGTATGTAAGATGGACCTCCCATTGGCTGACTGTCCCCAGGTGCTACATACCGTATGTAAGATGGACCTCCCATTGGCTGACTGTCCCCAGGTGCTACATACCGTATGTAAGATGGATCTCCCATTGGCTGACCGACCCCAAGCGAAGACGTAGGTGGTCAACAACATGTAGGTCAGGGAGCACAGCATGAACAAGATGAAGAACTTCTCATGCAGATCTGCAAATACCAGACTGGAGGTTAGAAACATCACCATTTCTTGGCTGTACAATTCTGCCAGAATATACCGCCACTAGCTACATAAATGCCAATAAATGCCAATGGGCGGTGGTAGTAAAGAACACAACAGACAGTTTTATTGTTTCATGCAAAATTGCAAAATCAGGTTGATAGCTTGTAAATTATTGGGTTTAGACCAAACAATCCAGTGATTCATATTTTCAAAAATAATCCATGTTGTCATGTGACAGATTATCAACCAAGACACCACGCCTGATTTTACAAATTCTGATTCAATACCAGGTGATATCATAGTGACCGCTATATATCATAGAGACCACTATATATCATAGTGACCACTATATATCACAGAGACCGTGATATATCAACCTGACCACTATATATCATAGTGACCACTATATATCATGACCACTATATATCATAGTGACCACTATATATCATGACCACTATATATCATAGTCACTGCTATATATCATAGTGACCACTATATATCATAGTCACTGCTATATATCTTAGATACCACTATAACATAGAGACCACTATATATCAGTCACTGCTATATATCATAGAGACCACTATAACATAGAGACCACTATATATCATAGTGACCACTATATATCACATTCACTGCTATATATCATAGAGACCACTATATATCATAGAGACTGCTATATAACATAGAGATTGCCTAATAAGAGAGTTAGGACCACACAAACTTGTGATTCCAATCATGATTAACTATCCACACAAAGGTACGATCACATACAACAACCAGCATCACAAACATTGAATCCCCGATCCCAATATCATTGTCATTCATCTCCTTTGACAGGTAAAGTATTCGGAGCATTTACTGACTTGAAATGTCCACAAAGGGACATTACTCTGCACAGTGTAATCACATCTTACAACTGATAGCCTTCTAAAGACATGATTTGATACTCAATGTATTTAGAATCATTAATCTGCAGTTGCATCCTTTGCATTGGATGAAAAAATAAACTTAAACATTTTATTTCTATTTTTCATTCATTCTCAATCAGTGATCAAAGTAACAAACAAAAGTTGACCCAAGCCATGAACAAACTTAGCCCTTTTCCAGACATTAGGTATATTAGTTTCTTATCAATTGTACCATTTCTACAGTAAGCATTGATTCACATGGATCATTAAATAGAGTGACTTTACTGGCTCACTGCAGCCCATAGGTGGAATAATGCTGAGTCATGTGACTGCAATATTAAACAACAAACAAACTGCACCATACTTAGGATATTAATATAGGTCTCTACCACTCAAATAATGTTTAGAAAGGTATTTAGAAGTTGGACGAACATGAATACATGACACATTTTATGGATAACAACTTCTTTTTTATTCTTTACACAACATTTCAGAGCAATGTTTAAATTCAACACACCTCAACCCCACTCTTGGCTTTGTCATCACAATAGATTGGTGCATTAATCCAATGTAACTGGCTTAATAATTTTTGTTATCTTTGTACATTCTCCCTCCTTGCATTGTGTAAACATGTTTCTATTTATATATATATTCCGTCTTTGTACTGACTCAGCATTCACCTGATGAAGGAGCAAGAATTAGCTCTGAAACTTTGTGTAAAGAATAAAAAAGAAGTTGTTATCCATAAAATGTGTCATGTAACCACTCAAATAGTATCTAAGAATTAATTTCCGTCAATAACGAAAACATTTGGGAGGGATCCAAAAGAAAATAATCAGTCACAATTCTTTGGACTCTCTAAAACAGAACTAACAAAAGTATGGCTTTGAAAGTAGCCATAGCAGCACTTATGAAATGACACTTGTGTGCTCACCATGGTTCTCTGTAGATGATACGCAGGTCAATCCTAACAAGGCCAAGTTTTCACAGATGTGTAGAAATGTACACAAGGCTGCCAGTGTTTTATACAGCTCATTTCTGTGTCCAACGTGAATTGACGTGTGGTAGCTGTAGTATGCAACAGCCACCATGAACCGCGGTGAGCAGTGTAGTGCAATACACACCCGCCATACATATCGCTGTGGGGTGAAGCCTCCTATAGCAGCGCTTATTGATGGTAAAAAGTTTGGAACCTGGAAAATATAAATTCGAACTTTCAGTTTTCCAAAGTATTCATCATAAGTAAAATATTCACAAAGTACATAAAAACTGGCTCTTATCACAATTTCGGTAGATTTAGTGATATTTTATGGACTTTAATTGCTGAGCTTAGGGACAGTTCATAATCTATGGCTAGGGGGTTGATGATGATTTTAAGGGGGGATCACCCATTTTGTTCTGGGTGGGTAGGGGGGCATCAATTTTGTACACATGTACTAGGGGGTGTCCTTATTGATTTTGTACATAAATTTTAGGGAGGGTCACTCACATTGTACATGCTTCTCCATAAAATCATCATCATTCCCCCACCCACCCCCATAAATTATGAACTGTCCCTTACTGACCAAAAGAAATATTACAATAACTGAACTTCAGATTAATGAGTGAGTGACTTGGGTTTTACGCCGCTTTTAGCAATATTCCAACAATATCATGGCAGGTTGACACCAGAAATGGGCTTCACACATTGTACCCATGAAGGGACTCGAACCCGGGTCTTCGGTGTGATGAGCGAACGCTTTAACCACAAGGCTACCCCAACACCCCTTTAGATTAATGGCTTAAATTGCCAACAACATTATACTGAAGAGTTTAAAGCAGTCTAAATGTTATAACTGGGGAGGTTTTTTATCCATCATCCCACAGAAAAGATGACAAAAGCATTTCTCCTGGTAATATCGGAATGTCTATGTATTTCAGAAATGCAACACTGTGATTAAAGTAATGATAAAACTATTTTACAAAACTGGCTGTGAGTCATTATAAGCTTTGTCATTGGCTGCTTATGAATGCATCATTAAGAACTGTGGACGACCTTTACATCAGTGGGGTCTTTGGGTTTTTTTAGATCTACATTTCCTTGTGCTTTCCCATCAGTTTTGTAACGACTGAAATTGGACGAACTTATTTAATTAGAAACTGGTGGAAAGTGTCGTGATATACAAAACACGCCATGGGACCAACATCATTACTGACCCATTGTCAATAACTCTCCATCCATTTCCTGATTTTACGTACCCTACAGTGTGTTTTTGTGGAAGATTCGAAGTTGAATATCACCGACCAAATCACGCAGAAACAAGTTGCAAATATTGGTAAACTGCAAACAATCTTGCCCAGTGTCGCAAGCGTGACTTTGAAATGCACTGGTTTGTTGTGATCTGAATAACTTGCAGACATGACCTAGTGTTATGTTGAATATATAAAAATAAACTTGAGGTAAACACATGACATGTGGAGAACCCCGGAAGAAAATATGGTTGTATGGTACTTTCCCTGCGACTAGTTTTATTACATTCACATCACGAGTCGTTATTTTGTCAACAAAAGATAAACTGGGATTGTGAAGGATTGAAAATATTGGGTCAGTAAAAATAACATTAAGACAACAGCTGCTGACAATGGTCAGTAATCACAATGAAGTGATCAACATCATGAGCATCGATACGACAAGTATGGGTTGATGAAGACCAATTCTATCCTCGAAACTGGACTTAGTGGAGATATAGATATATATGTGTATGTATAAAGAAATCCACAATAAATATTGACAGGCACGACACGAATTCACGAGAGAGAGAGAGAGAGAGAGAGAGAGAGAGAGAGAGAGAGAGAGAGAGAGAGAGAGAGAGAGAGAGAGAGAAAGAGATAGAGAGAGCAGCGGAAATATTTATGTAAAAGGTCATTGTAGAGCTCTAGTACTGGCTAGTTGTGTGCATGCATGTCTGAAATGTGAAAAGTGGAAAAGTACCTAATGACTTAGTTAGCACACATAAAGTTCTGTCTGTGCCCTGAAAACGTTTACATCTTTCGGGTAATTCTACCATTTCTGACCAGGAATGATGCCCGCACCACAATCTCCAGCTCGGAAACAAATGTTTTCACCTTTAAGGGGTGTGCAGCGTTTCTTCAAACTGACAACGGGATATCTCAGTGCACACATTCTACTTGTTCACATGTGTGGAATGTTTACTATATGTTTGCTGAATACACGCAGTATGCAAGACAAGAAAGTTATAAAGTTAAACAAAATTAAATGATTATGCTTATTGTCTGCAAACGGGTTCTCATTATTTGTCGGGTTTAGCTATAACGTTTAATAAGTTACAAGTAATTTCTTGCGGATTGTCGTATGGTGGTTTGCATGCACTTCCTAATTTGTTTACTATTGACAACATAAACTGTCACATCAGTTATGGACATCACTCGTGATTGATGCAAGGTACACACTTTGGTTTAGATTTCGATATTCATTCCAACGACAGAACAATCTGTTATTATTTTAGTATCAACAGACGTGTCGCTTCATTTACAATTAGTGGTGTGGGAAATAGTCTAATTTAGATGACGTTATGGAATTCTGGGTAACAGGAAGTTTAGACTGTCTGCGTTGACAGTAAAAATATTTAGGAAAATTATGAATGTTGCGGATTTCTCTCCATGTCTAGAAGCATGTACATCAAAATACAGGTAGAACAACGCACGATTTAAAGTTTGTCACCACGCAGACGTGTTGACAGACGCTCACACGCAGGACAATCGTTGAAATGTCGCACTGGAACAACTGGTGGTGAACCAGAAAACGTAAACAACGGACAGACACCATGAATATGGCTGCAGGAAAGTTAAACAGTCAAGACAAGAAGGACTTGGAGAAATTCACCAAGTTTTTCATTTTCAAGAGCCTTCAAATCATCGTTCAATCAAGGCTCGGTGAGAAGATCAAGACCAAATCAAAACCATTTTCATCTGGCGCAGACTGGGTATGTACCAGCGAATTATGTCATCCATCAGCTGTAAACATTAACATAAACTTAAAGCAAAAGAAAACACTTTGTAAACTAAGAATTTGTAGCAATCTTGGTACATTGTTCATGTTTTTAAAAATATATTCCCTACCAAAAACTGACAAAGTAATGTGATATTTTGACTGTTTTACAGTGTTTATAATCTTGGTCTTGACAGAATTACTGTAGCAATCTGGTGAAGTAGATCCAACCGATAACTTACTGCTATCCAAGTTTGTAACACAGTTAATCCCCTGATTCAATATATCAGTTTCTGTATTTATCAATATATCAGTTTGTTTTTCAACATACTTTATACAGGCCTGGTACGTTGTAAAATATGTATGCCTTTGGGATTTTTAAGATAGGGATATTTTGCCATGTTGTTAATGGCATTTTTCTCTTAAGATTATTGTGTTAATCATTCAAATGGTCTTGTATAATGTATGGCAAGTACTGAAGTAGTATAAAATCGACATGATAGAACACCATGTAAATCATGTTTTCCAAACAGAAAATGACAGCTATTTCACAATACCTGCAAAAAGTAGTTGTACTTGTAGCAACACCAGCTAAAACGAGACTCATATTTAGACTTTGAGTAATGTTATCACATTTACATATGTTAGAACTGCACATCTGCAAGTCCTGACAAAAGTGTAACAATTCTTTGGGGTCTGGGAGAGAGATTACTACTAAATGTGCTGTTTAAACGATGTTAACAACAATGTTAAAGGTATTGGTAAATTAAGTTCAAAATGTTAAACTTTTCTTTTCTTCATTTGCTGCTATGATACTGCACAATAAACACCACAAGAGGAAATCCTGTTATAAGACATTAATTAACTTTCAGAACTGCTTATTTTCAATAGACCTATGAAGATCTCGGTTAGAATTGATCTTCAGTAACCCATGCTTGTCGTTAGAGGCTGACTAACGGGATCGCGTGGTCAATCTCGCTGACTTGGTTGACATATGTCATCATACCCCAATTACTGGATTGATGCTCATGCTGTTGATCACTGGATTGTCTGGTCCAGACTTGATTTTTTACAGACCGCTGGAATATTGCTGAGTGACCAAAGTCACTCACTCACTCATTATTTTTAGTAGTTTCAATGACCAGGATGACTCTTAATAGTCTTATACTAAATTTGAATACAGTGAATTTTTTTCATAGTGTGAATAACATTTTTATTTCAGTTCAACCTTGCCATACGGGATATCCCAGAAGTGCAAACTGAAGCAAAGAAGGTATTGTCTGGGCAGCAGTCCATGCTCGGTCAGGATGTGTGTGTAGAGATATCCCTGCGTACAGCAGAGGGCGACACCATGGTGTTAGAGACATGGTACATCACCCTCAACAAGGAACAGTGCGACCCAGGCGTCAAGGTCTCCTACACCGTCTACAACAGGATGGGTATAGCTTTAAAATCCTTATTTTCAGTTTCTCGTGTTCCTCCTGCCTATAGGTTAGCGAGGAGACAAAGTGCCAACGGGGGAGGAGATTACGTCATATGCTACAGAATCTATCTCGGACATCCACAGTTCTTTCAGTTGGGTGATGGATACCAGTCTACAAAAGTTGGAGCCATTCCTACGCCAGTTGGGACAATCTTGCTGAATCTGGCTTACCGGACAAAGCTGCTCATTTCTCCACACAAAACAACCAAGGATTTGCCTTTTGAAGTTAAGGATGATCATTTCAAAAGAGATGCCAGCCCAAGAATTCCAACAACACCTAAACCCTGCAGTTTAGGTTTTAGAAGGTAATCTCCAGTAATATGATCCAAGAGTCCAAGGTTGGAGGAAATTGATGGAATAATGCATTTTCCGGATGACAGTTTTTCGTGTGAAGGCAAAATAGATTTGATGTTTAGACACATTCAATTAGCTGAAATATGTTCTACCTCTTCCATAGACATGGTAGCATTCCTTCCTTTTCATCACAGATGGGTTAAGTATAAAGAATCATGTTCAAAAGCGTTTGAAAGTTTAACAAAAGCAAAAGTACTTTTTGACCTCAGGGTTTCAGATGACTGTGTCAGTATGCCCTACATGTTGATTGTTGCTCATGCTATGAACCATTGGTTTTTGTTGATGGTACTAGCCTTTATGTTTGTGACTGGCACCAACGGTAGCCTAGGATATGCTTTCCTTTTCACAAACTCCTATTTCACACATTCTCATGACAAACACTGATGAAGTAAGGATCATATAGCTGACTCTGCTTTAAGCAGAAATATGTAATAATTATTGATATGGAAAGTTGTTAGTTGTATTGCATTTCTTACATCATAAAGCTAATATATTTAATTCAGTGTGATAAAGAACTTTTAATCACCCACCACAGTCACCATTTTGAAACTAATTAAAAATGGTAACCAAGCATGTCACAAGATTAGCAGGCTCCTTACAGGGTTGTGTGTACCTGTATTATATTTTACCGATGACTGCGCCAGAATTCATCCCGCTATATTATTGTGCATGTTTGAACTTGATCGCCGGGAAACGTGTGCACAGCTGATTGCACGATAAATATTATAATGACTAATATGTAATAATATGTTGAAATAATGAAAACGTACAGGTTAATATGTATTTTATTCATCATTCACAACATAAACGCTGTAATCGTGGCAAACATCCTGGCAGATGTACCAGTAACCCTGTAACATCGTCCTGGCAGGGCACTGGCGAGCTAAAAAATATTTCCGTGAAATTGTATCTCATAGATAAGACGACCCCCTTCTAAAGACATATTGTTTGGTCCTCAAAATTCGGCTTATAGACGGTAATATACGGTATTCCATTTTTTCTTTTTCCTTAGGAACAGTACCTCTGATGAGCTCCTGAACTTGGGCCTAGACAGACAGGACCTGTGTTCCACCATGTTCTCCACCAGCCCCTCATCCGACCTGACCATCAATGAGTGCGGAGTAGCGGTCAACACTCAGCCGCTCTGTATCATCAATGAAAAGTCAACTGAAGGCAAGGACGACCATCGGCCCAGAAGGTTAGTTATAGTAGAATTTACATGATGAAGGTGACTCCAGTAACTTTGACATTGTAAAGATTGAGTATAGTTACCTGTCAGGGATTTATCTGTACCTGCTCAGACCATTATTTGACAAAAAAAACTAAAACAGATGTCGGTGAAAATTCACAAATTTGAATTTTTAAAATCCCCAAGTTTTACCAAACTGCTCTGTTTAACTACTATGTGAAACACCTCTGACTTACATATTTTTCTATCCAAATAAGCCTGACAAGGACAATTAGTCAGAATCCTAGATAAATCCCAGCCTATATTCTAAAATATAGTTATGTTACAAAAACATAAAGAGGTGGGGTAGCCTAGTGATTAAGGTGTTCGCTCATCACGCCGAGGACCCGGGTTTGATTCCCCACATATGGGTTCAACGTGTGAAGCCCATTTCTGGTGTCCCCCACCGTGATATTGCGGGAATATTGCTAAAAGTGGCGTAAAACTAAACTCACTCACTACAAGAACCATAAGCACAAAATGAGTTATGGGCTAGTTGGATTTAATTTATATTGCCTGTCCCTTGTTTTTAACAGATCCTATATTTAGGATTACACTTTCTTGGATACATAAATTCTACTGCATATTTTTTAATAAGATTCGAAGTGATATTCTGCGTGAGGCATCAGATCGCCAACACACAACATATAATATCTGTTACATTTGAACTCTAAAATGTCATTGTGTATTTATCCCTTGTTCAGACAAATGGATTTTTTCCAGTTATGCTGTTCCAAGATATAGGAATTGATATGCAACCATTTCCCCACAGTGTTCCAGAGAAGGGTTCTAATAGCTTCACAGAGCTACAAAGGGTGGGGGCATTTGCAACACATCGCAGCATGAAGGACTTGAAGACTGACATGGAAGAAATCCCCTTCTTCAGCCTCCTGGCTGCGACCAAACCAGCAGACATCCCACCACCACCACCAATAGAAAAACTCAAATCCTCCATCACATCCGGAGAGCCAGACAACATGGAAACCACCACCAACTCGGCTGGAAGTGATATTAACAAGAGCAACAGCAGTGATGCTTCAGCTCCAGATGATTTTGTCATGGTTGAATTGGTATGATGCTTCTGCAGTGTTTTCTCATTTTTTATGTTGAGTATTTTTCATGGTAGAGTCAGCTTTCTACAAAGAGAAGATCCCTTTGGGGATTACAATTTGGAGTAAGTCCCCCAGAACCTATGCTGGTCGTAAGAGGTGACCAATGTAGATCTGGTGGTCAGGCTGTGATGGTATGGAACATTGCTCATAATGTCAGTCACTGGATTGTCTGGTTTAGACTCGATTTTATAAAGACTGTCTCATTTAGCTGGAATATTGCAGAGTATGGCAGGGCTCGATTTAAGAGATGTTAACCCACTTGCAGCAGGTGCAACCTAAGATAAAAACCTACTTGCACCAACCAAATTCCAGTTGCACTGTTTTTATTGCAATATGTAATATCAGAAATATGCTATTGAATTATTTAGATGTTTTTTTCAGAAGTTTACCCACTCAAAAATTGACTTGCACCTGGTGCAAGTTAGACTAATAACTAGGTTGCACTTTGTAATATTGGGTTGCACCAGTGCAAGTAACAAATCACTAAATCGAGTCCTGTATGGCATTGACATACAAACAAAGGGATGTATTGCATTAAAGACAGGTTTGTGTTTTTGCTTTGAAGATATTACAAATATAGAAATGATGAGTCATTCATCCATTTAAAATTGAATCCGTGAAGATGCGGATTAGAATTGGTCTTCAGAGACCCACGTTTGTCATGAGGTGAATAACTGGATCGGGTGGTCAGGCTCTCAGACTTGGTTGACACTTGGTACTGTATCCCAGTTCAGAAGATCAGCTCCCATACTGTTAATCACTGGATTGTCTGCTCCAGATTCAATCATTTACAGACCGTCTGAAATATTTTTGAGACCTGGATTAAACAAATAATCGATCTATCAGTGTTATGAAAATTATGTACTCACTCATTCATGAAACAATTCTTTCTCTTTTTTCCAGAAAACTCCATTCGCAGGAGCAGATGCTAACACTGACCTTGGCAGGTTCTACCGGGACTGTCAGGGTGCACCCAACTTGAAGATGTTCGATGAGGAGGAGAGTGGATTTAATGAAACACTGGAAGTTGTCACAAACCAGCTGGCTTTGTTCGAATCAGATATGAAGGGTTTTGATGAATTTGTGGATTCGTTGAAGGACCAAGATTCTAGCGGTTAGACTTTATCACTTTGAGCACAAGCTGCTATACTGACCAAACGACATGTGCTATATAACACTGATAGTTCTAGACAATGTGCCTACTGTATCTCATCCTGCAAACCACATCTTTCTCAGTTTACTTACTTTCCCTCAGTAAGGGTTATGTGTCAGGATGAACCGGAATTGTGTTTCCATTTGACTGTCAATTTGATAAATATTAATCAAAATTTTATCGAAATCAGTATTTAGGATATTTTGGATTTGGGTCTTTTTCTTTTCAAATTTTTATGTTCTAAGGTTCATAACAACAAAACAAAATTTTAAGTTATCGCATGTGGCAGAGCCCTGAAAATCTACACAGTATTGTTTATGAGACTTACAACTTTCCAGATGAATAATTCAGGGAGGAATGTCCTGATACAGATATCTCCTGTGGAATGGCACAGGACCCAGGTTTCTGTACAGTCAGGGTTTCCGTGTGTATGGACTATGTTGTGGGTGAGACCAAGTGCTAGGTAAGGAGGATCTGCATACATGCAGTGCTAGGTAAGGAGGGTCTGCATACATGCAGTGCACACTGCATCATATTCATAGAGATGCATTTTCTATTTTATTGCATTTTATCATCTGGTCCAAAGCTAAGTTGTTTAGCTTTGAGAAGAAGAGTTGCAGATATTGTCATATTTCATACAATATTGTATGGTCATAAGGTTTAATGGAACATTGTGGAGAGGATGGCGTTCACTACACATGGTGTCAAAGAACCTGTCCATTGCAAAAATATATTATTATTCGTTCTGAATCCCCTGTTACAATGGCTGGTTAGCATTGCTCCCCAGCAAATCATGCTGGTTGTAAGTTCTGTTGTAAGTTGACAATATCAATCACTTGATTGTCTAATTCAGTTTACAGGGTGCTGTCATATAGCTGGAATATTGCTGAGTAAACAGCAAACATGCAAACATCCTGAAAATACGCCCTGCAGAAAAGAATTCTTAATGACAAACAGAAATATGTTTGCAATATATGAAACAAACAATCTTCACTTCAATACAGTAAAACCAATCCTGATTCCATGATGGAACATCAAAGACCATGTCTCGCTTAGCCTCACAATTTTCTCAATATTTCACACATCAGAAAGTAGACTTGTAGCTGAATGTTGTCAAATGTGATACAGCTTTGAACTGCAGCTAAATACAATATAGCAGTTTAGTACTTGCCATTGATGCAACGTGAGCAATGTCTATAAGTGTAAATATCTCACTTCCATGAAATGGAATGGATTTGTGTCATGTATGTTATTTGGGTGTTATAAATGTGTTTCTGGCTCGGAAGTAAAAAGAGACTGGTTTATGTGGATGAAAAGACATGCTGTTCAAGATGTCATTTAACTGATAAGATGTACATCTAATGCCTGTAGATTTTCATGTTTTTAAATATATGACACTACATTGACATGATCAGTAGGGTTATTTTGGGCTTCTCACTCACCAGGAAACTTTAAAAAGCAACTGCAGACAATAAAAAATTATCTATACTTAGCATGCTTCATAGCATACTCAAGAAGAAATATGAGATCAATAAACTATGTCAGAAGGCTTTGTCAGTGATCCAGATTGACACATGTCATCGTTTCCCAATTGTGCAGATCGATGCTCATGCTGTTGATCCCTGGATTGTCTGGTCCAGACTTGATTATTTATAGACCGATGTCATATAGCTGTAATATTGCAGAGCATGGTGTAAAACTAAATTCAATCAATCTATGACTTTGCTAAGTGTTTGGTTCTTTCTTTCAGAGCAGTAACATGCATCCTTTCATCCATCAGTCCAAATGATCCATGATTCTTTCCAGGCTCTAAAGAAATTATCAAAATGTACAGTTCTCAACACTGTAACTTCACAGGACCCTCACATAGGCTGCTAGGACCCCTAAAACTAATAATTGGGTTCCCGACCCCATGTTTGTGAGTCGAGGTAAAAATCTGTATAGTAATATATGTTATTTCCCACTGTCTCAGTACCGACGTAATCAGGAGGTATGGAATATAAAGTAAACGTTCACAGATAACCAAAGACTAAAACATTGTATAGGCTTCCAGTTTGTCAGTATATAACCAGTATATAACCACCTGTCTATAAGCCACATTCCGATTCCATCATTTCCAAACTGGTTTAGTGTTGTGAGATTAGATTGTTTTAAACGAGAGGGTTCGATTCCCCACATGCGAGAAAGTAATTTGTTTTAGCTCTTGGCACAATTTGTCTTCATACATTACTACTGTAACTAACACTGCAATAAAACCATTTTAACACAGCAATAGCAACTTCAACAGTATACCCTTTATTGGGCTCAGTTTTTTTATAAGACAATGTAATGTGGTATTCACTTGCATGAACATACTGGGTGTTGTAACCTAATTCAGTAGCTCATTCAAACGGAGTACTTACAGCAGTAGTGGTGTTTTATCAGAGGACAACAAAAATATACTCAGAGAAACAAATAAAGGAGCACAGGAAAATTCAAGTGTTCTTTTAATATTTTCCAGTTTTCATCACCAGTTTTGAAAAGCACTGTGAGGAAATCTGAGAATAAATAAAGGAACACTGCCATGAAGTAGTGTTCCCTTATTTGTTTCCCTCAGTATATGTTGTTTCTCAACTGTTCCAGATTTTAATATGGCGAGTTCACCCCTTTTACAGTTACATTATTGTTTACTTGGTTTAATATATAGAATGAAAGTACACAACCATGTTTACTGTGCCCTGTCCAAAGATATCCTGATGACAACTTGAAAAAGTATTTCCGAAGTGTTGGACTTTCCGACATGTACAAGGACTCCTTAACGTCACTGACAACATTGTCACAAATATGACCACATGTTTTCTATGTATTTAAAGTTACATCCCATGTTGTCATGAACAAATACACAATTGCAGTCACTCATGCACTTAAAGAAAAGACAACTCTAGCTGAAACCTAACGTCTAAAGATAGGAATGGCTGATTTGGAAAAAGCATCATTGGCCCACAAGGTTTACAAGTAATGTTTGTAAGCACTCCCCATATCTTCCTTCATCCCTCCTATAATAAGTGGAGCAGTGGGGTAGCCTAGTTGTTAAAGCGTTTGCTCGTCACACCAAAGACCTGTGTTCAGTTGACACATGGGAACAATATGTGAAGCCCATTTCTGGTGTTCCCCGCCGTGATATTGCTGGAATATTGCTAAAAGCGACTAAAAACTTAAGTCACTCACTCACTTATGATAAGCACCACCCCATCACCTATCCCTGTCAGCGCTAAACGCTCAAGGCATGTATTACAGCAATTATGGGAATGGTGTTTGAGGAAATTAGTATAGTCCAGTCATAATTTGAAGCCTAAATTGGAGACTCTTTAGAATATTTATTAAGACCTGCTTCTCATAAGTCGAGATGACAAGGGCAAAGTATTGAGACAGTTCTTGATGTAGTCTTTAGTTTCTGGTAATGTCTTTAGACAGTTCCTTGTGAAGACTGGAGACACTTACTGGCATAGTATTGAGATTATCTCTATGATAAACAAAATAGAAAGTACCTTTGAATTAACTTGTATTTTGTGAACTGCCAACACACTAAATAGGTTAACTGTGATGTGATGTGTATAAGTTTGGTTTCAACAGTATCGCATACTAACTGGTGTTCTGTTTTGAACTGTCAAAATGGCAACCGTTGTTCACAACTTGCTCAGCATTATTTGTGGCCATTAGCTGTGTGAGTAGAATTGTATGTACAGATTTAGTAGGAAGGAGACACATTGTATATTTTTAAACTTCCACTGTTTGAATCTATATTGCAATAATATGTGATGCAAGTGTTGACATTCATGCTTTAAAAACTATTCAAAGAATTCATGTTTGTTTTAATCCCATTGTTTGTGTAGTGTGTTATTTATAGCGTACATGCCACATGTTTGTCATTTGTAAATATTCAGTGTGTTTGACAGATGTCTAAACATTTAGTTGATTGTAGACACAACAAGACCTATTTAAATGTCAGTTTTGAAAACTAATGACAACCTATATATAGACAGTCTAAGACCGCTTCAGATGTTCTCTATTTTATACATGTCATCTTAGGGCTCGATTTAGTGCTTTGTTACTTGCACTGGTGCAACCCTTTATTACAATGTGTAACCTAGTTATTAGTCTAACTTGCCCCAGGTGCAAGTCAATTTTTGAGTGGGTAAACTTCTGAATAGAAATCTAAATAATTTAGCATATGTTTTTCATTGCGTGTATTTGCAATAAAAGCAGTGCAACTGGAATTTGACTGGTGCAACTAGGTTTTTATCTCAGGTTGCACATGGTGCAAATAGGTTCATCTCTTAAATCGAGCCCTGCAGCTATCATGTTCATTTATTTCAGATGTAAGATCAAAAGTGTTAGTTACTATTTTTTAAACTATGACTTTTATATTATTATTTAGCATTGCGATTTTTCGGATGTCCCCCGGCCGTGATATTGCTGGAATATTGCAAAACCTGGCATAAAACTGAGTCACACAACATCACTCAGTTGTTAAGGATATAGGCTTAATCCTTTATATACTAAACCCACCAAAACTAATCTGCACAGCTGTTGACTGGCAAGTGAACGCGTGAGACAGGGCTATGCTGTTCCCTACCAAGATGTTCCTCATGATTCCATCTCCCTGAGAGAATGTTACAAACTGAAGATGCTGACTCTCTTTCATGATCTTTGTTGGTCGGTAACTGTTGGTGGAACCATTCAATTAATGCCAACATGATTTGTTTTCTAATCATGCTCATATGATATTTGGTACTTCTGAAAAGTATAGAACTGAAAATAGAAATAATAAAGCTTTGATCTTGAACCTTTAAGACATGATAAGATTTTGTCGAAATTTATGCTAATTTTATGAGATGGTATCCAGGTGTTTCTGAAAAGCTGCAGTTGAGAAACACATTCAAGGGAGATTACTCTCTTAAAACCTAATACACTGGGGTCTAGTATTCTTTCTGAAGTTTGTGTAACATCAATGCGTTTAAACTTTATGTCGTTTTCTTTTGTTTGCGATGTAACAATCTAATGTTTGTCTAATATCACTGATACATATCTGTTTTTGGGTTTGTAATTATTGAATCAACTTCTCTATTTTGACTACAAAGTTTGCATTGTATCCACATTTTGGCCAGGCTGGTTGTTGTTTAACACAGCACTCTGTAATATTCCAGCTATATGGCAGCAGTCTGTAAATAATCGAGTCCAAATAATCCAGTGATTGGCAGCATGACTATAGATCTATGCAATTGGGATACGATGACATATGTCACAATTGCGTAGGTTTGTTGCTCATCCTGCTGATCACTGGATTGACTGGTCCAGACTCGCCACTGACAGTTTGTCCAGGAGCTGCTTGACAAGGAATTTTACATATTTATTGCAATTAAGAAATATTTTGGTCTCATGCACAACCCTTCCTGGATGACATCAATATGTGACCATATCCTATTTTTGCTTAAATACCAATCTAAAAACCAGTGTTTGAAATAAGGCCGACCACCTGACAGACGGTCTAAATTTACAGCTAGCCAGCCTGATGGTCTGGTAAAAACTTTAGATGTTCCATACATCTGAGTAAATTCAGCATAAATCCATTTTGGGCTGGTAACATTTTGAAGTTACCAGCCTGATGTCTGGCAGTGTTTTTGGCTTATTTCATACACTGTAAAAACTCTGACCCTGAAATTCATTTCATCCTGAACACAACCTTATAATTTTTAGAAGGCATTGCCTGAGAAGAACTTGTATATATTATTTAGTTAAATTTGTGGATGTTATCAAGGAAATGAAAGGAAAAGGAACTGGGCTAAGAATACGGGCCTGCAGGAAGCTATGCTAGTTGTACTGGTCGAGACTTTACAGTCATATAGCTGGAATATTGTTATGTAGGGGTTAAACCACAAACAAACTGAAAGAGACTAGATGAACATTTCAGCAGGGTTGGAGTGGAAGGCAGTGTGTTCAGTACAGGTATACATCACAGATGTATGCCACCTGTTTATAAGGAGAACCATGTGATTGCCCATGGGACTAAATCCTTCAACCTAATGTGGACTCTGTATGAAATGCATGTATTCAAATGTAGAAGTTTGATATGTAACATCAGTGTTTTGTAAATATATGCTTCAACAGATTTTTCGTCCATGTGCTGACGTGAATGTTTATTTGTTTGAATGGGTGAAACTGGAGAGCAGTTCAATATTCTACTTTCTAGTGTAAGGAATTATTGGAAATTCTTATTGGTGAAATGTTTGCATGTGACACTTCAAAGCTAAATATCTTTGTTATATCTGGCAGAACATCTTGAAGAAGTACTGTAAAGGTTGCTACTGTCATTATCATGTTGTCTTGTTCAGCAGACAATGGGTACCCGGTAGGAAGAGACAGTAATGTCACTCCTACTTCTAGTGACTCACAGGAAGCATGGGTTGTATTCTCCTCCAAAGCTGAGAATATAAACGAGAGCACACTGATCTGTTCACTAGGGTAATGATATAAGAAGCCTTGATAAATTGATGAAGAAATTACATCATTGAACAACTTTATTAAATGAGTTTTATATTTTTAAGTTTTATACTAGTCAGAAAATTTGTACAATTTTGTGATCTCTCATATGTTATGGTTATTGAATAGTTGTAAATATCTGAAATAGGATTTTGTTAGAATCTGCTGTTTGTTTGAGTTTTATCATAGTTTGTTATCTTTTCATTAGTTATCATTGTGATTTATGAAATGAGTTGTACATATAATGACAGATCCAGAAAGAAAGACAAGTGCATATCTTCCAGTTTGCTACTTAAATGATGCCATCGATATCATTATGTTTCTTCTGACATTATTTCATAATATACTCCCCATCAAATATTTAGACTCATTAGTGTAAATGTAGCCACTTACTTCAGTCAACTGTTCTAAAGTAGATTTTGCAAAATATTCCATACTTTTTAAAGGTACTGTTTACACATGAACTGATGAATTGTAAAACAAATTCGTAACGTTGAAAAGATTATTGTCATGAGTTCAATTAATGGTGAAACTGAGTGAAATTGGCGAATTCTTAACAAAACTCAACACCAAAACACACCTGTTCACATGCACAATATTTGCACATGCTTTTCAGCAATTTGATGCATGATCCTCTTGCAACACATCTGCATAAGGTTTGCAGTTGGTTCCCCCAAGTTGTAGAGAAATTCATCTTCAATGTAACCATATATATATACATAACATATAGTGAGTTCTTTAAGTGAGTCTAAACTTTTGATGGGTAGTATAGTTACAATATTGCTGTCCTGTTTCAGTCATGGGGGTTGATATATCAGTTTGTGAAAACATACAACATACAAAAAATGCATTAGGTTTGCGTTTGAACTGGAAGTGGTACAAGTACACAGATGGTGACCATATGCTTGTTGGCTGCGATTGGATAGCAGTAAAGATAACTTTCATTTCTGTTCAGTATTGAATGAAAATGTTTACGCAGACTCTGAACTTTGTGATCAAAAATCAAAATCAATGATTTTTATGCCATGTAACCTTTTGAGGCGTTGACATATCTACTCTATTTTTACATTCATACTTAAGGATGGTATGAATGCACATCTTTAATTTATTTGGTCAGATTTGTACCTTTAATTTTAGCACTGCCTGGTGGATGAAAGTGCCATGCATGAACCAACAGCAGTACCAGTTTGAGATACAAATGTAAGGTCAGCTAATATTTGGATATATATATATTAATATTTTGGCCACATGTGGCTAAAGGTGATCAACGGATGACTGCCTGCATTTCTGACATTCTTCGTTAAAGGGTCACAAGGTCAATACAGTAAGTTTTACGTTTTCATATTTTGTGAAGAACCTGTGGAAAATTTAAAAGATGTTGGAAGTGTTAATGATATGAATGTATCATCACATCATATTACATACATCATATCTGGCTGACCTTGTATGTTGTGGGTCGGTATGTTGGTATTCAGTATAGGAAGCAAAGTCTTGATGTTCCTGAGAGGTGGGTAGCCATGTGGTGAAACTGGTGTCTCATGATGCCAAAAGCCCAAGTTGGAATCCCCTCTCAGTATAAAGCCTGAGGCACGTGCTTGATGTGCTTGATAACATGTCTGGAATAGGGCTATGAGAGGCATGGGATGAACTCGCTGATATTGCTTGACGTTTGGTTCTTCCAGCTAACTACAGCCTTTGTGGTTCAAGTAGGTACTTCAGGTTTCAGGTCACTCTTGCAGTCTCAGTTGAACTTCATGGATCTTCTTCAAAGATTATTTCTCATAACACTTCCATTGAATCGAGGCATTCTTTAGAAACATTATTCCTTTCATTTATGTCAATATTGTTGGTTGAAAGACAAAGGGATGGATATTATTCTGTGTCTGCCAAACATGTATTGTGTACAGCAACTGATTGTATATAAGGGGAGGATGACGTAATGTGTGCTTGATGCTGTTATTGTGATGCACTGGGTGTTGCATTATCCAAATAAAATAACTTCAATCTTCACAGCCTTGAGTTTTGTATTCTCCGCACGAAAGGAAGAGGTGTCACTGGGCATTGAATGAATGCAAGAAATTTACAATTACATTGCTGGCAGAGTTTTAAGAACATTGTTAATGTTTATAATTATGCTCAGTGCAATGTCATGACTTTACCACGACATATAGGCGATAGATTAGATTAACACAACTTTGAGCTGTGTAATGAACCAAAATTTACTAATGGCAAAAAGCAACTGCTTGATAAAAAAGTGGCATTTGTTTTATGTTAAAAATGCCAGTATGGGATTTGACCACTGTTTACACAGATACTGGTAAGGCAGCAGCAGCACGCTGATGACACAGATGATTGAAAACACTCTGAAAGATGTTCGAAATGGCAACCATAGATTGGCCAGCTGAGCTAGCATTACCGGTTGATTCTGGTCCTGTCCTAGGCATCCACCCATCTCATCCCAGATATGTGGCCGGCATCATCCTGGTGCAACATGTTGTTACGTCCTTGCACTTGCACAAAGGGTAGAACATGATCTTGCGCGATGTCGTGCCTGAAGCTTATGCCAAAGAGACGTGTTCTCCCAAGAGCTTTGATGCCACCCAAAACCAATACACTTTCACCCTAAACTGATGAGGATGACAAGCATGCATCACTAAAACATTCTTCTGAATGCCTAAAAACAGTATGGCTGTCTGGTATCGTTTCTGTAGATGCATCAACTGAATATGGCTGTCTTGTTTATGTAGCATCAAATGTGGAAGACTGGCCTGTAGGATGTCACAGATATTGCCCAGCTATACATTGTCTCTGAAGAGATGTTAATGTCTTGCAATGAACATTCGAATGACCCTCAACTTCATTTTGCACCTGTCCTGTTTGCAGGATACCTATGGTGCATTCATGTTCAAAACTGAGTATCATTGTCCTAACGAAGACACAAACAGCTGAACTGTGCCCTGAGCCACCAAAAGGTTTTCATGAATATGTTTTGAAAGCATTATTTAATTCCAGAATAAATTTAAATTTCTTGCACTTTTTTCTGCTAGTGTATATACCAGCAGACATTCTCAAATAGAGATCCCAGAACATTTTCCAAAAACATACGTGTGTGTTCTATGAACTGAAGCCCATAAAGTCTATGTTAAGGCATGGGAGTTACGGTCACCTTAGCGCTACGATCGCTTTGTACAACAGCACCCTGGCATGAGTGTATGAATGGTGTTTTATGTGCCAATCTTGTCATCAACTTGTGGTCGATAGCAGGATAAAAGACCCCTGGCATGACAGTAAAATGCCGAAATCAGCAGGACAAACATTCAAGTAATCCCCATCTTTATCAGCTCTAACAATAGTGTCTTATGCCGTTCCTGCCCTAGAATCCCAATGGGTAAAATAAACTACAAACAATTGCCAAGTTAGTGAATTGTGTAGTTTCTTCAAGATAAAAGCAAATTCACCAGACATTTTCTCCACAAAAGTTTATTATGCACATGTAACATGTTACTGTGGACAAGACAATGCTAACAATATACAACTGTACATTTCATACAAAAGAGCATGGCTACAGCACATTTACTCCCAAATGTCATTCACAACAACGTCTATTGCAAACATAACATTCACACCTTTGACATGCATGACAAACACAGTCTCCTCCCCAGATAGGATATATTGTACATCAAGTTCATGACTAAAAAAGTATACGGAGAGTATATTCATGTTCTCTTGCTTACCGGATAATACCATGTTTATCTGATCTAGTGAATAAGAAAACATACACGATTACACAGACTATGTTTTCTTCTCCTAGAATATTTCTGATTAAGTATGCAATAAATAAAGTGTACAAATTATCTTACTGCATAATTAAATTCTGATAATGGACAGTAACTTCAAATACTTTTTGAAAGTAAATGAAATCAATGAGATAAGTATTTAAAGCATGTTTTTAAATATAGATTATTATATCCCTATTTAGTTTCCCACAACCAGAGGTGAGGGGAAAACATGACTTAGAGTATCTGCCACAGAAACATAATGTATTCTGAAGGGAGTTCATTCATAATACATATACAATTGATTCATCAATCTGAGTATTAAGAAATGTCAACATTTAAGCTTCAAGCATTTAGATACATGTTCTATGAAGCTGCCCATAGAGTATATAAATAACAAGCACTTGTTCGCAGCTCCTAACAAGTCAATATGCAACTATGCAATATGCAAATATATATAGGAGTCTTCTGTGCATTAGTTACTGACTTAAACACTTTGATGAACCAAACAAGTCAGCTATGTCCTTTGGACATCTTGATAATCTTGAAACAACTGTTTCATATCACTCAAAACCGTTATCTAATTATGGTTGTGTACACAGGCCGAGTATAATCTTAAAATTACTTTGATTTCTTTCTTGAAAAGTTTAGATGACTTACCACACCAAAACATGACAGTGTGTTAAGTTTTAACGTGTAAAATACAGATTAATCTGCATTTGCAATGAATTCACCTTTATGCAAATGTAATACAAAACACAGAATCAAGTCAGAATTGATTGTAATAATTGTTTGCATTAATCAAAAAGTAAGGGAAATACACTCTTTACTTAATTCTGGATAAACAGTACAAAAGCATGGACTTGTGAATGAAATCCTGTGACATATCCGCTGATATTTCTCCCACATATGCTATGATGCCCTACATTCTCATTGAGTCTCTGATTATATGGTCCCATATCTGTAAGGAACAATCCTTTTTAATACAAAGAATATTTCTGTCATTTTGCTTGACAAGAAAATTGAAAATCTTTTATTTTGATTTGGGTGTGTGTCAGATCTTAGATATTCTAATACTCATTTCTATAGCTACACACAAAAACTAAACTACATGTTTAGTTAATTACATAATGAACTATTTCTCATAGAAGACACCAAAGTCCATTACAAAACCAACATTCTTGAGATTTCGAGTTGCACCAAAACCATGTAATGCTTCTTCGAATTACTGTAATCTCTATCACCAACTATTCACAAAAAATCCACATTTTTAAATAATTTCAGATCTTTTACAAAAAAATTACAGATCGCCCCTACTTTCTAAACTAATGTGTAAACAATAAACTATGCATATTTAACCGTAAACTACTCAAATCCAAAATATGTTATCACTGTGGAAAGAATACGAAGTCAAATCCATCACATCAACCATAAAACAGTCAAACATCTGGACAGGGCCAGGCAACACTGCTGGTCAAACAATACAAAATGTCCACGGAGCACCAGTTTCACACTACATCTCAAGTTAAAAAACAACAATACAAAAAGGTTTCTGAATTGATGCTGAGAAGTTAAATTTTGTATCCACCGCTACTAACCATATATTTCTTCATAGAATTGCAATAAATGCCTAAAGTTCAATTAATTACAGAAACTTTATAAACTGAACATTATTCACACGTGTATCATTTGATAGTGTAACATTGACATTTCTGCTGTATCTAAATAGTTACTACATCAGGTTCATTCACACTGAAAAACTATTTCTTTCCAGATGAAAAGGAACTGGAATCTGTTCAATAAAAATATACTGAATGCTTTCAGCGTTTTCCAAGTAGCATCTCCATAGTCGACAACCTGCAAATTTCTCCATCTCAGTGAAGTATTGTCAACAAATATCACAAGTTTCTATATCTGCTCCAAGTAGATGTGGACAATCTCTGCAGAAGGTACAACAGATAATAAGGCAGGACAATCAGTACAAAACCCGACGGACGGCAGCGGTGTGTCCTCAACACTATCACCAGCACAATACAAACACAGGTCGACACAGGTCTTGCGTTGTCACAGCTGAAGACAGGAAGAAATCTTATGCTAATGAATGCCTTTTCACCTAGAAATTGAATGACCAAATATAGATGTCCTGTAAGTTAAGTCATTTTGTTCTGAATAGATTTTAAAGTAACAAGTTCTAAAACATTAATTTCTAATGTTAAGAAATCTTCTGCCAATGAATGCTTTTTCACTTCGAAATTGAATGACCAATTATAGATGTCCTGTAAGTTAAGTCATTTTGTTCTGAATAGATCTTACAGTAACAAGTTCTTAAACATTACTTTCTAATTTCGGACATTCATGACCACATCATGTGTCACATGTGATCATGAACATCACGTGACATGTCATGCAATTACAGTTTGTAATCTCAAACTTAATATGTATACAATTTTTCATAAAAACTATATACAATGTATTTGTGACATATAATGTTGAAGCCAACAAATTCAAACAAACTGGCAATTCAACAAATCCAACACAGCATATTAAGGACTACACAGGACTGCAGCAGTAGTCTACCTGCAACCTTCTCCAAACAACACCATTCATAGGGATCTAGAAAGAAATTGTTAACATATGAGTCATTTAATGTATCAAGTTCCGCTTTAGGCTGAATACATTGTTTTACAGATGCTAATCAACACAATACCGGAAGACACAATACCCACACAAAGTCGATGATTCATTTTATCATGGTATTTTGTCAATTATGATATTGTCATGTTCAAGTACACACCCACCTATCTGGGCTTCATCGTGGGGATAAAGCTATCCTTTCACTTCCAGTGAAGTCTCAGCTGGTATGCAAGGGAGACAACACAAATGACAACTGTCACAAAAGTTTTTACAAGCCACAATTATTTCTCATTAATGATATCAATGATTTTTCACTGAATTCAGGATAAAGACCACTTGCTACCAGTCATCCTAAGGTTACATACACACCAACGAAGATATTAGTAAGCACAACCAAGTGTGCAAAGCCCTGAGTTCACTGCAAGACTACATGGACACCAGGTGTTTATGACCCAAGCTGCTGCAAGACACATGGACACTGGGTGTTTAAGGCCTAAGCTTACACGCAAGACATGTCAAGAGGTGACCATGGCTTTGTGTTGACTGCAAGACAACATGGACACCAGGTGTTTAAAGCCCAAAGCTACTGCAAGACACATGGACACCGGGTGTTTAAGGCCTAAGCTTACCGCAAGACAACATGGACCCCAGGTGAGAATGGCCTTGTGCTGACTGCAAGATAACATGGACACTGGGTGTTTAAACCCAAGCTGACTGCAAGATAACATGACCAGCACGTGTTAAATGCCCCAGCTTACTTCAAGACAACATTGACACTAGATGCACAAGTCTGAGCCGACTGCCAGATGACATGGACACCCAGACCATCGTGGCTTCATCAGCCTCCTGTGAGAGCTCTTGCTTCCTCTTACAATGTGGTTTATTGTTGCAGGAAGGATCTGTCATGCTTACAATATTCTTCATCATCGATAAAACCTGACTCCATGTCAATGTCAACATTAAAACATTCAGTTTGCTAGCCACCTGAACCTAAAATTTGAAAAGATATTCCAAAACACATACAAGTTGATCAGACGACGACAGACACGAGGCACTGACACAATGTCTAAGAACACATACAAGCCTATAAAAAGTTAGTGACATTCCACATATCATTACTGTAATATCTGCTATCTGACCTGCATTAGCTCTTTCAGTGATTCATGTTTTCTGATGTCTTTGTGATGACATCGAGAACCATCCATATCATGATAGAAGTTCTAAAATCCATGAGATAATACACACCAAACACATACGTTAAACAAATCCAATGACAACACGAGCAAGATCTGTGATGTGTTTTGCTTACGTTTCTACAACATGCTTGACACATATCTACATATCCTGAGTACATATTTCTATATAAATAGCCCATAAGCATATGCTCCAAAGACGACATAGCAATGCTCTGTTTCTCTCTAAGCTTCTGAATAAGGCATGAGGTTACTCTCATCAGGTACATCTGGTGAATGCTTTCTATAGTGATTTCTATACTCACATATATTAATATCTACTTTTATTATTTGCCCGAAATGACAATTACAAAATGTTCATGGAAACATTACATAATGCTTAAACATCACACACTAAAATCAGATATTTTTGACAAGACGGAGAGGTTTCTACCAAGTCTGCTAATAGAGAATGTTTTGAAGATGATGTGGTCCAAAAGTTAACATATCCCACAACTGGCATGTCAACAACTTTCAAATAAATAACAACTGGCAGATGGTAACTGACGAAAAGTTGAACAATGCTGCTATGATTTAATACAATAAATCAACATTTATGAAACTGAAACATATCTGAGCATATGTCAAACATCTGATTAACTATACATTAATCTTTCAGCCAACATCAAAATCATGGCATGTAGAGCAATATGGAAACACAAAATATGAAATTTACACTCAAAATTAACTAAATCAACAAACATTTACCTGAAATTCACTCATGAAAAAATGAAAACTATCCACTAAGATTACAGTACAAAGTGTCTGCAACCAAAAATGTCATCAATATGCAAAAAAATAAACAAAAACATCAACAACTACCCGGAAAAACAGTAATATTTAACATGTCAGTAGAGGGGATAAGAGCATTATTATAAAACCACTTGTAGTATGTCTTTGAATATGTTCATGAGATTCAGATCACATGCTGTAAATCATGATATTAATGTATCACCAAATTAATGTACCTAGTTATCCCTACCTTTGAACTCAAATTAATCAGCAAAATGATAACAGCAAGACTATCTATAATTATAGTAAGTAGTGACAGCTGTTTGAGTGAATATTCACACAAGCCTAACTTCAACTGCTACACTTGTGATGTAACTGCCATGATACAGATAGCAGGAACAATGCATATTTAAACGAGGTGAGTGAGTATGGTTTTACGCCGCTTTTAGCAATATTCCAGCAACATCACGGCAGGGGACACCAGAAATGGACTTCACACAATGTACCCATGGGGGGATTCGAACCTGAGTTTGGGTCTTCGTGTAGAAATGGCGAATGCTTTAACCACTAGACTACCCCGCCGCCCCTAAACGAGGTAAACTCACTGGGGTAGATTGTACTGGTTCATAATGTTGTTTCACAATTATCTGGTATGTGAGCAGTGATACATATTCCCTACAACTGCTGTTACTGTACTGGGCATGTTGACAATGGTAGAAGTGGTTGTCTTGTAACTATAAGAGGTTATCAATGACAAAGTTGGAAACTGTCATAACTTGTGTAAACAAGCTGACACGTGACTTCTGACGTCTAAATCACTCACAATTATACTTTCATGAGTTTTGTTAAATGTCATAGCAATCACATATGTGCAGCGTACATTACATGTGAATAAGGCTAACCCAGTCAAAGGGATCACTGTTGGCACTACTTACCAGTAGGTACTATGTACCCAGGTACTTTGGAGTTGACCGATAAGAACCAACAAAGCCTCTAAACCACCTCTTCACACTTACAAGGGCACCTGGGTACATAGTAGTATAGGGTGTGCTGACAAGGATCCTGTGAGCTACACTGTGTACAGACTAAAATGCATCACTATATTAACATGTGCCAAGGATATCTCCTGACATTAATTTCATGATTTACAGAAGTTACTGAAGATGTTTACAAGGTCCACACAGTGACAATATTCAAGGACCTTTCGAAGCCAACAATCCCATTTTCAGGGCTACAGCTGTAACTATCTTACAGTGTTTGAAATGATGGGCTTTCTGGGGCCCATGAGGTTTCAAGGTCTAGTATGTGAATCAAGCATTGACCACAAGGGTTATGACAAGGCTTCCAAGCTTAATGCTGAACAATAATGCTTCAAATGTTCAATTCATTCTCTGAATTGACAGAAGCCTCTGTGATGAAGGAAACAGAATTAATTAATTCAAGAAATCTTTATGCCACTATTCATTCAACTTGCAATGACACTGAATCTGTCATTGATGCCCATCAGGATTGTCAATACACCTTTATAACCAAACTCAAAATAAACTACATTGAGCTTTTAGATGGGTTTTTAAACTGTTGCAAAAACATGTTTAAAGTGCAAAATTATAGCAAAATGCTGTTTTCAAGAATTTGGGGAAAGCTAAGACTCTTGAACTCTAGAATTACAGAATTAATTCAGCAGAAACAGCATTGAGCATATTTTCATATAAATAGCATTGTGTAACCGTCCAACAAACAATATTTAAGCAGTAAAAGGTAAATTTTATCAAATCTTTTTGATTGTTTAATAAAGTAAAAACCTTTTCTCCAAGATGTGACCAATATGGTTAACAGAAGATCATGATGTCTACAGCACAAACAATCTAACACTAACATTAAATATTATTACAAACATAAGAGGTAGAGTCATCATCAGTCATTTGTAGACAAGGTTCTTGCCAATATTCCACATGTCCATCAAACATAACTGCCCAGCATGGAATAGTGGGGCAGAAGAGTAAACCATTGAGAAGGTCATGGAAGTTGAATGTCATCAGGGAGCTTTAAATATTCCTGACTATATTGTTAGTTGTGGGAGTGGGGAGTTCATTAATCCATGTTTCTTAACTAAGTAGACTGATCGGCATCCTGGGATAGAGAAACTCGTCTTTGACAAAACATACTACCAGTACAGTACATGATTACTATATAGTCATCGTATCTCACCAGGACCTCGACACAATCTCCATCTCAACCCTCTACCCCAATCCTGATGTTTAGGATTATAATCTTCTTGTCACACCATGTGAGAACCGAAATTTCATTAGACATTTCAGAGTTAACAGAACATCACATTTTATCTGTTGTTAGTAACTGCAGCCACTAAGGATTATGTCAAGTTACAGATCTAAACTAGACTCTTGAATCATGTCAATAAATGAACTCGCAAGACAATATTTACATGTCAAGGTGAGAGACAGCTCGACACTTGTCGCCAACAAATAACTGAAGATGAGGTAGCATATAGATGTACCCATGGCAACCAACAGGCTACACTATTGCACTAACCTGGGGCTTATGATGAGTTTCACTGTGTGTGGCACTCACTTTGTCATTCCCCCAAACAAAACTCTGTGACTCCATAAGATCTGCCCGCGTGCACAAAGCATATATTACTCAACAGCAATTGTGAGGCTATGCTAACTTTGTTTGACAAATTAAATAGTTTGTGCCTATCGGCAATGATTGTCTGGCACCTGTGTGACTGTAGGTTTCTACTTGTATGTCAACACAATATTTGTCAAGGTACTGTAAGCCCATAACAAAGAACAGTCCTATTCACAGAAAAGTTGACAGACAGATAAGTTGGAAGATGGAATTATCTCCCTTTGCTTCAAACTTTACCATGAAGTTGGCAAAAAAATTCATTTGAAATCAGCTGTACAATGGTAAGTTTGTACTTTTTGTAAACAGACTTTTCCTACCATGTTAGTGCAAATGAATCCTTTACCAGAATGGAAGTGGTTTATAGGCCCAGATTGAAATACTAACCTTGAAATATGTTGAAAGACAAAAACCTCATTTAGTTCTGTAATACTTTCACTTATTCTCTGGTAAACTATTTTCAAACAACTAGATAAAATGAATTGCTAGTCCAGCTTCCATCAAATGTTCATACGACAAAATAGTTAACTACAAACTATCAATGACTTTCCTCATGGGTATTTAATTGCACCTTGCCTTTAAGTAAGTTGTAATACAACTGGACAAAGAACCTTACAATAACTTGCAGGTTTCTCTAAAGAATCACAAATGAATGCAATGTCTATTCAGTGGAAACTAGTTGTATTGGCCAATATAATTGTTGTGCAATTCTGGAAATAAAAGTGCAAAATATAACTGGCATCCTCTGATTCTTGGACTTGAATATTTTCATTCATAAAGATTATATAAAATATAACAGCTGTGTCAAATCAATAAGTGTAGTTGTTAACAGAAAAGGGCACTGCTTGGTAACTTCACAATTTGAGATTTGATCGCATTATCATTGCAATTCAATCACTGGACCGGTTTATCTGGCATTGCAATAAAATGATGATAATAGTAAATTCACTTTTTGATTCTAAACATTCATAAAAACAGCAAATCTATCAAAATTTAACAAATATGAAACATCATCTAAAATTTGAATATATCTGACATCATATTGTGAAACCTCAGAACACATATTTCATGTACTGACCACTTGAAACTGTGTTAACAAATCTGGGATGACTTTCATCAAAATTGCTCTTTATCTAATAGAACATATAATACAACAGCTGAATCATGAAGAAGAATAAAACAGCAGAACTTGATTAAACATGACAGAAAACTTGTCTATTTCAGTGAAATGTACATGTGGGTTCCTAGCAGCTTGATTATGCTGGTTTGGCTGTCGGCCTGTAAGTGACTGAGATCTACGATGTGATATGTACAACCATCTGGCCTCAGAATATAACTATTCTAAAAGTCAACATACCAAGACAGTTCAATCTCATCTGAGAATGTTTGAAAGAATGGGTGTCAATTTCTCCCTTTTACTGAAACAAGAGATATTAATTCACTGACTGACTGACTGAGTTTGGTTTTACGCCGCTTTTAGCAATATTCCAGCAACATCACGGCCGGGGACACCAGAAGTGGGCTTCACACATTGTGCCCATGTGGGGATTCGGAACCGGGTCTTCGGCGTGATGAGCCAACGCTTTAACAATTAGGCTACCCCACTGCCCCAATATTAATTCAGAGGTGTATTACTGTTTAATGTGTAACAAACATTATTATTTTTCATGAGGTTTGATGTCTAATTTTAGACAAACATGTCACAGAGATATTTTCAGATAAACATCTTTGCAATACAGTGGATCTGGCCATATTATGCTCTCCATTCTCTACACACTCCCAGACTACAGAGTCTTGTCTCTTGATATTTTGATTAATGCTGTGGTATAAGTAACATGGAAACAACTCCCTGATTTTCTTGTACATGTATATTCCTGCATGGCCAGTTGGAACCCTACTCATAGCTGTCAACTTCCCCAAATTACAGTTAGTGTTTGTTTAGGAGTATTTGGTCAGGTCACTTAATTCTGACATGATGAATCATCTACAGAATCTTGATTCTGAAACTCAATATTTCAACTGCTTAGTATTATCCAACTACAGCAAATTCTGATAATACAAGTGGTTTGTGTCGATTAGTCATATACAACTGTATAAATAGATTTCATAGCAGTTGATAAACAAGATACATTGATAGCATAACAAACCTCTCTTTCATTTAGTGAGAATTCATTTTGTCAATTGGCATATACTTTGCATAAATTACTGCAGAAATCATGTTTTTATATTTAGTTGCAAATTCTTAAAAATTATGAAAAATGCAGGGAAGTTGCCAGTCATGCCACTACTATGGTAGGATGGAGTAAAGTACCAACTCTTCACTGAACTTATTTAACTGTTACTTTTTCAAATTAAACACGAACACTCTTTCAAACTCAGACTCCTATCCCTTTCTGCAGGTTAATTTCTTGTTCCCCCTGACAATGGCTGCTGCAAAAGAAAATGAGGGAGTGCTGCACCAATTACCTCACAAAGTGTTCATGGACCAGCTAAATACATCTTATTTTGTTGTAACAGTAGTGCTAACCAAGTCTGTTGTTGCAACAGTAGTTCAACCCACATCAGTCTAGCAGTTTGTGAAATCCCACTTTTCTATAAAATTGACTGGGTATAACTGTGACCTCAATAATGAAAGGTTGCCCACAGACACCTCATTAACTCATTAGACCTAGAAAAGGGTATGAGAATGTGGTTTAAAGTCATCAGGGTTGTCAAAACTCAAATGACATGCATATCATTTTGGTGGATTCTGAACATTTATAATCAACACCCAGTGTTTTTTCTGTTCTTACATTTCGTTTTTTTTCTGTTTTTCCTACATTCAAGTCAAGGTGTAGGCAGCTCTTGCTGTAATGACACATCTATATATAAGCATAAATACAAAGTTAACAATGAAAACCTACCTGAAAATATTCAATATGAAACATATTGCTATGACTTTCAATACTGATGACTTCTAATACATCAGACTGACCAATATTTGAAATTTTCAATATTAAAAACACCACCATAATAGAAGAAGGTAACAATGACTAATATCTCTTTTGTTCAAAGTATTGAACAATGCTGAAAGTTGACAACAAATTTATTATCAACTTAACCATTGCTACAATATATCTATCCATAAGTATTTTCAATTTTTGGGGTGTATCATGAACGATGAAGAGCATCTATATGCATGTTGACTGACAGTTCCCACAATTATAATTAATCACTGGTTAATAGGATGTGAATGAAATTGCCATAAATATTTGATCTATATACACTGATTGTACTGTGATAAATGTGTGATACTGTTATGATGTGTGAACAAACGTCTGTAACATTCGTAAGATCATATGAGCTGTTACAAAAAGTAACAAACAGTATGTGAGTCAAACGAAAAAAATCTGACTTTCACAACAATCCAAATACACTGTCACAAATACCGTAACAATTAACATGCAGAAAATGTCATGTGGTACTTGATCTAATAAGAGCCCTGAGCATTTATGTTACATGAATGGCAACAGTGACAGCATAACCTAAAGTGTCTCCTATTTTCTGGACAATTCTAAAATGTTGACTACAAGTGTGTTTGCATTACGTGAACTATAACTGAAAACACATCATTCTATTGCAAGGATTCATGGGATGTAGCTTTTGAATCCCAATGCATGTGTGGATGCTTAAATTGTTGTGAACGATACATATCTTCATAATTTATTGCTCATCTTAATCTTAATTCTTACTAAAAAATGGGCAGTTTGGCCACAATAAATTTACTAAAAGATTTTCATTTTCAAAAATGTGAGGCAGGAAGAAACTTGAACTGTTCACAACATCTGTGTGTAAAAACTGGTGATGGCTGAACTTGATATGAAGCATGACTTTTTGGTAGCAGCAAATTTCTTTAACTTTAGGTACTCGTGGACAATATGAAGACTTGAGGTGGGGTGTTTGGCAGAGAGGTGGGTGGAGGTGAAAATCTTTTAATTAATTTATCATGGCCTTACCCCATATCAAAATCAAAAGACAATTTGCAGTAGAACGTGTATGCTGAACACAATTTCAGTCTTCTTTCTGTATTTTTATAGAAAACTAAAATAACTCTAATGTCACTTTGTTTTGTAATGACTACTGAATCCCTTTTAGAGAAGAAGATAATGTTTTCCTAATTTGGGAACAAGTCCACAATTACTCAAAATACAAAATCAGGATTCATGGATAGAACACTGTAAGAGTGAGCAACTAAAACACCCATTCCTATTGATAAACAAACTTCCATGTAAATAAAGGACTATGATAGGTAATGTGACAATGATTTGAGTAGGAGTAGCTGTGATGATCCTATCTCCTCTTCTTGTTGTTGTTGTTGTTGTTATTGTTGAGGACGGTGCCGTTAGTGTGTTGTATCCCCAGCGTGCCCGCCAGGAAGGACATGCCCTTGAAGTCCCAGTACGCTGATATATGGTAGGTCATGTTGGTGTAGCCGATGACATATTCACACAGTGAGAAGTAGCTGAAGGCTGCACATGAAACAGAGACAGTGAACATGGTGAGTTGGTTTAGTATTGCTTTGATTGGTATGGGATATGATGACATGTGTCAACAAAGTCAGCAAGCCTGACCACCCAATCCCGTTAGGGACCATTCATAATTTATGGCTAAGGGGGTGATGATGATTTTAAGGGGGTCACCCATTTTGAGAGGAGGGGGGGAAGGGTCATTCACATTGTACATGCTTCTCCATAAAAATCATCACCACCTCCCCCCCTAACCATAAATTATGAACGGTCCCTTAGTTGCCTCTTTCGACAAGCATGGGTTGCTGAAGATCAATTTTAATCCGGATCTTCACGGGTCACATCTGACAAAGACAAGTGATGCGAGCTCTCAGACGTCAGTTTAGCTCCACTTCATTTTTACACTAGTTTTGTGAACACATTCCATCATCAGCAACAAACCTGCCGTCTCAAATGCCTTGCTTACTTTTATTGAATTCAGGAGAATCGAAAAATGTAATTTTTAGAGTAAAATTGATATTTTATACTTATCCTGACTCATGCTCTTTTGCTTGTCTTCTTCTTCTTGCGAACATAGTGGAACACTTGTATCTCCTTATTTGAAGCTCCCTTCAAAATAAAATCACTAATTGGTACTCACCACGAGTTGCTCCCCTTTGTCTCCCCTGGCGGGAAAAGGTGTCGCCACCCTCTGGCCATGTGCTCCACTCTCTCCTGATTTAGCGAGCCCAACACTTGAATTTACAGGGAAATCCAAAGTGTTATGTGGGGAGGATGGGAGGGCTAACCTCATGAGTCAGGATAAGTATAAAATATCAATTTTACTCTAAAAATTACATATTTTTCCTTATCCTGACTCATGCTCTTTTGTTTTGTAGCATCCTAATGAACGGAGGTGGGTAACAGAATACTTTGGATTTATAATTAGTGATTTTGTATAGATATACTGTAATATCTCCCTCACGGAACTTCATGAAGTCTTAGATTTAGGATGTATCCTGTATAAAGAAAACCATAGGTTATATAAAGCCATTAAAGGGGAATTACATTATGAATATATTGAACAATACATATAAATTATATATATATATATATAGGTGACTCTGATAGAGGCACTGAAATTGACTATATCCAAGTATATGCTTAAGGTAGAATACTTAAGCTGAACATATATACATAGCCCTAAAACTCCTTAGAGTTATAAGCTAGATGAGTATGTATAAAATACATATTAATCTTGTGAGGCTAATATTTTTACGCTTCACGAGGGACTGTCAGTTGTTGAGGCGAGGACCAGTGGTCGAAATGGTGAATGCCAGAGACATCTTCTGTAGTGATGTCTCTTAGGTAGTGATTAGCAAATACCATGTTAGATTTCCAATAGCATCCTTCCATAATCGTGGTTCAAGGAACAGTTACCGTGTAGGGCGAGGGTAGAGGCCAGTGCCCTGATCTCATGTGGATTTGATGCTGTTGGTGGGTCCAAGCCTGCTGCCTTGTAGGCACGGAGAATGACAGTCCTTATCCAAATAGATATTGTGGTCCGTGACACTTCTGTTTGATTCAGAGGGCTTATAATGGGATGAATAAACGCTTGAGAAATCTTCTCCTTGTTTTGGATCGTCAGAATAAACTTTGAGAGCTCTTACCGACACAGTGATAGGTCTTGTGTATCTTGTGATCCGAGAATAGAGGATAGCTACCGGGATGTGGAATAATCTGTCTGGTTGACCTGGCAGTTGATTCTTTGCAATGAAATCCCATCTTAATCCGAGGTGCGCTGTGTTATGATTGTCATCAAACTGTATCCTCTCAGAATCCAGAGCCGCGAATTTCAGACATTCTTGCTGCTGTGGCTAGCTTATATATAGCAGAAACAATGTTTTCTGTGAGAGAAATTCAAAGTTTGTCGATTCCAAGGGTTCATAGACCTCACCGTGAGGTGTTGTAACACTACATTCAGATCCCAAGCTGGGCGGAACTTCCGCTTTTGGTCCCTCCAATCGAAAGCTCGTGAGTAAGGCCAGTAACTCTGGAGATCTTGTCAATTTGACACCCGCTCTCATGGTGATTACAGAGCTAAGCGCCGCAAGATATGTTGATATCGTTGAACCTTTTAAATGTTTGTTTTGGCGAGGTAACACAAATAGTCTGCCACTTGAGGTTGTGAAGCCTCTCTTGCTGTAAACCCTTTCTTTGTTGCATAATTTTCGAAACTGTGCCACTTGTCAGCCGTACATTGCCACGAAGTTGAGTAACGAAGGCAAGTTGACTGCTTTTGCCGCCCTGGCAGAATATCCTCTTGTTTAAACACATTTGTATACAGTCCATACGCAGTAGTTGGAACATTGCTGGGTTTCCGCACTTGTTTGGTGTGAGGATGAATTAACAGGTTTGGCGCCGCTTGGGTAGCTCCAGTGTTGGTTGACCGATTTCTTGAATTAGTATGGGAAAACCACGCTCTGGCCGGCCAGTAGGGCTGACCAAAGTGAGTTGTGGTGGCTCTGTGTTTGTCTGATTTTCTGTAATACTTGAGGTATTATTGCTGGCGGCGGAAAACGCTGCACGCATTGAGGCCTTCCCATGATAGACTTAGAGCCGCCCCGCTGCCCAAGCTTGGGGGTCTGGGACTGGTGACAATTTAATGTCGGTAGCTGATTGTTGAATCGCGCTGGCTTAATAGGTCTATTAGCGCGCGCCCTAATTGCTTGATTATCTGTGCAAAAATTTCCCCGGTTGATCATCCACTCTTGTCCGGTGATGGTAGATGAGGCCGAGAGAGCCGCGCCTGCTAGTATATTTCTGGTTCTGGAATGTGCACTGCTTTGACATGTAGATTTAGATCTTGTATTAAATCGAACAGTTGAAAGCTTAGGTTCAAAAGGTTCATCGATCTCGCTTGAGCCTTGCTTGTTTATGTAGAACGCCACTGTCGAATTGTCTGTATGGATCATTAGGGCTGCGATTTTTGTAGAAATGTGCTCCAATGTAGAATGGCTGATTACAGCTTTCATTTCTAGACTGTTTATATGGAGTTTGCATTCTTGCTGATTCCATAACCCTGATATCGCGGTGGTTGGTGAGATGAGCTCCCCAACCTTGGAGGACGCTGCCTACATACAGATGGGTTTTGTATTCCTGCTCTGCTAAACAAATCCCTTCGCAGACATTCGATTTCTTGGTCCACCATAGTAGATGTGGTCTGAGATGTTTCGTAGACTGAATGGTTGTACATCGCTGAGATGTGCATGCGATGAGGACCTGTAGGGGACGAACTGTAATCTGCCTGTGACAGTCATGTCTTGGGCTGATGTGAGAAGACCTAGTAGGCTCTGCCATTGTCGAAAGTGGTAACGGAGAGAGTAGAGCTGGTGGAATGGTCTGTTGTATCTTGAGCCAACGGTCTTCTGGTACCATAATACGGTTGCGATTTGTGATGAATCAATACCTAGGAACTGTAGGTCTTGCATGATGGTACTTAGGTCCGACTTGCGTAAGTTTACTAACCAACCTAGTTGTGTTAGTAGCTTTATGATGTAATTTAACTGTAGTTTGAGACGCAGTGGATCTTGATCTATTTGTATCCCGGCCGCCGAGGTAAAACGCACTCGCGAGCCCCTTGACGATGTAGAAATTTGATAATCGGTTTCGGTTATCCTCGGAATAGCCAGGGGCTGATGATATTCAATGGGAGTAACTTTCCACTGGTAATGTAGCCCCTTCTAGAGTAAATCGTAGGTATTTCCTGAATCGGGATGAATGGGGATGTGCAAGTAGGCATCCTGTAGATCTATGCTGCCCATGTAGTCCATAGGATCTAATCATCTGGCTTTAACTGAGGTAAATGTATCATGCTAAACTCTCGTGGTTTATGAGATAGTTCTTGTTGAAAAAGCTCATGTTGTAGATGAGTCTGTATTTCTCCTCGCGGAGTTTTTTCTTGGGAACCAGGGAAAACTGGGGAGTAGAAACCTGGTTCGACGCTTGCTTGATCTATTACTTCTATGGCCTGTTTGGATAGGGAGTGATGAGACAGCCTCTTTTATCTTTGGTAGTTGTTGGGCGCTTTGTAAATCCAACTTGGGGGTTTGATTGTCAGCGGAGGCTTGTCCTGTAGAGGGATACTGAAACCGTGTTGAATAATGTTGGAGACGCAAGGATCTTGCAGTATTCCCCAGTTTTCCCAGTGTAGTTGGAGGCGCCCACCCACTTGAGCTGGTTGTACTGGAACGGCTGGGGTGGAAGACTCCAGTCGTTCGAACCTGTGTTTCAGCTGCCTATAATTGCGGGAACCTCTGGGTGTCCTGCCCTCTTCCTGATCCTCCTCTATAGTTGCCATATGGGCTACGAAAAGAATCTTTACCTCTAGAGCTGGCTATCTTCCTGTCTCTTGCTCTTTGTAGGCCCGCGAACTTAGATCTGCCTGAGTATCTTTTGTGAAGTCTGACCGAATGACGCTGGCTAGTGTGTCCATCGATCTAATCATAAGGACTTCCTGGAATCCTTAGAGACTTCCTTTTGGCTTAATCTTTGTCGCGATTTCTCCGCCAAAGATGGATGTTGTCGACCACGGGCTGTATAAAGTGGGCTGTAAAGTTCTCCCCAATTACAGGAGGCGAGGAGGCCTTGACGACGAAGCTAAGGTCAGTGCTGCTGAAACAGATGTAAGATGATCCGCTAAAAACTGCTGATCTTTCTTTGCATAAGTAAGGCAGAATAAATCATTCTATCATCTCCGTCGTGGAATCGGAATCTAGTAATAAGAGTCTCATTGATCCGTCCTAGATCTATTTAACCCAAAGAACATATGCCGTCGGCCATGGTTTCTATATGAGCCAATCCTGGCGCATCATCCATCTTGTAAATCTTGTTCTTTACATCGCTGATGATCTTATAGTTCTCATCGATGTCCTGGGCCTTGTAGAAGGAGTCCATGTTACGCGTGGAGAACTTCTTGGCTTGAAAGTTGGGTAGATGTGGTATCTGAACTTTCGTAGCTTCTGGAAAGCTGCATCTAGATTCTGTGGCACTGCCGCAATCGGTCGATCGGGGTAGAGTGATTGCATCTGGATCATCTTCCTTCATCAAATACGCCTGAGCTGTATTGCCACTTTTAGATGGTGATGTGAGATCTAGGTTATTGACCATCCAATACCGTGATCTCTGCATCAGAAAATATGATTCCTCCATCATCCTCAAACCATCATCATTAATAAATTGTAGATGCTCTTCGGGACTCGCGTGTAGCTATCTGAATATCTGATGAGGTTTGTGGCGCATCTAGTTGACTTTTGTGCTTTATGTGGAGATCTGATGGGTGATCGAATTCTGGTGATGAACGGAGTGGAGATCGCTCTATGGGATGATCTTCTCGAGACTTGTGAGGTGAATGTTGATAGCTTCGCTGGCTCTTCGGCAGTCCCTCGATGTTCTTCTAGGACGATGAAGATCTGAATCATATGTCTTTTCGCGAATGCCTTCGCTGGCTTCATTTTATGTCCGTCCGGGATCGATGATATGACCTTCGCTGGGCTTCCGTGATGTCTGATGGTCTGAGTCCATATCTAGAGATGAAATCGAAGATGGTGATGATCTCTCCGGGCCAAGAAGGCCTCGCTCGCTGGCTGTACATCTAGGTCCTTCTGGCTACAGGTGGTGCGGGACTTCCTTCGCGAAGGTGACATCGCCCTTTGGCTGCTACGCTTGACGGGGGTGCCTCTGGGGTGTTGTCTACGCTTGGAGCCTTCGCTGAAGGTTCGGACCCTGCTTGGCGAGTTTGTAGTGGTCCTCCATGATGTTCATAATCTGCCCATCATGTCTTCTGGGATGATCTCAGACGGCTCGTCGGGCGCCTTTTCTGGCGATGGGGTTCACATCAATGACGCCTGGACGCCGGTGTAGAGGCATCAGGCTGCATGGAGATCTCTGCAGAAGTCACAGTCGCTGACACCGGTCGCTTCTTCTTACCGTAAAGTCGGGGATGATTATCGGCTGATCATCGTAGAGGCCCAACTCTGCTGCTGGAACGATCTCGGCTGAAAGTTCTTGCTGTCTTCGTAGATTTCCCTTTGAAGTCTGCGCTGCCCTGGGTGTCCTCAATCTGCGTTGAGACGGCGATGAGGCCCTCTTAGACTTAGTCTGCAATGACGGGATGTCTGGGGAGGCCGGTCGCTTCTTCGAGGTAACGGACTGCGCCCCACGTTCCTCTGCCGCGGGGTCTCTAGCAGAACACCAGGCGGAGAGAGGGTCGATCGCTAGCAGCTGACTGGAAGGAATATCTGACTCTCTGCCATGTTTTGCCCTTGTTTTGCGTGATCTATCTGCAGCACGCCTTAAGACGCAAAGATGATATTTATTAAATGCAGAATGAGATAAATTAATGCAGTAACTGCAACGCGGAATTAAACGCATTAACGGCGTGAGAACAACTAGGGCATATTACATGTGGATCGGAGGCAGAAAACGTAATCTACAAATCGTACAGATTTTCATGAACGTAAAGCTAGCTGAACAATCACGAATACACGTGGAATAAACAGTAGAAATAATGATAATTAATCAATACAAATAGTAAAGGATACTAGCTATACCTCTATAGTAACCTATAAGAGGTAAAAACTAAGAGATTATCAAAGGATATGTGTGTAAGGAGACACAAGGCTCTCACATCCTGCTCACTGGGTAGAAGAAGGAGAGAGTGGAGCACATGGCCAGAGGGTGGCTTACACCTTTTCCGCCAGGGAGACAAAGGGGAGCAACTCGTGGTGAGTACCAATTAGTGATTTTATTTTGAAGGGAGCTTCAAATAAGGAGATACAAGTGTTCCACTATGTTCGCAAGAAGAAGAAGACAAGCAAAAGAGCATGAGTCAGGATAAGGAAAAATTGTTATATTTGAGAGTTCATCAGATAAGATGTTCTACTGAAGCTTCTTCAGATGTTGACTTAAAAAGATTTCATATTTGAAATAAAAATTAGAGTTTAATGAGATTGTTTGTGTTCAGTGATCAATTGTTTCTTCACTAGTCCTCCCATTCTCAACCAATGATCATCAGTTATTCTGTAGTACTCTGAAAGTCCTTCTTCAGTGGGATAATGAACACAGCCATTATAATACTCAATCTCCCACAAGCAGAAGAAAGACTTCAGTTGTTGTTTTTAAAACCTGACCTTGACCTTGGCCCAAACTATCCTCGTGAACTCTAATATCGCTTCTATTCTAAACATTATCTTCACTTTGTATATCACCTTGACCTACTGACCTGTTGGCTGACAATACAGACGATGAAGAGCGAAAAAGTACAGCAGGCCCATCGTAGAAAGGAAGTTAAGAGCAAACATGATCTTCTTCAGCTTGTAGGAGATTTCCTCCTGAAAACAAACAGACATGTGTGTCATCAGTGAGCAGTGGCAATAGTTAAAACCCATGTTAATACCACTGGTCCGACAACAGCTACCTCATAGCAGGATGTACTCCCAATTATCAAGAATATACCACTCAAATTATGTTAGGCATATGATACAAATGGGAACAGTTTGATCACAATATACAGCATAAGGACCACTGACATGAACTGAAATTTAATACCATCATTTTATTGAAATACAGGGTCAACTTGGACAACACAATTACAATAATAGTTTAACAGAGACTTCCTTCAGGGAAATCAAAAGGGGAAGTCACCCACCCAACAGGCCACTCGTATCAACTCACATCATCAGAAAACTTCTCTGATGTCCTCGTCCACCTGAATATGATGGTGTTCAACAGCATGTAGCACAGTGATGCTGTCATGAACACTACGAACAACTTCTCGTGAATAGCTGCAAACACAACAATATTCATCAGAAACACACTTTAGGGGGGATTGTTATTTTTCAAAACTTCAATTACATCATATGACTGACTACCTCTCATACTCTCTCTGAATCAGTGGAAATGTCATACTTCTTATCATAACTAGTGAAGACATATGTTAAATATTTGAACAGGTTGCTTGATTTTCAATATCAATTAAGAAAACTTAACAATTGAGAATCATTTGAAACCAATTTCATAGTGAAACTGATATGATTCTGAAATTAACTTAAAAATATTAAAATTGAAAAATATGACACAACCATTCTATGAAATTCAAGTGATAATATAATTGCAGTGGTAATAGTAACTGTAGTGAAATTATAAAGAAACAAAAACAAGAGTGACTTCAATACTGGTGAAACTTACGATAGTTGTCTCTGTTGGAGATATACGTTACACCGACAAGTGTTGAGTTTTCTATAAAGTTCAGCCAGTAATTGAGTCCTATAAGTTTGAGGTACAGTCCCCGGTACTGTTTACTGACAACATTTGTGAGGTTCTTGTACAGGTTGTAGTATATAACGGCCACTGCAAAGCGTGGTGTGGAGTGGAGGGCAACACATATCCTCCACAAGTAACTCTGGGGGGTGATGCCTGTCACAGCACTAATGGATGGGATGAAATTAGTTACCTGAAATTGAAAACAAAATATCTATTATTTTGATGGCATGATTAAATCATTTCTTTCAATTATTTCCATATTTAGCTATTTTAAGAATAGCAATCATAGCCTATTTGTGCATTATTTGTGCATTATTTGTGTATAATATGTCCACTGATCAGCTTCATAACCAACTTTTAAGTAAGCCCCATCCTTATCCTGGATTTATTAGATTCACTGTGAACATGGTACATTGCCTAGTCTTTGGGCTGAAAGACTGAGGATGAATGTTTGCATCACTTTATAGACCTTGAGAAGGAAGAGGAAGTGCCAATGGTGGACCTGGGAACAGGTCTTGACATTTACTACAGTGAAGCCCAGCAACAGTAGGGTGTTGATAAACCAAGCATCACAGTACAGTCGAGCACCGTTGTGTCGAACTCTGATAACTCGATATATCGGCTGTCTCGATATAACATCTTGGTCCCGGCAAAATCCTTCATAATTTATCATTATTCAAGCTGTTTTAACTCGATACGGATGATTCGATATTTCAGATATCTCGATATAATTTCAGGGTCCCAACAAGCAAAATTACCCTTATAACTAGATATTTGCAAAGAAACTAGATATTCACCTCCCTTTCATGGGAAAGAATCCCTCTGAACTGAGGTTGTTTCCACACGTTTACACAATGTGCGGTAGTGTAAATTAATTAGGGCTAATTGAGTTGAAGGTGTCACTTGTTTGTTATGTAATTAGGATTAATTAAGAAGGATTTAAATAGGAAGTACTCACTGTTACGACTAAGCACTACTGATAACTGATTATAGTTTCAAATCATAACATACTGAGAAGCGTTTTGCTTTCTTTCATAGTGATATGTGACGATATGCCCTAGTTGGATGTCTCGAAGGTCCCATGAATATCGAGACAACGGTGCTCGACTGTACAATCATTTCTCTTCTTAGTGCTGAACGATTATGTCATACTTCAACATAGACTAAAGACAGCTACAGCACTATCAAGGTGCAATTGAGGAATGTAAAACACACTTTTGACCTGTAAATTAAAGGGCTGCTGATCCCTTTATTAGTTGGGGGAGGGGTTAGCCTAGTGGTTAAAGTGTTTGCTTGTCACACCAAAGATCTGGGTTCGATTCCTCACAATATGCAATGTGTGAAGCCTATTTCTGGTGTTCCCTATATTGATATTGCTGGAATACTGTTAAAAGCGGCGTAAAACCATACTCACTCACTAACCTTTATCTGGGAGAGGTGTAACATTACTAACAATATTGCGAGGCCCTGGTACAATTTGTATCCTGCTAATATCCATAGACATCCCATTACAGTACATTTATTTCATAAGCTCATTCACCTTTGGGAGGGAAATCACAACATTTCATCATTACAGGGGTGGAAATCACCCATTGCCCGACGTCCAAGTCCAGTGTTTTTTTCTGTCGGGCAAGCAAATTTGTACTGGTGTCCAGTTGACTTTCCGATGTTAATTATGTTGTTTATTTTAAAAATTCAACAAGAAAACGGCTGGTATAGTGGAAAAATTATCAGGGCAAGTGACTTTATATGTGCCACTGTTCCGGAGTACACTAGCAATTTTAAAGTTATTTCCACCCCTGCATTATGTTTCAAAATTTCATGTAGTTACGGTTAGATATCATAGCAAAGAAACATACAAGCTTGGGGTCACTGTGCAGATTCTGCTATTTATAGCAAAGCAGGAAATGCTAGAAAATGAGCAAGAGCATGGTGACCCACAGTAAGTAGGTCTTTAGCAATGTATTACTTAAGGTATAACAGTTTGGGATATAGAAGGTAAAAAAGAAACTGACAAGCAGAATTAAGTAATGCCCAGTCTATTTTCAAATACTTGCATACTGCTTTGAATAAACAGCTTGGGTTTACTAACACATGTATCATCAAGATCATAACATTTACTTCCCATTATGCTTTACATATCAAAACATTTAGATGAATCATCAACATCTATGAGCAACTCAAGACTTTACGCTTACATAACCAGTGGCTTCGTTCCAGCAAGACAACAGCTTGTAACAATGTGAGGGGTTTTTTCCTGATGGGCTGAAGTTTCCCTTAAATCACACAGAGAATGTGTTTAATGTAGGACACCACTCTGGGCTTCTACCATGACGTCTCATTTACCTGTGCAGGTGTTTGAATACAAGGCAGTGGTAAAAATAGGGAGTTCATAGGTCTTGATGGACTCCAAACTGGTTTAATGTTATGTTTGTTACAGGCAAAATAGACATAGACCCATGCCTTCGGGGCATACTGACAGACAATCAACTGAGGACAATCAACTAGTCACTGTGTATGACGCTGCTAGGGTCTAGTACTTAACCAGCATCCCATGGGAGCCCAGTTATACTTCATACTTTGTGCTTTAAAGAATGTCAGCTGGACTGTTTTCAGGGGAAATAGCTGTTCACATGGACAAGAAGATCTTTAACAGTGCTCCAAAATTGAATTTCTGCGATTTTAAGTTGGGGCAATTTTGAAACAAGAATATGTATGTTCACAAATCTGATCTGACTGTCAGAGTTACACAGAAACAGATTTCACATTTTAAAGTATATAAACATAAGACGATATTATGACAACTATTAGTAAAATTCTTCAGTTGGTAATATTTCCATATTTGACATAATATATGATAACCTGATAACAACAGAACAAAAAGACATACACCTTTTGCTTGTTCTGCCTACCCAAAAATGATACAATGTACACATGAGGATATCTTCCATTCTTACAGAACGTGTATGAGCACATCATCAGTCTTTCAGCTATATCTGAACAGCTCAACATTACCACAATCCTTCAGGCAGATTAACAATGATATCCAAATCTGCCAATATATTACCATTTCTAAACAGAATGTTTACATTGTTTTCCAGAATAAAGACCATTTGGTAAAGTGATTGGTATTCAGGTGGACCCCGACCTGGAGGACGAGAGAGGAAGGTATTGACCAGTCTGGGAGAAATGTGTGAAAGCAAAGGTGTGTTGGCAATAAATGATTCAATGTTCCTAGTCCTAGATGTTCAACCGATAAGAGCCCTCAGTGGCTTCTTGCTGACCTGGTTAAACAGCCAGGATGATTAGTGGTTTTTGTAAACACTATGAAGTACTTCATAAAAAATATAAGGTGGGATTTTGAGGAGTCAGGGACGACAATGTGAATTTCATTACACTTGCTTTGAACAGCATCTAAAGTGAAAAATTATTTCACTTAGACAGCAACAAACTGCCAATTTTGTAGCAATAGCCCAATGAGATAACATGTCACAGTATAAAATTACCACTAAACTGAGATGCAGAATACGGACTTAGCCAACTAGTTTGTAGGCAATGTAATAAGATGAGTGAGTGAGTGAGTTTAGTTACGCCACACTTAGCAACATTCCAGCTATATGGCGGCGGCCTGGAAATAATCGAGTCTGGACCAGACAATCCAGTGATCAACAGCATGAGCATCGATCTGGCAATTGGGAACCGATGACATGTGTGAACCAAGTCAGCGAGCCTGACCACCCGACCCCGTTAGTCGCCTCTTACGACAAGCATTGTGTTATTGAAGGTTCATTCGAACCCAGACCTTCACGGGTCAATGTAATAAAAAGGATATATATTAAAGCATGATAAGAAAGACTATCCGACTAACACACAATTCTGCAGAAGAAGAAGGAAGCACTGAGGTTCACCACGTCTGCCAGGCCACAAAACAACATGGCTGCTGCACTTGACACTGAACCTACTCAACCTGACGCATCATCAACACCTGGCTCACTCACAAGATATTTCAGACAGATATATTTCTCATGAATATTCTTCTAAAAAGCAATTATTTCCATTCAACAACTAATTCACAGCACCTTTACTGTGCATAAACCATGTTAACATGACACAACCCAGACAGATGTTACTTACTGACAGTTGATCCATACTTTCCATCATGCAAGCTGAACCCTTACAAGGGAAATACAAGAGCATTGGAAGATGTTTCATGTCACTTTTAAACAGCTGAAACAAGCTGAACCCTTACAAGGGAAATACAAGCATTGGAAGATGTTTCCAAATAATGTACAATGGGAGATGTTTCATGTCACTTTTAAACAGCTGAAATTTAGTTTGATTATACAAATACCATGCCTCAGCAAATCTTAGCAGTCCAGGAGCAAATATCACAATTTACATATTCTACAGAAAAATCCTGTCTCCGGAGAACCTGAGTAACAGTTTGACTACCATAATCCGGGTATGACACATCGTGTGATTTACTACCATCTGACCAAGCCATAAGACATCTGATGATGCATGTTTTTTTAATAAAATTTATATTAACATGATAGAAAGTGAATGGAACAGCTATTTCTCACATCCAATATAATGAATTTTACTGAAAAAAAGTGATATCATGATAAACATGATCATGTGACTCTGGATGTAATGACAGGACTAAAAGTTACTTTTAATGTATTTTTTTTAGCCCTTGGGACTAAAAATTGAGACTATAAAAAGACGATTAGGAATTTAATACCTCCACTAATCCAGCTAGACAAATCTGGAATAAAATACTGATAAATATAGTAAGAATTGGTTGTAACCAATGAGTTCAACACAACCGATAATTCAACACACTTCAACCAAAAGGGATAGACTGTATATGTGTTGTTACACAAAATTGGCCCTCTGGAATAGACTGGAGTTTCCAATAACTGAACCAGCACTAGTTAGTCTGTAGTCCAAGTCAAATTTATGCTGGTCTGGTAAGACCATTCCAAAGGTTCAGACCACAACCCACAAGCTGATTTTCAACACTGGATCATCTCCATCTTGTATTTGTAGATAAAACATACATTCTACATTTCTTTACCTACATCATGTACAAAGAAAACATAACATGATAACAAGAAATCAGAATATCCTTATAATCAAGCATCCAAGCCAGTGTTTAAATCTCACAAAATTCCAAGCCAGACAGCC